CCTGCTTCCTTGGATTGAACAATGGTTCAATCCAAATATCAAGAAACTGAAGCCGGAGGAAGAGGAATGTTTAGCAACTGTCATAGCTGCAAAGATGTTGGGCTGAATGCTAAAGCTAGGCTGAATGCTAAAGCTAGGCTGAATGCTAAAGCTAGGCTAAATGCTAAATGCCTCACTCACTCGGGTTCATTACGTACGTCACGGTAAACTCAGATCCAATCCTTTCAATCTGCAAAAGGAGTTAACCCCTCCCACCTGTTCACGGAGTCAATAATGCAAATCCAGACCTTCGTACCAAATGAAATGAGTACAATGGTGTGGTAAGACCAGGCTATTAAAAACATGTTCTGCAATGAATCTCTTGTGGCTGAACGAGGTACTACACATGAGTTATCACACATTCTCTTTGATTTGTTTTCCCAGATCGGGCTCGGAGTACGTTAATCTGTGCGTGACGTCGGACGAAGAGCCATTTGAGCCCGAAGACCAGGAAGACGTCCGCGCAGCTCCTCCATCCCACTCACCGACGAAGAGAGTCCCCGGCTTCCCTTTCTCCGATGCAGACTGGAGACCCCCCAACGGCTTTCCCGCTAACAGCTACGACAACAACCAAGTCCTGATGAGCGGCAGAGGCACGAGCGGGCAAAACTTTGATCCATTCTCCACGTCCGCCGCACAAACCAGCGCCACCGTGAACAACGGAGACCAGTCTATATTAGGATCCGCCAAAGGGAAGTCCCACCAGTGCCCGTACTGTCAAAAGTTTATAAAAGGGAGTAAGCAGAATTTACAAGCTCACATTAGAATTCACACAGGAGAGAGGCCGTACAACTGTTTGGTCTGTGGAAAAACATTCTCCAGTCAGCGCTCTCTCTCTGGGCATAGTAAACTCCACACGGGAGAGAAACCTTACAGCTGTTCAGTCTGCAACAAAACCTTTTACACCAAGGCCGACCTGGCTGTGCACGCGAGAATACACACTGGGGAGAGGCCCTACGTCTGCCCCACATGTAACAAAGCCTTCACCCATAAGAGTTCTCTCGCTGTTCATTGCCAAATACACACTGCTGATAAGTCTTACGGGTGTTCGTTGTGCAATAAGACGTTTTACACAAAGAGAAGTCTGCATGCGCACGTGAAGACCCACTCTGGGGAGTCTCACGAGTGCCCGTTCTGTCAGAAGACACTAAAAGGGAGTAAGCAGAATTTGCAAGCACATATTAGACTCCACACGGGAGAGAGACCTTACAGCTGTGCCGAATGTAACACGTCCTACACGCAGCTGAGCAGTCTCAATATTCACAAATTAACGACTCACTCCAACGAGACGTCGCTGAGCTGTTCGAAGAGTGAGCAGGGATGTACTGACGGACTGAACGAGAGCAAGGCACCCAAACTACTCATCTGTCCCACCTGCAATAAGACCTTTTCCAGTAAGGGCAACCTGCTCGTGCACATACGGAAGCACACAGGGGAGAGACCTTTCGGCTGTTCGGTCTGTAACAAAGCCTTTGCGTATAAGAAGGCCCTGATCTTGCATTCGTACATACACACCGGGGAGAGGCCTTACTGCTGCCTCGTCTGTAACCAAACCTTCACCCAGCCCAGCAGTCTCAACGCCCACAAGAGAAAACACACGGGAGAGCGACCTTTCTGCTGCTCAGTCTGTAAGCAGGACTTCTCCCACCACACCGCACTCAAGCGCCACATGAGCAAACACCCGCAGCCGGTGGAGAAGACGTTCAGCAGCTCTTCGATATGAGGGAAAACCACAGTTCTGCTGAAATCACGGCTTCAACTGTTGGTTCTTTAAAGTTGCCTTAAAAGGGCTTTGCAATTTAAAATGTATAAAACATAAATATATATATATATATATGCCTGATATGCATTATCTTTCTAATAAATACTTTTAACTGAAGTCAATGTTTTTGTTTATGTTGCACACTTACAAACACCAGCTTCACATCCACGACAAATGGTAAGAATGCTGTGACAGAAAAGAGTTGAATGGATTAAAACAGGCTAAAGCTGAAACAAAAATAAACTTACGGCTAATTCTGTCAAAGATTCATGAGGTCAGACTTTGACCAACATCCAAATTGTTGATAAAAAGTGAGGATTTTAATCTGCCCTAGTTTAGACCGGGTCCAGACCTGGTACTTTTGTAATCTGATATTATGTGTTAAGAGTAGGCCCACATTTTATTTTGATTTGTTATAATAAAACGGGATGATCTTCAGGATCAGGGAGTTATCGGTCGTCATTTTGATATCGTTCTCTGACCCAAGATCCTGATTGTTGTTCATTTCAGCTGCTTTTTAGTGAAAAATATATAAAAAATACAAATCCAGAGGTTAATTTAAGTATGTTTTCTGTTAAATTTACTTTTTGTAGCTGTTTGTACTTGAAATACATAAAATCCCAAAAAATAAAATATTATTTTTGAGTTGAGCCAAAAACATTTGAATTTTTTTTTTGTGAGACTGAAGACCCCAGACCCCAAGACTGAAGACCCCAAACATCGTGTGAGGTGTTAGACCGAAGACTCCAGACCCCTGAGACTGAAGACCCCAGACCCACCATGAGACCGAGGACCCCAGATGCTTGACCCCTGTAACAGCTGATATGAAGGACATTTAGATCCATGCCTGGGCCGGGCCCCTCTCTCCACGTCCCACACACGCCCCTGGCCACTGCCCCCTGGTCTCCTGCTTCCTGTGATCTGGCAACCCCTGGACTGGGCTCTGCGCTCGGAGGCGAGAGGACGCTAGCTCCTGCTGAAGCTAATGCTGAAGCTAATGCTGAAGCTAATGCTGAAGCTAATGCTGAAGCTAATGCTAAAGCTAAAGCCGAAGCTAATGCTAATGCTAACGTGGACCGTGTTGTGAAAATGGACTCGCAGCTGGAGAAACACCGCGTCAAGCAGGAGGAAGAGCCGCAGCCTGTGTACGTCCCCCCCACACTCTCCATACACCTGTTTTACTGACACTGTGCATTAGAATTTACTCTAATATTCTGCAAAAACACAGATAATCTATCGCCATATCAGGTCCAGGGCTGATCAATGTCACTACTAATGTGTTTTTGTGCATCTCAAAATCACAATAGTTTTTGATTTTGATGTGTTTATGTATTTATTCAATCATTGGTCAAAAATAGGAACAATATCAAACACATAAGAACTATTTATAATCCTAAAATGCACAGAAAGGGCAGGGCTGTAGTTGGACTGTGTTTGCTTAAACCTTGTGACTCCAGGATTGATAAAAGCTATAATCTAAATGTTGCCAGACATGGAAGAATAATGCCCCAGAGCAGTGGGAGTAGAGCAAGGTCAAAAACAAGATAATTATTTATTTATTTATGTATTTATTTGTTTCAATTGTGGACAAAAACAATACTACACATATTACAATTACATTTCAAATAATTGTCGTCTTGTCTCACAAATGAAAAGAAGCAGAAAGAAGAAAAAAAATCTTATGTTGCCTGCCCTTTTCTTCATACATGTACATATTAAATTTAAAAAAATTAAAAAAAGAAAAAAATAAGATGGCCTTTAGCACTTCTTCAAACTGTTTTTATTTGATGTGTTTTTGTTTTCATAATTCTTTGTTTTTTATTGTTTTTTTCTAATCATTCATTTCGTACGATTTCACTGTTGTTGCTTTGATTTTTTTCTTAAACATGTGGATGTTTGCGGATTTTTTTATTTCATAGTCAAGTTGATTCTTGAATTATCTGCTAAATCTATAAATATATATTACCTGAGCTAAAGGTATAGAGCAGGGAATATTAAGAACAATAGATAAAACCATGTTCCAGAGGAGATAATGGGAACATCACTTTGTTCGATGAGACGAGCCGTTAATCTAGTAATTCATTTTTGACTAATTAGTTTAAAACAGGGCTCTCCAAGCTCCCCAAAGGATTCAGAATTTAACACATGTTCCTGAATGAATATATTTTGAGTCATGACATGTCTATGTGTTAATTAAAATTATATTCTAGTAGATACAAAATGATTTAGCTGATTGATATTGAATCATAATTTCACTATATAATAATATAATATAAAAGTGAGCGATTATTTGACTAGAGCACAAATATACATGCATATACATACATATAAACAGATAGATAGATAGATACTTTATTGTTCCACCGTAGGAGAAATTTAAGATAAATGACATAATATGTAGTAGGAAATGTGTATATAAAACTACCGCTGGTTTTGCTTTTGTTATATTTCCTTGTAAATGGCGACAACCATATATTTGAGGACTTAATGGGGGTGGGAGTAAATAAGCTTGTCTTCATCCCACTCCCTTCCAAGCTGTTTATTTATTTTTATTTTTTTTCCTTTTCTATTGATGTGTTAATATTGTATAGCATCGTAATGTATTTCTTTTTATCTTGTGTTGTATTGTACCGGCTTGGAATAAACTAAACTAAACTAACTAAACTAAACTATTATAGTAAAAATCTATGGTTATACAGTATTTATACATACACTTGTTTACATGTGTGTTCTCCAGTATTGCATAGACTGCCTCTTCTGTTGTTTTAAAGTAGTTCTCCGATTGAGAAAGGTTGGAGACCCCTGGTTTTAGGACATAACATTTGAGGCCTGAGAAACTGAATCGTAGTCTCTCTAATAGACTACACTTTCAAAGAGATGAGTTTGAAACGTGTTTGATTTGTTTGTCTTGTGCAGCTGTGGGTGAGTCCTAATTCCGAGTATGTTTGTACAGCCCTAAATCACAACAGCAGCAGTCGCCTCTTCTCTGGGAACACGGACCAGAGATTGTAGCAGTTGAAACACAGGAAATGCAGTCATAAGAAAGTCCTGGGAGCCGCTGGTCCACAGGGAGCAGAAGACACATGTCCACACAGTCATGAAAGAGCACTTCTGTGTGAATCCATGAGACGATAATGAGACGATAATGAGACGATAATGAGACGATAATGAGACGATAATGAGACGATAATGAGACAGACGGAAGACGTGTTTTATTATTGTGGATGGTAGAGACGAGACACAAAGGTTTTCAGAATGTATGTGGTATTATGGGATGGAGACTCAGATCAGAAGTGGAAAAGTACTGCTCCAGCATGTGTTATTATGATTAATGCAGATGTAATGTTTTGGAGTCCATACAGATATAACGGGAAGAGTTTTTTAAAAAGCTTTTGTTGTGATTAATCTATTTTTATTGTGTCATTACAGCCAAATATGAATGGCTTAGTTGTGTAATGACTGAGGCCCGTTGCTAGAATCTGGTTTATGTTTTACAGAGTTTTAGAGCGACTTTGGACTCACTAAATTGAATTAAAATCTTGCTCAGTTCTCAAAGATAAATAAATCATGGCTCGATCTGAACAAAAGTGTTTGCATTTGAGGAAGAGAGATTTATGATCAACGCCATATTTGTATTTCAGAGAGAAGTGTGTGTGTGTGTGTGTCTGTGTGTGTGTCTGTGTGTGTGTGTGTGTCTGTGTGTGTGTGTGTGTGTGTGTCTGTGTGTGTGTGTGTCTGTGTGTGTGTGTGTCTGTGTGTGTGGGTGTGTCTGTGTTGGTGTGTGTGTGTGTCTGTGTGTGTGTGTGTGTGTGTCTGTGTGTGTGTGTGTGTGTGTGTGTCTGTGTATGTCTGTGTGTGTGTGTGTGTATTTGTGTGTGTGTGTGTGTATGTGTGTGTGTGTATGTCTGTGTGTATGTCTGTGTGTGTGTGTGTATTTGTCTGTATGTGTGTGTGTGTGTGTATTTATCTGTATGTATGTATGTGTGTGTGTGTGTGTGTGTATTTGTCTGTGTGTGTGTGTGTGTATGTCTGTGTGTGTGTGTGTATATGTGTGTGTGTGTGTGTGTGTATATATGTGTGTGTGTGTGTATTCTGAGATATCACGAGGCACTGCAGCATCAGAACAGACAGAGATGATGCTCTAGACTCTAAAATCATTTTAAAATAGTTTAAGTCAGTTCCACAACCTTTTTGTCATTGCAAAAAATCACCACCAACTGAATTTGAGACAGAATTGAAATGTTACAACCTTTATTAACAAAGCAAAGTCATTCTCATCAGTGTATTATTATTATTATTATTATTATTATCTTTATGTGTCAGACTCGAGGTCCCTAAAATACATGCACAACAAACAAATAATTATAAAACACAACTGTAGCAGAGCTTCCACAGAGCTGACTGGTAACTGACATTCAGGCGCCACATAAACCTGGACATCATATTTCTCTTTAGAGCAGTGTCTCCCAAAGTGGGGTCCGCGGCCCCCTAGTGGGCCGCGAGGGTATTGCAGGGGGCCGCGAGAGGTCATTTAAAAAAAAAACTTTTGTATGTTAAATTAATAATATTTTGTGTGTAATACTAAAATATTTGTGTTCATTATTTGACTTGAATAATCAAATTGTAGTCATTTTTGTAAAACAAAATGGGGCGCGTCATTTACGTGTTTGTAGCAGAGTCTATTTCCCCCAAATAAAATAACGAGAAGAGCTTATTTTTAACGTTGTCTTCTTGGTCACACTTGGAACACTGAGCCTACGGTAAAATATGTCAGCCATTTACCCCGTTTGGAGTAAAAGATATTAGCCTGTATCCTTAGCGTAGCTGTGAGGAGGGGCCAATGGACGTGAAGTGTGTGTATCGTGACATCACTCCTTTCATTCTCCTCCAGGTCTGTCCCAGAATACATCACTGTGTGTGTGAAGTCAGAAGAAGAGCCCTTGGAGCCAAAAGACCTCAGCACAGAGCCGCAGTCTCACTCAGAGGCCGAAGCAGACACAGACCTCTCGAACAACTACGATGAACACTGGAGAAGCAGCTACACCGACCAGGATGAGCTGTCCGCCCCAGAGACCAGCCGAGACGGGTCTGCAGCCACAGGAGGTGAGGGGACCAAACACCAGTGCCCCTTTTGCGCCAAGATTTTAACCACAAACCAAAAATTCCAGCAGCACATTCAGATCCACACAGGCGAACGGACACTGCTCAACTGTTTGATCTGTGACAAAACCTTCGCAGACCAGAAAGCGCTGGACGTTCACAGTAGAATCCACACCGGAGAGAGACTGTTCGCCTGCCCCACCTGTGACAAAAAGCTCTACACCAAGGTCGGTCTGCAGTTACATATACGGGCGCACACTGGAGAGAAACCTTACAGCTGTCCAGTCTGCAACCGGGCATTCTCGCAGAAGAGCAATCGAGATTCGCACGTTAAGATGCACATGGGAGTGAAACCTTACATCTGCTCAGTTTGTAGCAAAACCTTTTCCCACAAGAGTAATCTAGACTCGCACACTAAAATCCACACGGGGGAGAAGCCGTACACCTGCCCCATATGTAACAAAGCCTTCTCACACAAGAGCAATCTGGTGGTGCACGGGAAGAGACACACTGGAGAGCGACCTTTCAGCTGTCCAGTCTGTAGCAAAGACTTTATGCTGGAGACTGGGCTCAAGTATCATATGAGGACTCACCCCGAGGACAAGCCCTTCTTCTGTATGACCTGCCACAAGGGGTTTCGCACTCAACCCGAGCTAGACGCACACACGATCATTCACACAGACAGACCTTACAGGTGTACAGTCTGTGACAAATCCTTTACGCAGAGGAGTAATTTAGCCGTGCACAGTAAAATACACACGGGTGAGCGGCCGTACGGCTGCGACGTGTGTGGGAAAGAGTTTACTCAAGAGACAGGTCTTAAATACCACATGGCCATTCACATCGAGGGCCGACCTTTCGTCTGCTCCACGTGCAACAGAACCTTTTCCACCGAAGCTGAGTTTGATACACATATGAAAGCCCACGAAGATAGACCTTTCAGCTGTTCAACTTGCCACAAAGGTTTTTACAGCAAAGTTGATTTGAAACTGCACATGAGGACGCACACGGGGGAGAAACCTTTCAGCTGTCCCATCTGCAGCAAGTCTTTTTCCCAAAGAGGTAACCTACTCGTGCACAGCAAAATCCACACCGGCGAGAAACCTTACAGCTGCACAGTTTGCGGCAAAACGTTTTCGCAGAAGAGCCACCTGATCGTGCACACCCAGACGCACTCCGGAGACCGGTCCTACCGCTGCTCCACCTGCAACGAGAAGTTCCCCACCAAGTCCGTTCTGCACGCACACAAACTGACACACACCGGTGACCCTGCAGCTGTTCAGTCTGACATAAAGCCTGAACCGTCGTCGTAACGCAAGCAGCTGTTTTTACCTTTTAGCTGTGATAAATGAACCAAAACTGCATAGTCCAATAACCAAACTGCAACTATGTATTTTAGGCTCAGTATTTATTGCCTGCCAATTTTCTTTGCGAGAGATTTTTGCCTTTGCGTGATTCGGAAACAATAGAGCTTTTAAGTAAGTCAATTTTACTGTTGAATATTGCCTAAATCTGCCATTTATTTGTCTTAACTCGTCCGTATAAAAGTTATTTACTTGCTTTTCCCTGCTGCATTGTAACTTTCGCACCGGCGTCTTTTTAAATATTCTCAATAATCGCAGTAGCTTTGTAGCAGAATATCACCTATAGAAATATATATAGACCAGGGGTGGCCAACCAGTCACAGACTAAGAGCCAATTTTTTTGCTGTGTTACAGCAAAGAGCCACATCATACAAATGTGCACTACATAAACATCACCCCATCCCTTACACACGCACACACGCGCGTGCACACACACACACACCGCTGCTCAGACAGATTTATTGTAAATGTCATCAACATGATAATGACAGAAATTGACTCGTACAGCACTAAAGGGCTGGACTTGACTCTCCCCGGTTTGCGGGCGCTTCCACCGCTCGCTTTAACCGCTCCCCGGTACTTTTTATTAATGGTTTGGCCCTGGTTCTAACCGGGCGAGTTGATACCAGAACAATATCACGTCAGCGAACATCAATTATGATTCCGCAATGAAAAAAGCAAGTTTCAAACCAGTGTTCAGCAGAAACACAACTGTCTTTATCGAACCATGATTCACTCTCTGACTGCGTTTAGCAAAAGATATAGATTTGACACATAACACCAACACCACTTTTGCTGATTCAGAACCACAGACACATGTTCAGTATAAGACCAGATACTTTTGCATTTGATTGAAGACAGACACTCACCAGGCAGAGTTGAGGCTTATCTCCTGGTGTTAGCTGGTTTTAGCATGTTAGCCGGTGTTAGCCGATGTCCGTAAATTTAATCCATTTGGTCAAACCACCTCCAGACTTTTCGGTTTTGCCTCTACTTCTGCTGCTGTGATCTTTCATTTCACGGTTGTCAGCTTTTTAACTTTTCTCTGCATTGTCATGTTCGTGGGAATCATTCTGCTCCGTCCTTAGCGCTAGCTCCACAAACACCTTCTGGTTTCTGGTGGAACCATCGAGCTCACGCTGGTGTCCTCTCTTCAAACTGAGGAAGGTGTTGCCCTCATCCAGCGACCAAGGAACTGTTTTCCGTACGGACGTCATGGGTCGAGGCAACGTGTTGTTTGTTATGATATTTGCAACAGCTGAGGCTGAAGAGTGATTGACAGCGCATCTGACCAATCAGAATTGACGTTCGCCGACGTCAGATTGTTTTGGCGGCCTGGCTAGTGGAGTGGAGTCCGCCTTTACTATGGGTCAGAACTACATAGAGAATGAAAGGCAGCGCCACCACCGAGGCGTTTTTGACGCTTGTCGTGTGAAAGCCCGAGAGCCGCACGGAACCAGCCAAAGAGCCGCATGCGGCTCACGAGCCGCGGGTTGGCCACCCCTGATATAGACTATTGAATTATTCTCGTCACACAACTGTATAGCCAGAAGTATTTGCCTTTTCACTTTTCAGCTACGGTTTTCACGGTTTTGTGTGTTTTTAAATGAAGATAAAATAAGCAGGGAAAAATATAAGTAAACCTGTGAAAGAAGGAATATTTTCGACTAGAAATGGGATAAAGGCAGAAAAAGCCAAAAATGTACTATACCATTCCAGAAGTTACCGGTTACCAAGAAGAAGGAACTTTAAATGTAAAAAGTTCAATTTGTCGTCTTTAGAGGTTCTTCTGATAAGACAAGAAAAGTAAAGAAAGCTAGTTCTGCTTAATTACCACAATAAAACATACATCGGAGAAACAGCTTTCAGCCCCAGAAGAAAAATACATCAAAAGAAATGCGAAAAAAACGACTAACAAGATCAACCAAGGAAAGGCAACACAGGAAAACCTCAAATCAGCAACATCAGACCACTGCAAAAGAGAGAATCCCATCATGGACTGGGACGATGCACAAATAGTAGGAACAGAAGAACATAAATACGAAAGATGGATACGAGGAGGATTGAAATCAGGAAGCGGGGAGCACGGACCATCAACAGGGACGAGGGGGCCTTCACCTTGGCTCACACTTGGGACTCACTTCTCCAGAGACCACAGCGCGGCGGGGGGCGTGGTCAGTCTGATGGATCTGTCATCTGTCACTCAGACTGACCGCTCCGGCAACAACAGCAGATAACACCGTCACGTGTCTCCTCTGATGAAGGCGGAAGTGTCCCGCCCAAACATGTGGTAATTAAGCAGTACTAGCTTTCTTTACTTTTCTTGTCTTATTAGAAGAACCTCTAAAGCCTCAAGAAGGAACTTTGTCATCGCTTTGTACAGAGGCCGTGAGTGAGCGGGAAATGAGACGTTTTCTGCAGATCAACCAAAGAAGAATCCACTAAAGTCCGATTTCAAAAGAGGCTTGAACTATTTCCATAAACCTCTGTCCTTAACCGTCCTCGACCTCTGTGGAGTTTCATCAAAGCAGATCCACATCAGAGAAAAGACTTCAGATCCAGCTTTAAGTTAAAAAAGATCTTATTATGAACAAGAATGAGTGATTTAAGAAAATACTTTTTCTGATGCAGCCGTAGCCAGTGTTGAGTCCAAATGAATAATGTATTACTAGTTTGAATTAACATAATAACCGGTGCTACAAGTGTACGTAATAGTCTCTCTGGTCTCTATAGTCTCTCTCTGGTCTCTCTCTGGTCTCTCTCTGGTCTCTCTCTGGTCTCTCTCTGGTGTCTCTCTGGTCTCTCTCTGGTCTCTCTCTGGTCTCACTGGCCTCTCTTTCTGGTCTCTCTATGGTCTCTTTCTGGTCTCTCTCTGGTCTCTCTTTCTGGTCTCTTTCTGGTCTCTCTCAGGTCTCTCTCTAGTCTCTCTCTGGCCTCTCTCTGGTCTCTCTGGTCTCTCTCTGGCCTCTCTCTGGTCTCTCTGGTCTCTCTGGTCTCTCTCTGGTCTCTCTCTGGTCTCTCTCTGGCCTCTCTCTGGTCTCTCTGGTCTCTCTCTGGTCTCTCTATGGTCTCTCTGGACTCTCTGGTCTCTCTCTGGTCTCTCTAGTCTCTCTCTGGTCTCTCTGGTCTCTCTCTGGTCTCTCTCTGGTCTCTTTCTGGTCTCTCTCTGGTCTCTCTCAGGTCTCTCTCTGGTCTCTCTCTAGTCTCTCTCTGGTCTCTCTCTGGTCTCTCTCTGGTCTCTCTCTAGTCTCTCTCTGGCCTCTCTCTGGTCTCTCTGGTCTCTCTCTGGCCTCTCTCTGGTCTCTCTGGTCTCTCTGGTCTCACTGGCCTCTCTTTCTGGTCTCTCTATGGTCTCTTTCTGGTCTCTCTCTGGTCTCTCTTTCTGGTCTCTTTCTGGTCTCTCTCAGGTCTCTCTCTGGTCTCTCTGTAGTCTCTCTCTGGTCTCTCTCTAGTCTCTTTCTGGTCTCTCTCTGGTCTCTCTCAGGTCTCTCTCTAGTCTCTCTCTGGTCTCTCCAAGATCTCTCTCTAGTCTCTCTCTGGTCTCTCTCTGGTCTCTCTCTGGTCTCTCTCTAGTCTCTCTCTGGCCTCTCTCTGGCCTCTCTCTGGTCTCTCTGGTCTCACTGGCCTCTCTTTCTGGTCTCTCTCTGGTCTCTCTTTCTGGTCTCTTTCTGGTCTCTCTCAGGTCTCTCTCTGGTCTCTCTGTAGTCTCTCTCTGGTCTCTCTCTAGTCTCTTTCTGGTCTCTCTCTGGTCTCTCTCAGGTCTCTCTCTAGTCTCTCTCTGGTCTCTCCAAGATCTCTCTCTAGTCTCTCTCTGGTCTCTCTCTGGTCTCTCTCTGGTCTCTCTCTAGTCTCTCTCTGGCCTCTCTCTGGCCTCTCTCTGGTCTCTCTGGTCTCTATCTGGCCTCTCTCTGGTCTGTCTGGTCTCTCTCTGGTCTCTCTGGTCTCTCTAGTCTCTCTCTGGTCTCTCTAGTCTCTCTCTGGTTTCTCTCGTCTCTCTCTGGTCTCTCTCTCTGGTCTCTCTCTAGTCTCTCTCTGGCCTCTCTCTGGTCTCTCTGGTCTCTCTCTGGTCTCTCTCTGGTCTCTCTGGTCTCTGGTCTCTCTCTGGCCTCTCTCTGGTCTCTCTGGTCTCTCTCTGGTCTCTCTGGTCTCTCTGGTCTCTCTCTGGTCTCTCTCTGGTCTCTCTCTGGTCTCTCTCTGGTCTCTCTCTGGTCTCTGGTCTCTCTCTGGCCTCTCTCTGGTCTCTCTGGTCTCTCTAGTCTCTCTCTGGTCTCTCTCTAGTCTCTCTCTGGTCTCTCTCTGGTCTCTCTCTGGTCTCTCTCTGGTCTCTCTCTGGTCTCTCTCTGGTCTCTCTCTGGTCTCTCTCTGGCCTCTATAGTCACACATATTGACCTTATTTTCAAATGACAAAGCTGATCAAATTCAGATTCAGTGTATTTGCCAGTTGCAGTAAAACCCCATTGGAATACATGTGCAAAAGTCTCCAGTGTGCACCAGACAAGACCAGGAACAAAAAAACTAAAAATATCATTGTATTTAAATGGAACTAATGTGAGAAAAAAGAACACAAATAATCAGTGTAATTTAAAAACTGTTTAATAATATAATGTTTATTTATGATTTTAGTGTATAGTAATATATTATACATGACTTTAATTTTTTTGCCAACTCCTGAAAAGGCCTGAAAATCTCCAGAATGTAATTTATTTATTTATATCGACTGCGTTAAAGCTCGGAAGTTTTGTCCTTGATTTTGAACCCGCTCCTGGTAATGCATGAACTTATGTCCAATCAAAAGAAAAAAGCTGAATTTTTCTGAAAGGATTTGGAATCGTAGCTATCGTGGATCCTGGACTCTGGACTTTTATCAGTGGCGGTGTAATGCAGGACTGTGGCTCCCTCTAGCGGCGGGACGAGGCAACTGCTGTTTGAACTGAAGACAATAAACATTTACATTCAACTTTATCCTCTCCCTGATTTCTACGACCTCCAAATGTTAGTGTTCCATACATAATAGTGTCTCTACATCTGCGGGAGTTTTATATTTTACGTAGAATCAACACAGATACAAATGTCAGTATTTTTAATATTTTTAAATACAATCATACATTAAAACAAAAATACACATGTGGAGTTTTTCTGCTGATACTTTAATTTCTAACACCTAACATAGAATATAAACACTTTATGGTTGTGGAAGCGTCAACCAAAATAATGTGATGGTGAAAAAACATGTAGATTGCAGAATTATGACATGATGGAGATGGTTGCCATGACGAACGCAAAGTAAACAAGTTCCACAAACACAAAACAAATTGGTTAAACTTACAGATATTTACTTTTCCTATGTGTGGATTTGATTAAATACACGTCCAATCCATAAATACAGCGCTGCACAATAAAATACTGATTCATAAAATCCAGATTAAAACATTAAAATCATTAAAAATCAAAAAGGAAAAACTGTGTTTGTGTGTAAATATAAAGATAACAAAAAAATAAAAAAAATACATATGTTTTATATCACAACAACAAAAGTCTCTCTGGTCTCTCTCTGGTCTCTCTCTGGTTTGTCTCTGGTCTCTCTCTGGTCTCTGGTCTCTCTCTGGTCTCTCTCTGGTTTCACTTTGGTCTCTCTGGTCTCTCTCTCTGGTCTGTCTCTGTTCTCTCTCTCTGGTCTGTCTCTGGTCTCTGGTCTCTCTCTGGTCTCTCACTGGTCTGTCTCTGGTCTCTCACTGGTCTTTGGTCTCTCACTGGTCGGTCACTCTGGTCTGTCTCTGGTCTCTCTCTGGTCTCTCACTGGTCTGTCTCTCTGGTCTGTCTCTGGTCTCTCTCTGGTCTGTCTCTGGTCTCTCTCTCTGGTCTCTCTCTGGTCTCACTTTGGTCTTTCTCTGGTCTCTCTGGTCTCTCTCTGGTCTCTTTCTGGTCACTCTGGTCTCTCTCTGGTCTCTCTCTGGTCTGTCTCTGGTCTCTCTCTGGTCTCTCTGGTCTCTGGTCTCTCTCTGGTCTCTCTCTGGTCTGTCTCTGGTCTCTCTCTGGTCTCTCTGGTCTCTCTCTGGTCTCTCTCTGGTCTGTCTCTGGTCTCTCTCTGGTCTCTCTCTGGTCTGTCTCTGGTCTCTCTCTGGTCTCTCTCTGGTCTCTCTCTGGTCTCTCTCTGGTCCGTCTCTGGTCCGTCTCTGGTCTCTCTCTGGTCTGTCTCTGGTCTGTCTCTGGTCTCTCTGGTCTCTGGTCTGTCTCTGGTCTCTCTCTGGTCTCTCTGGTCTCTGGTCTGTCTCTGGTCTCTCTCTGGTCTCTCTGGTCTCTGGTCTCTCTCTGGTCTGTCTCTGGTCTGTCTCTGGTCTCTCTGGTCTCTCTCTGGTTTCTCTCTGGTCTGTCTCTGGTCTCTCTCTGGTCTGTCTCTGGTCTCTCTGGTCTCTGGTCTCTCTCTGGTCTGTCTCTGGTCTCTCTCTGGTCTCTCTCTGGTCTGTCTCTGGTCTCTCTCTGGTCTCTGGTCTGTCTCTGGTCTGTCTCTGGTCTCTCTCTGGTCTCTCTCTGGTCCGTCTCTGGTCCGTCTCTGGTCTCTCTCTGGTCTGTCTCTGGTCTCTCTTGTCTCTGGTCTCTCTCTGGTCTCTCTCTGGTCTCTGGTCTGTCTCTGGTCTCTCTCTGGTCTGTCTCTGGTCTCTCTCTGGTCTCTCTCTGGTCTGTCTCTGGTCCCTCTCTGGTCTCTCTCTGGTCTCTCTCTGTCATCACTTGTCAAAATACTTCCGTTATCGGACTTCACAGGGATTCATAGAAATTCCCAGTTTTCAGGATGTAGCACCTTTTTCTTTTCCTGGTACCAGTACTTTTTTTAACTTCCTGTTTTCATTGTGGCACTTTGACTTTGGGACTCATGAAGCTCCTGCTCTGGGGTTGGGGCTTAACACTGCCAGTCTGTACAACGAACATCTTCACTAAACTATTTATTATCAGTATACTTATATAATGTGCTGCTGATGAACCGTAGAGTGAACATGAACACGATGCGTTCACAGTTTCATAGAAAATACGGGAATTATCATTTCTTAGTAAAACTTCAGATCACAGATGTTTGGTTTGGGTTAAAGGAGAAGTCGTAACATTTGTGGATCAATACAATACACAATACAATTTATTCTTGTATAGCCCTAGGTCACAACAGAAGTCATCTCAGAGGACTTAACAAAACCATTGAAATCACCAACACAGGTCAGAGAATCAACAGTTAAAACACATGAAGAATATAAAGCACACACAGAAGAAAATGTCCATACATGTTGTAGAATGCTAAAGTGTCCTGATCATCACCAATCCTTTCTGTTGGACACTAACTGTCCAACAAGACCCTCCTGCATCGACAAGGAAAAACTCTTAAAAAACCCAGTGGGAAAAAGTGAGAAACCTTGGAGGAGAACTAGGGAAACCCACAGGGAGGGAGACCCATATGAGAAAGGGATCCGCTCCTCCGGACGGACAGGCTAATGATCTAGGACCTAAGCTAGCTACAGAACGTGGACCAGTGGACGCTGAACGTGGACAGGTCCGGTGCAGGACCGAAGCACTCCCAGGCGGGTCGGGCGGGGCAGTCCGCAGGTGTAGATGGAAGAGGCCAGGCTCAGAGATCCCGTCATCGTACCATGAAACAGACAATGGGACAACGGGTGAATAGCAATGAACAAACTACAGTCAGAATCCTAAAAATGCTAAACAGATAAAGTAGGAAGGAGGAGAGGATAGTGCTCAAGTTACCATACTTCTCATGATCAAACTCTTTAATCCCATCAGAACCACTGCAGCCTTTTCTGTGACCGCAACCAGAGTGAGTTGGTGATGTCCCAAGAGCAGATTAGACAAATATGACTTCATTAGAACAGCGCTCCATTGCAGCTTTACCAATGTTTGTTTGTTGAGCCTCAATCATTTCAGTTTAAAATGGATTAAAGTTGTTATTATGAACCAAAATGCCTCTGTGTTTGTGCAATCCACTTTTAATTCAGTTTATTCTTGTATCGACCTAAATCACAACAGTAGTTATCTCTGAGGACTTTACAGAACCGTCGATTCGTCAACAACAGATCAGAGAATCAAACACACAGGAAATGTAAAGATGAAAAACACATTGGTCCGTTAGAAACCGAGACCAATGTCTATAAATGTGGATAAAGTCCATAATATCTCAGTCGGTCGAGCACTGGCCTTTCAGACTGAAGGCCGCACTCTTAACGGTCTGCTCTTGTGTGAAGAAAACTGAAGACATTTATGTAGATATTTATCAGAATGTCTTTTTGATTGTATTCTGATTTAACTTGTTTGCACCGAGAGCCAAAGTAATTTCCTTTTCCTCACATGGAAATAAAAGGATTCTGAGGTCATGGGTGCTTTCACTGATGTCTGCTGCAGTTGTGTCCCTGGGCAAGACACTTAACCCCACATTGCCTGAAGCCCCCGCTGAAATATCAAGGCTTCCTGTGGCCTCCTCTAGCCTCCTGTGGCCTCCCATAGCCTCCTGTAGCGTCCCCTGGCCTCCTGTAGCGTCCTCTGGCCTCCTGTAGCGTCCTGTAGCCTCCTGTAGCGTCCTCTGGCCTCCTGTAGCGTCCTATGGCCTCCTGTAGCGTCCTCTGGCCTCCTGTAGCGTCCTCTGGCCTCCTGTAGCGTCCTCTGGCCTCCTGTAGCGTCCTATGGCCTCCTGTAGCGTCCTCTGGCCTCCTGTAGCGTCCTGTAGCCTCCTGTAGCGTCCTCTGGCCTCCTGTAGCGTCCTGTGGCCTCCTGTAGCGTCCTCTGGCCTCCTGTAGCGTCCTCTGGCCTCCTGTAGCGTCCTCTGGCCTCCTGTAGCGTCCTCTGGCCTCCTGTAGCGTCCTCTGGCCTCCTGTAGCGTCCTCTGGCCTCCTGTAGCGTCCTGTAGCCTCCTGTAGCGTCCTGTAGCCTCCTGTAGCGTCCTCTGGCCTCCTGTAGCGTCCTCTGGCCTCCTGTAGCGTCCTCTGGCCTCCTGTAGCGTCCTCTAGCCTCCTGTAGCGTCCTCTGGCCTCCTGTAGCGTCCTCTGGCCTCCTGTAGCGTCCTCTGGCCTCCTGTAGCGTCCTCTGGCCTCCTGTAGCGTCCTCTGGCCTCCTGTAGCGTCCTCTGGCCTCCTGTAGCGTCCTCTGGCCTCCTGTAGCGTCCTCTGGCCTCCTGTAGCGTCCTCTGGCCTCCTGTAGCGTCCTGTAGCCTCCTGTAGCGTCCTCTGGCCTCCTGTAGCGTCCTCTGGCCTCCTGTAGCGTCCTGTAGCCTCCTGTAGCGTCCTCTGGCCTCCTGTAGCGTCCTCTGGCCTCCTGTAGCGTCCTCTGGCCTCCTGTAGCGTCCTCTGGCCTCCTGTAGCGTCCTCTGGCCTCCTGTAGCGTCCTCTGGCCTCCTGTAGCGTCCTGTAGCCTCCTGTAGCGTCCTCTGGCCTCCTGTAGCGTCCTCTGGCCTCCTGTAGCGTCCTCTGGCCTCCTGTAGCGTCCTGTAGCCTCCTGTAGCGTCCTCTGGCCTCCTGTAGCGTCCTCTAGCCTCCTGTAGCGTCCTCTGGCCTCCTGTAGCGTCCTCTGGCCTCCTGTAGCGTCCTATGGCCTCCTGTAGCGTCCTCTGGCCTCCTGTAGCGTCCTCTGGCCTCCTGTAGCGTCCTCTGGCCTCCTGTAGCGTCCTCTGGCCTCCTGTAGCGTCCTCTGGCCTCCTGTAGCGTCCTGTAGCCTCCTGTAGCGTCCTCTGGCCTCCTGTAGCGTCCTGTGGCCTCCTGTAGCGTCCTCTGGCCTCCTGTAGCGTCCTCTGGCCTCCTGTAGCGTCCTCTGGCCTCCTGTAGCGTCCTGTAGCCTCCTGTAGCGTCCTCTGGCCTCCTGTAGCGTCCTCTGGCCTCCTGTAGCGTCCTCTGGCCTCCTGTAGCGTCCTCTGGCCTCCTGTAGCGTCCTGTAGCCTCCTGTAGCGTCCTCTGGCCTCCTGTAGCGTCCTATGGCCTCCTGTAGCGTCCTCTGGCCTCCTGTAGCGTCCTGTAGCCTCCTGTAGCGTCCTGTAGCCTCCTGTAGCGTCCTCTGGCCTCCTGTAGCGTCCTCTGGCCTCCTGTAGCGTCCTGTGGCCTCCTGTAGCGTCCTCTGGCCTCCTGTAGCGTCCTCTGGCCTCCTGTAGCGTCCTCTGGCCTCCTGTAGCGTCCTCTGGCCTCCTGTAGCGTCCTCTGGCCTCCTGTAGCGTCCTCTGGCCTCCTGTAGCGTCCTGTAGCGTCCTCTGGCCTCCTGTAGCGTCCTCTGGCCTCCTGTAGCGTCCTCTGGCCTCCTGTAGCGTCCGTCCTCTGGCCTCCTGTAGCGTCCTCTGGCCTCCTGTAGCGTCCTGTAGCCTCCTGTAGCGTCCTCTGGCCTCCTGTAGCGTCCTCTGGCCTCCTGTAGCGTCCTCTGGCCTCCTGTAGCGTCCTCTGGCCTCCTGTAGCGTCCTGTAGCCTCCTGTAGCGTCCTCTGGCCTCCTGTAGCGTCCTCTGGCCTCCTGTAGCGTCCTCTGGCCTCCTGTAGCGTCCTGTGGCCTCCTGTAGCGTCCTCTGGCCTCCTGTAGCGTCCTCTGGCCTCCTGTAGCGTCCTCTGGCCTCCTGTAGCGTCCTCTGGCCTCCTGTAGCGTCCTCTGGCCTCCTGTAGCGTCCTGTAGCGTCCTCTGGCCTCCTGTAGCGTCCTCTGGCCTCCTGTAGCGTCCTCTGGCCTCCTGTAGCGTCCGTCCTCTGGCCTCCTGTAGCGTCCTCTGGCCTCCTGTAGCGTCCTGTAGCCTCCTGTAGCGTCCTCTGGCCTCCTGTAGCGTCCTCTGGCCTCCTGTAGCGTCCTCTGGCCTCCTGTAGCGTCCTCTGGCCTCCTGTAGCGTCCTGTAGCCTCCTGTAGCGTCCTCTGGCCTCCTGTAGCGTCCTCTGGCCTCCTGTAGCGTCCTCTGGCCTCCTGTAGCGTCCTGTGGCCTCCTGTAGCGTCCTCTGGCCTCCTGTAGCGTCCTCTGGCCTCCTGTAGCGTCCTCTGGCCTCCTGTAGCGTCCTCTGGCCTCCTGTAGCGTCCTCTGGCCTCCTGTAGCGTCCTCTGGCCTCCTGTAGCGTCCTCTGGCCTCCTGTAGCGTCCTCTGGCCTCCTGTAGCGTCCTCTGGCCTCCTGTAGCGTCCTCTGGCCTCCTGTAGCGTCCTCTGGCCTCCTGTAGCGTCCTCTGGCCTCCTGTAGCGTCCTCTGGCCTCCTGTAGCATCCTGTGGCCTCCTGTGGCCTCCTGTGGCCTCCTCTGGCCTCCTGTGGCTCTGGGGCAGTCCTCTCTTGGCATTCACCGCGTGCCTTAATTGACTCAAGTGAAATCAAGATCCACTGTGAACACTCAGAGAAAACCCCAAAGAACTGTCTCTAAAAACACGTGATTATGAGACGAGGAAGTGGGAAAGACCTCATCGTTCTCAAAACAAACAACTGGACATGGACTTTTATATCAAATAAAACATCTGACTCCTGGAAATGTAACTGATAAAAGTCTTATTATCGTCCAAACCTTTGTGTATAAGTGTAAAGTGATGTCACATGTCCCTAAATCAGATTTTCACATTGATCTGAATCGTTGCCACTTGTAATTGGAGTAACTGGCCACTGCAGAGGGCCTCAGCTTCACACAGAGCTCAAACTGTTTCCACTTGAATTTGATCATATTTGTCATATTTGTGTTGGTGTTTGAGGAGAGACTGTTGGGAGTCGATGATTTTTGAGTTTTAGATTAATTTTAAACTTCATATTTAGTTCTGGCATAAACCTGTGGCCACAAATACTTTAAAGAAAACTTGGATGAATGAAGGAAAAATGAGAAATCAATAGACTTTGTGCCATTGCAAAATACAGTCCAGTTGTGACCAGATTTTTCAAAACGAATCCAAAAATATTCTCACCTATTTTCTGCAGTTCACAACCTGTGATTTTAGGATTAAGATTTAAGAAACCTCTATACTTCACAAAAAAAACCAAAACATTACATTAGCATAATAAAGAAGCTAGTATAAAATCTCTAGCTTTAGCATAATTAAAATAAAAAAAATAAAAAATTGATTCTGATAATAAAGAAGCTAGTATAAAATCTAAAAGTATAACATTTTGTTGTTGTGTTTCTAAATTAAGATAAAAAAACAAACAAACTTATGGCTTTGAATAAATCTTTTGGGACGCGGAGACTCAAAGATTGGACTGTCCCGGGGGAATGAGGAGGTCTCACTCTGCTCCATACAGACACAACGCAAACAGACGCAGCGATCTTTGATGATGATGATGATGATGATGATGATGATGATGATGATGATGATGATGATGATGATGATGATGATGATGATGATGATGATGATGATGATGATGTAGTACCAGGCTGCATCCCAATAGCACGGAGCGGTTGCATACAGATTGCACCGAGAGGCCTGTGTCCCTCCTCACAGCCTCCTCGGAGCTTCAAAAACAACCGGGGGCCAGCTCCGGTGACGGACCCGCGAAGTCCCCGGTCCGCGCCTGCGTGCCCCCGGGAGGAAGCTTCACCGTCTCCCGCATGAGTCCCAAAGCCTCCAGCCTCTCTGCTCCGGTGCGTCTGCGTGAGGAAGAGGAGGATGCTGAAGATGGGAGCCCCGTGTTGGTGCTGTGGCTGATGAGAGAGAGGAGAGGGGCAGGAGGGGCAGGAGGGGCAGGAGGGGGGTGGTGACGTCACGATGCGGACAGAGGAGCTCGCGGTGCGGTGTGGTGTAATCATGGATCTATTATGATATGGGTGTAATCAATTTCTTTCATTTTATATATTGTATAGAGCTAATATCACCTGTAAATTCCTGTGAAAATCTAAATAAATTGTTTCGAATATTTACATTAATTAAAGATACAGTCAGTGATTTTTTTCCAGACGCATTTTTTTAAATATTGTGGGAAAACGTCCCTATATCCTAAAAGTATCAAGTTATCATGTGTTTTCAAATAGTAATGGGATTGACCAGATGTCTATAGTCTACAAGGGGCGGGGGGGAGTGGTTTGGTGAAGAGGGGAGGGGCGGGGGGGAGTGGTTTGGTGGGGAGGGGAGGGGAAGGGGGAGTGGTTTCTAGTTGGTGCTACGGCTAAGCTAACAATATCGCTAACTGCACCTTTAAATATTCTAAGATGAACGAGCTCCAGTTTGAACTTCAAAGTCACAAACATGTTGTTGTCCAGAATGTGTGTGTTTATTACATGTTCTCAGTCATTATTTATTTATTGACAACAAAGACAACACACGCCCTAAAACACAAGAAGTGAAGAGTTAAAATCTAAAATATCTCTGAGTATACTGTATGTACTTGTACTTGGTATCTGCACTTTTTGTTCTACTTTCGCTCCTCACTTTTACCCTCTGTACTTTCTGCTCCTTTCCTGATGAATGGACTTTTCACGTTGCACCTAAAAACAAAAACACAAATCCATGCTTTAAACTCGGATAAACGTTTAAGGGCCTTATGTAACCGGGGTGGATTCTAGACCATTACATTCCTGGACTCTTGCCCCCCTCTACTGCTGCTGCTGCTGCTGCTCCTGCTGCTGCTGCTGCTGCTGCTCCTGCTGCTGCTGCTGCTGCTGCTGCTGCTGCTGCTCCTGCTGCTGCTGCTGCTGCTACTGCTGCTGCTGCTGCTCCTGCTGCTCCTGCTACTGCTGCTGCTGCTGCTGCTCCTGCTGCTGCTGCTCCTGCTGCTGCTGCTGCTGCTACTGCTGCTGCTGCTGCTCCTGCTGCTACTACTGCTGCTGCTGCTGCAACTGCTGCTGCTCCTGCTCCTGCTGCTGCTGCTGCTACTACTGCTGCTGCTGCTGCTACTGCTGCTGCTCCTGCTGCTACTACTGCTGCTGCTGCTGCTACTGCTGCTGCTCCTGCTCCTGCTGCTGCTGCTGCTGCTGCTGCTGCTGCTCCTGCTGCTGCTGCTGCTACTACTGCTACTGCTACTACTGCTGCTGCTCCTGCTCCTGCTGCTGCTGCTGCTGCTGCTGCTGCTGCTCCTGCTGCTGCTGCTGCTACTACTGCTACTGCTGCTGCTGCTGCTGGAGCTAATTTATTTTTATTTTTGTGAAAACTTCACATTTTTGACCCATTGTTTTTTACTGTAATGAATTTCTAAGACTAAAATTTGACTTGAAACGATCAATCTCTTCATCATTCACCAGTAAAACCTGCTGCTTCGCCCTCTTTCAATCATAGACATAAGTGCCCCACCTTAAAATGTAATACTACCTTAAAAAGTGAAATAACTAATTCCTATACCTTGCCTTAAAAGTAATAATAATAATAGTAATAATCGGGACGGGGATGGGATAAAAGAGAGAAACTGAGGGTCATTTTTCTTCTCTTTCTGAAAAACACTAAATAAATTATAAAAATAAGTTTCTTAAACCACAGATTTGTTCTAGAAGCAGCACATTCTCAACATGTGGAGCCAGCACCGAATTATCTGTGATCAAACTGAGCATGTGCAGAAGATAATCCGCTGTGAGCCTCTGACCACTGCTGATGTCACACTCAGAGGACCCGGTCTGGACTGAGCGGGACTGAGAGAGGACCAGGTCTGTGTGGGACTGAGAGAGGACCAGGTGTGGACTGAGCGGGACTGAGAGAGGACCAGGTCTGTGTGGGACTGAGAGAGGACCAGGTCTGGACTGAGAGAGGACCAGGTCTGTGTGGGACTGAGAGAGGACCAGGTCTGGACTGAGAGAGGACCAGGTCTGTGTGGGACTGAGAGAGGACCAGGTCTGTGTGGGACTGAGAGAGGACCAGGGCTGGACTGAGTGGGACTGAGCGAGGACCAGGTCTGTGTGGGACTGAGAGAGGACCAGGTCTGTGTGGGACTGAGAGAGGACCAGGTCTGGACTGTGTGGGACTGAGAGAGGACCAGGTCTGTGTGGGACTGAGAGAGGACCAGGTCTGGACTGAGTGGGACTGAGCGAGGACCAGGTCTATGTGGGACTGAGAGAGGACCAGGTCTGGACTGAGTGGGACTGAGAGTGGACCAGGTCTGGACTGAGTGGGACTGAGAGAGGACCAGGTCTGGACTGTGTGGGACTGAGAGTGGACCAGGTCTGGACTGAGTGGGATTGAGAGAGGACAAGGTCTGGACTATGTGTGGGACTGAGAGAGGACCAGGTCTGGACTGAGTGGGACTGAGTCTGAACCAGGTCTGGACTGTATGAGACTGAGAGTGGACCAGATCTGGACTGTGAGAGACCAAGTGAGAATGAGTGACACCGAGAGAGACTTAGAGAGACTGGGAGAGACCAAGAGAGACAGAGAGACCGAGAGAGACCAAGAGAGACCGTGTGAGACTGAGAGAGACAGAGAGACTGAGAGAGACCAAGAGAGACCGAGAGACCAAGAGAGACTGAGCGAGACCGTGTGAGACTGAGAGAGACAGAGAGACTGAGAGAGACCAAGAGAGACCGAGAGACTGAGAGAGACTGAGCGAGACCGTGTGAGACTGAGAGAGACTGAGAGAGACTGAGAGAGACCGAGAGAGACAGAGAAACCTAGAGAGACCAAGAGAGACCGTAGTGGACCGTGTGGGATGTAAACTGAACCTTATTTTGTGTTTTAGTCGTGGCCTGAAAAGATGGAAGACTTTGACCAGAGTTCTGCTGCTGAGATCATCAAAGGTGAGACTCAAAGTGCTTCACAGCCCGAGCAGTTTGTTACATGCAGCGGTTTGGACAAGTTTAGACATTTCTCTGTAAATATGAAGGTAAAGAGTTAGATAGTGTTTCTGTTGGGGGGGGGGGGGGGGGGGGGGGGGGGGAGGAGAGGGGAGAGAGGGGAAGGGAGGGGAGGAGAGAGGATTAAGGAGAGAGGAGAGGAGAGAGAGGAGAAGGGAGGGGAGAGAGGAGAAGGCAGGGGAGAGAGGATAAAGGAGAGAGGAGAAGGGAGGGGAGAGAGGAGAAGGGAGGGGAGAGAGGAGAAGGCAGGGGAGAGAGGAGAAGGGAGGGGAGAGAGGAGAAGGCAGGGGAGAGAGGAGAAGGCAGGGGAGAGAGGAGAAGGCAGGGGAGAGAGGATAAAGGAGAGAGGAGAAGGGAGGGGAGAGAGGAGAAGGCAGGGGAGAGAGGAGAAGGCAGGGGAGAGAGGATAAAGGAGAGAGGAGAAGGGAGGGGAGAGAGGAGAAGGGAGGGGAGAGAGGAGAAGGGAGGGGAGAGAGGAGAAGGGAGGGGAGAGAGGATAAAGGAGAGAGGAGAAGGGAGGGGAGAGAGGATAAAGGAGAGAGGTGAAGGCAGGGGAGAGAGGATAAAGGAGAGAGGAGAAGGGAGGGGAGAGAGGATAAAGGAGAGAGGAGAAGGGAGGGGAGAGAGGATAAAGGAGAGAGGAGAAGGGAGGGGAGAGAGGAGAAGGGAGGGGAGAGAGGATAAAGGAGAGAGGTGAAGGCAGGGGAGAGAGGATAAAGGAGAGAGGTGAAGGCAGGGGAGAGAGGATAAAGGAGAGAGGTGAAGGCAGGGGAGAGAGGATAAAGGAGAGAGGTGAAGGCAGGGGAGAGAGGATAAAGGAGAGAGGAGAAGGGAGGGGAGAGAGGATAAAGGAGAGAGGAGAAGGGAGGGGAGAGAGGATAAAGGAGAGAGGAGAAGGGAGGGGAGAGAGGATAAAGGAGAGAGGAGAAGGGAGGGGAGAGAGGGAATAGGGCAAGTGGGGAGAGAGGAGAGATAATGTCTTCTATATTTGTCTGGAAACTCTTGCACATTTATTCCACTGTGGTTTTACTGCAAACAGCAGATAAACCGTGTAGAGTTATGTAAGTGAGTCCCTTTGTGGGTTTTTGGGCGACCTTGGTCTGTAACATGCGCTGTATAAATAAACTGTACTTACTCCTGATGAGGTCATTCGTCCAGACTGTGATGAACCAATCAGACGCTTTAAAACACTTCCTGTGGAATTAGGACTAAGTCGTTTAAATGTGACCAATTCAAGCCGCGAGAGGTGTTCAAGGACAGTGGGAAAAACTGGGAAACCTGAGAGAACCCACAGAGCTGCTTCTTCTCTGGTTTGAACTATGGTGTATGTGGCGCCAGACCTCTGAAGCTAAGCAGGAGAAGCTAGGTTAGTACTGTGATGGGAGACCTCTGAACAGCAGGTGCCACAGTGGGGCGGCTGCGGCTGTAAAGTGCCAAACTGTGGTTGTGTCCTTAGGCAAGACACTTCCCCCACATTAGAATGAGTCTGGTGTGTGTGTGTGAATGGTTGGTAGTGGTGGGAGGGGCCGATGGCATGACACACTTCTGTCAGTGTGCCCCAGGGCAGCTGTGGCTACAGTAGTAGTTTATCACCACTGAGAAACTGATGCAATATTATTGTTATAGTAAAAAGGCAACAACAACATAAAATATAACTATATGTTTTTATAAGAATATGTTCAAGAGTAGATTTGGCAAAAATAGAAAACTACTAAATATTTTAAGGTTCCTTGAGTTTTTATTTTCTCTGAGGCATTTATCCACATTAAAGTGAATAACAGACACATCTCACTTTTCCTGAAATAAGTCTGTCATGTTAGTTTCAAGTTCAATTTTTTATTTTTTTATTTTAGTATTCAGACGGCGAAAGAACCATCTTAGTAAAAGCAACTTAATGAAAGAAAAATGAAAAATGTACATAAAACAAAGAACCAACATTTACGGTGTGATCTGCCAAAATATGGATTTAGTTTCCTCGAGTTTAACTACAGACTTTACAAACTTTTCAAGGATATTGCTCCTTTAAACGTCCACGCTCCATGAACTCTGTCTCTGCGGATTTAATATTTAAGATAATCCTTTTGTGTGTCCCTCTGTGGGAATGTCAAAGTCATAGTTGCACATTACAGCAGAATGCACACATCAAAGAGGATCTATAATCTAAGAGAATAGAATCATGACATCATAAACTCTGAGATGATATTGCACATATTTGTCCTTCTCAGATCGTCTGTATTTCTCGGCTCTGAGGTCGAAGCCCAAGAACACGGCTCTGACTCACTTCTTCAGCTCAGACGAGGAGTTTGTCTACGAGAGGTGAGTCTGGACTGTTTTACTATAACGCAATACTACAGTGCAATACTACAGTGCAATACTACAGTGCAATACTATAGTGCAATATTAAGAAAATACTACAGTGCAATACTACAGTGCAATACTACAGTGCAATACTATAGTGCAATATTAAGAAAATACTACAGTGCAATACTACAGTGCAATACAATACTACAGTGCAATACTACAGTGCAATACTATAGTGCAATATTAAGAAAATACTACAGTGCAATACTACAGTGCAATACTACAGTGCAATACTACAGTGCAATATTAAGACAATACTACAGTGCAATACTATAGTGCAATACTATAGTGCAATACTAAGACAATACTAGAGTGCAATACTAGAGTGCAATACTACAGTGCAATACTACAGTGCAATACTATAACACAATACTATCGTGCAATACTATAGTGCCATACTATAGTGAAATACTACAGTGCAATACTGCAGTGCAATATTAAGACAATACTACAGTGCAATATTGAGACAATACTACAGTGCAATACTATAGTGCAATACTACAGTGCAATATTAAGACAATACTACAGTGCAATACTAAGACAATACTACAGTGCAATACTACAGTGCAATACTACAGTGCAATACTATAGTGCAATACTATAGTGCAATATTAAGACAATACTACAGTGGAATACTATAGTCCAATACTATAGTGCAATACTATAGTGCAATATTAAGACAATACTACAGTGCAATACTACAATGCAATACTACAGTGGAATACTATAGTGCAATACTATAGTGCAATATTAAGACAATACTATAGTGCAATATTAAGACAATACTACAGTGCAATATTAAGACAATACTGCAGTGAAATACTACAGTGCAATACTATAGTGCAATACTGTAGTGCAATACTATAGTGCAATACTGTAGTGCAATTCTACAGTGCAATACTATGACAATACTAAGGCAATACTAAGGCAATACTACAGTGCAGGCAGCTGGCTGTCAGAACAACACAAGACACAAAAAACAATAAGTAAAAAATACAAAAGAACAAACCCACACTGCTGCGGTACACATTGAATCATCTGGACCAGAGTCTGAAGGAGAGCTGAGAGTATGGACAGGTCTCACAGAAGCAGAGCCAGCCACGCCCCGTCACACACATGCCCTGAAAAACAGAGACCAGAGAGAGACCAGAGAGAGACCAGAGAGAGACCAGAGAGAGACCAGAGAGAGACCAGAGAGAGATCAGAGAGAGACCAGAGAGACCAGAGAGAGACCAGAGAGAGACCAGAGAGAGACCAGAGAGACCAGAGAGAGACCAGAGAGAGACCAGAGAGAGACCAGAGAGACCAGAGAGAGACCAGAGAGAGACCAGAGAGAGACCAGAGAGACCAGACCAGAGAGAGAGACCAGAGAGAGACCAGAGAGAGAGACCAGAGAGAGATCAGAGAGAGACCAGAGAGAGACCAGAGAGAGACCAGAGAGAGACCAGAGAGAGACCAGAGAGAGAGACCAGAGAGAGAGACTAGAGAGAGAGACCAGAGAGAGACTAGAGAGAGACCAGAGAGAGACTAGAGAGAGGCCAGAGAGAGAGAGACCAGAGAGAGACTAGAAAGAGACCAGAGAGAGACCAGAGAGAGACTAGAAAGAGACCAGAGAGAGACCAGAGAGAGACTAGAGAGAGAGACCAGAGAGAGAGACCAGAGAGAGAGACTAGAGACCTCTATCAACCTTACACCATAGCATCATAAGCTACATTCAGCTTGTATTTATATATATTTGATGAAAGTAACTTCAAAGTACTGCAGTAGTGAAATACTTTACAATCAGAGCCATTAATATTGTAGTAACACAGTACTTTTAAACATCAGTAACACACATAGTACACACATAGTACACACATGGTACACACATAACACAAAAACGCTTCAGTGTCAGAGTAAGTGGATTATTATGTAAGAAGTGGAGCAGGATTAAGAGATTAGGACTTTGTGAATGGAACCGACCACTTCTCAATGAAACAATAACATCATGTACTTTTGACTGTGAGCCTGACTTTTCACAAACACACGCCTTGGTTTTATATGAAGCCCTTTAAAGCTGGGGTACGTAACTTTAAGACCACGGGGAAAGGAATTATGTCATAAAATCCAGCTCGATGCAGTTTTGCTTCTACTGATTCTCACGTATTTTGGTCTATGTTACATGTAGACAGAAAAGTGGGACACAGGTACATAAAGACAGAGGTACATATAGACACAGAGACACAGGTACATATAGACACAGGTACGTATAGACACAGGTACATATAGACACAGAGACACAGGTACATATAGACACAGAGACACAGGTACATATAGACACAGGTACATATAGACACAGAGACACAGGTACATATAGACACAGGTACATATAGACACAGAGACACAGGTACATATAGACACAGAGACACAGGTACATATAGACACAGAGACACAGGTACATATAGACACAGAGACACAGGTACATATAGACACAGGTACAGGGTTATAGTTTTATGATATATTTATGTGTTCTATGTTTTTGTCATAATTATTGCATAGATTGAGTAGCTCTCTCTTTTGTTGCATAAAGTATCTCTCTGATTGAAAATGTTTTTTAATCATTGCATTTTCTTCTAAAAATGTAAAAGTCTATGAAATGAAAGGACAGGCTCATCTCCAGAGTGACCCCTGCGCCTCCTCGTCCTAATCCACAGATAACATTCAGATTATGACGAGCTGATCAGATTTGGATCTACATCGAATTCATATATTATCATTATAGAGCGCGATTGCCAATGTTCCATTCCATTCCATTTTCTTCCGGTTCATCCGTTGCCGGGTCACAGGGGCAGCAGTCTAAGCAGAGACGCCCAGACTTCCCTCTCACACACTTCCTCCAGCTCGTCCGACCCCAAGGCGTTCCAAAGAGAGACATAGTCCCTCTGTGTCCTGGGCCTCCTCCCGTTGGGACATGCCCGGAGCACCTCCCCAGGGAGGCGTCCAGGAGGCATCCTGAACAGATGCTCGAGCCACCTCAACTGGTCCCTCTCGACGTGGAGAAGCAGCGGCTCTACTCCGAGCTTCTCCTGTGACTGAGCTCCTCACCCTATCTCTAAGAGAGCAGCCACTCTGCGGAGGAAGCTCATTTCGACCTCTTTTATCCGCAATCTTGTAATTTTCTGAGAGAGGAGGAAGGAGCCTCTTCTGTCCTGACCTCCTTCCTCCCTCCTCGGTCCTGACCAGTGGGGGCGGGTCCCGGCTCAAAAGTGGCCAAAATGACGTGCGCTGACATGCTGCAATACCACCCCGGGCCTGTGGGGGTGGACCCAGAATAAGAATTAGCCAATGCTAACATATAGCATCTTCTTACCTCTGGAAAAAGTCTTTACAGGATGGACCAAAAGTTGGCTCTTGGCCCAAAGCTCCGTTCCACATGTGTGTCAATGCTGAGTGTTTTGGACCAGTCTAGTTTAGCCGCTGTGGACTTTAGAAGTCACTTGTTTAAATGAATGGAGGTCACGCCAGCTGACGCATGCGCAGATGCGTTTTTTCACAATTTTCTTGTGGGTGGGACCACTCGCGGCCATTTTGGATAGCTCCAGTAGAGCACATTTTTGGCGCATTAGTTACAACGGTGGAGATAGGCGTGACTCTGTCCATTAATATATACAGTCTATGGTCCTGACCTCCTCCCTCCCTCCTCTCTCCTGACCTCCTCCCTCCCTCCTCTCTCCTGACCTCCTCCCTCCTCCCTCCTCTCTCCTGACCTCCTCCCTCCTCCCTCCTGCCCATAGACCATAAGTCCTGCTCCACATTCAGGATTGACGTCTGACCCTTTGAGTGGAGTCCAGACACCAGCAGAGGATCAGCTTCTGTACATGTCCTGATGGTGTTTGGTGTTTAGTCCATATGGTACCTCTCCTCACACCAGAAAAGACCCACAGATGACATTTAATGAACACTGAAGCCTTCCATTCATAAAAACACAGAAAGAATGGACCTAAAACTATGTCATGAAAAAACAAATGAGCCAAAATAAAACCTATTCATTTTCCCTCCTACGTTCTACTCTGTGCTCTGCGATGCAACCCTGACATCTCCTCTCTGTCTTAAATCCAGACGTCTACAAACTAATCCTGGTTGCCTTTGGTCCAGTTTGGGTTCAATCCAAGCAGCTGTGATCAGAAATATAATCACAGGGACAGTGAACTATGAGCCAAAGGGAGATATGTTTTGTACCTGTAGTCTCTGAACAGGTAGTTTCACAGTATGAATTATACGGTAAAAAAAATAAAAATAATAATAATTCAAAATCTCTCGATGTGGGTCTCCCCAAGGATGCTTTTTTCCCCCACACTGTTTAATTAATCTTTTTTATGTTTTATTATGTGAGTGGTTCCTCTCTGGACAATGGTCTCTGCTCCCTATGGACCGATGGCTCTATGTGTTTGTTATCATTGCATCTCTACATGTAAATATTGCATAACTGTTTGAGTCTCTAATCTGTTGTTGCCAAATTGACAACACATTGTAATTGAATTTTAAGTAAGTAGTAAGTAGGTAATCTTTATGTACTGTATATAGCGCCTTTCACAGACCAGGCTTTACAACTGTGTGCATCAGTCTCTCGCTCTCAGAGATCGAGGTCGCCAGTACAGGAGGGACATGCCGGACCTAATGTACATGTATTTAGTGGTAGGGGAAACCGGAGCACCTGGAGGAAACCTTCGCACAATTGATTTGATCTGTGTTCTTGTGACCTGGTCCTCGTCCTGAATCACAGCTGCTTCACAAACCTGTCTCTGTCTCTTTCAGTTTTTACTGTGACTTCGGGCCCCTGAACCTGGCCGCTCTGTTCCGCTACTGCACCAAACTGCACAAGAGGCTGAAGGTGACGCCATTATCAGAATTATTAACATTATTATTATTATTATCAGTATTATCAACATTATTATTATTATTATTATTATCAACATTATTATTATTATTATTATCAACATTATTATTATTATTATTATTAACATTATTATTATTATTATCAACATTATTATTATTATTATTATCAACATTATTATTATTATTATCATCAATCAATCAATCAATCAAATTTTATTTATAAAGCGCTTTTCATACATAAGATGCAACACAAAGTGCTTTACAGTTTGGTTAAAAACAATCCCGCCGACCCAAGACCCCTCCCCCAGACCACCCAACAGACCCACCCCAAACCACAGACAAACACACACACACACGCGCTCATGAACACTCATACGCACACACACACACACACACACACACACACACACACACACACACACACACACACACACACACACACACACACACACACACACACACACACACACACACACACACACACACACACACACACACACACACACACACACACACACACACACACACACACACACACCAGTAAAACAATAAAAACATGATGAGAGACTTGGCAGGGTTCAGATGCAACCAGCTGAAAAAGCGTCATCCAAGGAGCCGTCTGCACCAGGAGCAGAGAGCCGCCCGTAGCCACAGGGGACGACACAGGACCCAGAGGAGACATGAAACCAAGGCCCCAGGCCCCCACCAGGCCCAAGAGTCCGACCCCCGCAGCCACACCGACCACTGCTCCCAGTGCAGAGGGCTCCTCCAGAGGAAACACTGGGTACACTAAAAACAATACAATAAGTAAAACACTAAAATGTGAGACTAAAAGGAACACACAATACATGAATAATAGCAATAGCAATATAATAAATAATAAATAATAAAAGATAAATAGAATGGAATAATAAAAACTAATCAAAAGCTACTCTAAAAAGGTGCGTCTTGAGCCTACTTTTAAAAATATGAACGTTCTCTGCGGCCCTGAGCTCCTCCTCAGACTGTTCCAGAGACGGGGGCCGTAGTGCTGGAAAGATGCCTCGCCGTGAGTGTGTGTCCTGACTTTGGGGATGGTTAGGAGTCTGCTGCCGGAGGAGCGCAGGGGCCGGGAAGGTTCATAGGATAAAAGCAAATCTGAAAGATAAGAAGGCCCAAGACCATTAAGACATTTAAAAACCATTAAAAGAACCTTAAAATCGATTCTGAAACACACGGGGAGCCAATGCAGCAATTTTAAAACCGGTGTAATGTGGTCCCGCCCCCATCAACATTATTATTATTATTATCAACATTATTATTATTGTCAACATTATTATTATTATTATTATCAACATTATTATTATTATTATTATCAACATTATTATTATTGTCAACATTATTATTATTATCAACATTATTATTATTATTATTATCAACATTATTATTATTATCAAAATTATTATTATTATTATCAACATTATTATTATTATTATCAACATTATTATTATTATTATTATCAACATTATTATTATTATTATTATTAACATTATTATTATTATTATTATTATTATCAACATTATTATTATTATTATTATCAACATTATTATTATTATTATCATCAATCAATCAATCAATCAAATTTTATTTATAAAGCGCTTTTCATACATAAGATGCAACACAAAGTGCTTTACAGTTTGGTTAAAAACAATCCCGCCGACCCAAGACCCCTCCCCCAGACCACCCAACAGACCCACCCCAAACCACAGACAAACACACACACACGCGCTCATGAACACTCATACGCACACACACACACACACACACACACACATACACACACACACACACCAGTAAAACAATAAAAACATGATGAGAGACTTGGCAGGGTTCAGATGCAACCAGCTGAAAAAGCGTCATCCAAGGAGCCGTCTGCACCAGGAGCAGAGAGCCGCCCGTAGCCACAGGGGACGACACAGGACCCAGAGGAGACATGAAACCGAGGCCCCAGGCCCCCACCAGGCCCAAGAGTCCGACCCCCGCAGCCACACACCGACCACTGCTCCCAGTGCAGAGGGCTCCTCCAGAGGAAACACTGGGTACACTAAAAACAATACAATAAGTAAAACACTAAAATGTGAGACTAAAAGGAACACACAATACATGAATAATAGCAATAGCAATATAATAAATAATAAATAATAAAAGATAAATAGAATGGAATAATAAAAACTAATCAAAAGCTACTCTAAAAAGGTGCGTCTTGAGCCTACTTTTAAAAATATGAACGTTCTCTGCGGCCCTGAGCTCCTCCGGCAGACTGTTCCAGAGACGGGGGCCGTAGTGCTGGAAAGATGCCTCGCCGTGAGTGTGTGTCCTGACTTTGGGGATGGTTAGGAGTCTGCTGCCGGAGGAGCGCAGGGGCCGGGAAGGTTCATAGGATAAAAGCAAATCTGAAAGATAAGAAGGCCCAAGACCATTAAGACATTTAAAAACCATTAAAAGAACCTTAAAATCGATTCTGAAACACACGGGGAGCCAATGCAGCAATTTTAAAACCGGTGTAATGTGGTCCCGCCCCCATCAACATTATTATTATTATTATCAACATTATTATTATTGTCAACATTATTATTATTATTATTATCAACATTATTATTATTATTATTATCAACATTATTATTATTATCAACATTATTATTATTATTATTATCAACATTATTATTATTGTCAACATTATTATTATTATTATTATCAACATTATTATTATTATTATTATCAACATTATTATTATTATTATCAAAATTATTATTATTATTATCAACATTATTATTATTATTATCAACATTATTATTATTATCATTATTAATACTATTATCAACATTATCATTATTAAAAACATAATTATTATAAACACTCAGTAAACATTGTGTAACTTCTGCATCTGTGAGATAAAGGATTGATTGATTGATTAATTGATTGATCTGTGACCTCCTCAGTCTTTGACCACGTCCAAGAAGAAGTTGGTGCACTTCACGAGCCTCGACCCCAAGAAACGAGCCAACGCGGCCGTGCTGCTGGGGGCCTACGCGGTCAGGACTTATACTTTCACATCGTAGAACATATGAATAATAGATACAATTATATATACTATCATATCCTGTGTTCAGTGTAGTTTAAAGAGACAGATCTCTCTCCACAGAAGTTTCTCTTTAGAGCGACTCTGACTCTGATCTTTGGTCTTGTACGTTTGTTCATTTTGTGATCAACAAAGTTTATTTTATTTAATCTTAGGTCATTTATCTGAAGCGAGGCCCAGACGAGGTCCACAGGAGTCTGCTCTGTGCCAACAACTCTCCTTTCATCTGCTTCAGGTCAGAGACGTCTCAATCTATCAATCAATCTATCAATGTGGACCAGGAAACAAAATGACCATGAAACAAAATGACCATGAAACAAAATGACAGGACAAACCTTCTCAGTCTGTAGACTCTGGATGCGTTCACACTGAGCGATGAGGCTGATCCAGAACGACTCTTTAACATTAACCTTCTTTGTTTACTCTGTGTTCAGTGTAAACAAAACCAGCGGTGACTTCTGGTCTCACAGGAGCCACACTATAAATATGTTTGATTTTGTCTCTTGTGCAGAGACGCAGCTGTGGGCGACTGCGGCTTCGACCTCACGGTGCTCGACTGTTTACGAGGAATACACAAGGTACACATGGTACTGCATCAGTGTGTACATGTTACTGCATCAGTGTGTACACATGGTACTGCATCAGTGTGTACACATGGTACTGCATCAGTGTGTACATGGTACTGCATCAGTGTGTACATAGTACTGCATCAGTGTGTACACATGGTACTGCATCAGTGTGTACATGGTACTGCATCAGTGTGTACATGGTACTGCATCAGTATGTACACATGGTACTGCATCAGTGTGTACAAATGGTACTGCATCAGTGTATACACATGGTACTGCATCAGTGTGTACACATGGTACTGCATCAGTGTGTACACATGGTACTGCATCAGTGTGTACACATGGTACATGTATTGATTTCCCGCTGGTCCTTTTAGTGAAACATGTGATGGTGTGTTCTTCAGGCGGTGCAGCTCGGCTTCCTGGACTTTGACAAGTTTAACATGACGGACTATGAGCACTACGAGGTCAGAACTGAGTCCACACACACCATCTACGCACCATCTACGCACCATCAATACACCATCAATACACCATCAATACACCATCAATACGCCATCAACACACCATCAATACACCATCAATACACTATCGATACGCCATCAACACACCATCAATACACCATCAACACACCATCAACACACCATCAATACACCATCAATACACCATCAATACGCCATCAACACACCATCAATACACTATCGATACGCCATCAATACACCATCAATACACCATCAACACACCATCAACACACCATCAACACACCATCAATACACCATCAATACACCATCAATACACCATCAATACACCATCAATACACCATCAATACACCATCAATACACCATCAATACACCATCAACACACTATCGATACACCATCAACACACCATCAATACACTATCGATACACCATCAATACACTATCAATACAGCATCGATACACCATCAATACACTATCAATACAGCATCGATACGCCATCAACACACCATCGATACACCATCAATACACTATCGATACACCATCAATACACTATGAATACACCATCGATACGCCATCAATACACCATCAACACACCATCGATACACCATCAATACACTATCGATACGCCATCAATACACCATCGATACACCATCAACACACCATCAACACACCATCAATACACCATCGATACACCATCAATACACCATCGATACACCATCAACACACTATCGATACACCATCAACACACCATCAATACACCATCGATACACCATCAATACACCATCGATATGCCATCAACACACCATCAATACACCATCGATACACCATCAACACACCATCAATGCACCATCGATACACCATCAACACACCATCGATACACCATCAATACACCATCAATACACCATCGATACGCCATCAATACACCATCAATACACCATCAATACACTATCAACACACTATCAATACACCATCAACACACCATCAATACACCATCAATACACATCGATACGCCATCAATACACTATCAATACACCATCGATATGCCATCAATACACCATCAACACACCATTGATACACCATCAATACACTATCGATACGCCATCAACACACCATCAACACACCATCGATACACCATCAATACACCATCGATACACCATCAACACACTATCGATACACCATCAACACACCATCAATACACTATCGATACACCATCAATACACTATCAATACAGCATCGATACGCCATCAACACACCATCGATACACCATCAACACACCATCAATGCACCATCGATACACCATCAACACACCATCGATACACCATCAATACACCATCAATACACATCGATACGCCATCAATACACTATCAATACACCATCAATACACCATCAATACACCATCAATACACCATCAATACACCATCAATACACCATCAATACACTATCAACACACTATCGATACACCATCAACACACCATCAATACACCATCAATACACCATCGATACACCATCAATACACCATCGATACGCCATCAACACACCATCAATACACCATCGATACACCATCAACACACCATCAATGCACCATCGATACGCCATCAACACACCATCGATACACCATCAATACACTATCAATACACCATCAATACACCATCAATACACCATCAATACACCATCAATACACCATCAATACACTATCAATACACCATCAATACACCATCAATACACCATCAATACACCATCAACACACCATCAATACACCATCAATACACCATCAATACACTATCGATACACCATCAATACACTATGAATACACCATCGATACGCCATCAATACACCATCAACACACCATCGATACACCATCAATACACTATCGATACGCCATCAATACACCATCGATACACCATCAACACACCATCAATACACCATCGATACACCATCAACACACCATCGATACACCATCAATACACCATCAATACACCATCGATATGCCATCAATACACCATCAACACACCATTGATACACCATCAATACACTATCGATACGCCATCAATACACCATCAACACACCATCGATACACCATCAATACACCATCGATACACCATCAACACACTATCGATACACCATCAACACACCATCAATACACTATCGATACACCATCAATACACTATCAATACAGCATCGATACGCCATCAACACACCATCGATACACCATCAATACACTATCAATACACCATCGATACACCATCAATACACCATCAACACACCATCGATACACCATCAATACACCACCCAATACACCATCGATACGCCATCGATACGCCATCAACACACCATCAATACACCATCGATACACCATCAACACACCATCGATACACCATCAATACACCATCGATACACCATCAACACACTATCGATACACCATCAACACACTATCGATACACCATCAACACACCATCAATACACTATCGATACACCATCAATACACTATCAATACAGCATCGATACGCCATCAACACACCATCGATACACCATCAATACACTATCAATACACCATCAATACACCATCAATACACCATCAATACACCATCAATACACCATCAATACACTATCAATACACCATCAATACACCATCAATACACCATCAATACACCATCAACACACCATCAATACACCATCAATACACCATCAATACACTATCGATACACCATCAATACACTATGAATACACCATCGATACGCCATCAATACACCATCAACACACCATCGATACACCATCAATACACTATCGATACGCCATCAATACACCATCGATACACCATCAACACACCATCAATACACCATCGATACACCATCAATACACCATCGATACACCATCAACACACTATCGATACACCATCAACACACCATCAATACACCATCGATACACCATCAATACACCATCGATACGCCATCAACACACCATCAATACACCATCAACACACCATCAATGCACCATCGATACACCATCAACACACCATCGATACACCATCAATACACCATCAATACACCATCGATACGCCATCAATACACCATCAATACACCATCAATACACCATCAATACACTATCAACACACTATCGATACACCATCAACACACCATCAATACACCATCAATACACCATCGATACACCATCAATACACCATCGATACGCCATCAACACACCATCAATACACCATCGATACACCATCAACACACCATCAATGCACCATCGATACACCATCAACACACCATCAATACACCATCAATACACCATCAATACACTATCGATACACCATCAATACACTATGAATACACCATCGATACGCCATCAATACACCATCAACACACCATCGATACACCATCAATACACTATCGATACGCCATCAATACACCATCGATACACCATCAACACACCATCAATACACCATCGATACACCATCAATACACCATCGATACGCCATCAACACACCATCAATACACCATCAACACACCATCAATGCACCATCGATACACCATCAACACACCATCGATACACCATCAATACACCATCAATACACCATCGATACGCCATCAATACACCATCAATACACCATCAATACACCATCAATACACCATCAATACACTATCAACACACTATCGATACACCATCAACACACCATCAATACACCATCAATACACCATCGATACACCATCAATACACCATCGATACGCCATCAACACACCATCAATGCACCATCGATACACCATCAACACACCATCGATACACCATCAATACACCATCAATACACCATCGATACGCCATCAATACACTATCAATACACCATCAATACACCATCAATACACCATCAATACACCATCAATACACTATCAATACACCATTGATGTTAAATCAGCCAATCACAAAGCAGCAGCCGAATGCATTGAGGCAGCTTTAACCATGTTACAACATTGTTCCTGATTCAGTGTTTTAGAAATGGTTGTAGAAGTTTGTTTGAGACGTGCATTTAGAGCTACATTCTCACATAGCAACTCGATAGCAACCACAGAGCCAATCAGAAGCGAGGTCCCTTCATCTTTAGCTGAATGTAACCTGGCAAGAGCCAGATTGATGATTGTGTAGAACTCTAACGCGTTCTCCACGATATCAATCTGGGATTTCTGCAGGAGAATCCTTTCGGGGAAAGGAGGGCTAAGCAGCAGAATACTTCAAGCTGATTGGGCGAAGTGACGCTGTGTCACTGCGTCAACCTTGGTAGGCGGGCGCCTACCAAGGTTGCCGTCCAGTAATGCACAAAGCGCCTCTCGCTGTTCATCTTTGAAAAAAGAAATTGGAGATTCTGCTAAAACTGACTTGATAGCCTCAGCTACGCGTCCGTCCTCCTGCGTAGCCATGTTTGTTTTGCTTCGGCCCAGCACTTCTTGTTTTCGTCAAACCCGGATATCCCGCCCTAAACCCCCAGACTGGCGCGTGATTGGCTCGCACACCCAGTGGTTCGACTCGAAAAGTGTAAGCGGGAGCGGTACAAGATGTATTCTCGAGTGTTTGTGAACTCACAAATACCGCGAGACTCAGCTTGCAGGCAAGGTTAAGCTGAATGTCCTGCTACAGAGTTATCACTTCCCCATTTCTCTCACACTTCAGGCTTCTACTTTTACACATCACAATTCATTTTTCAACATTAAAAACATTAAATCCTGCTGCTGCTATGACGAAATGCCACCGAGAGCAGGTGAAACTTTCAGAATCTGCAGATTTGAGATTTTCCTTCATCATAAAGATAATGAGACGACACACGAATAGAAAATGCACCAAGAAAACAAGAGAGATTGAAGAAAAAAGCATGATTTAGACGGAAAACAAAATCTGTACCTTTACCTGGAACCACAAGAGACTGTTTTATGTGTGATTGTTTGTCTACGGAGCCTTTGTGTTTGAAATAAAGCTAAATAATAATAATAATTTTAATAGTGTTTATGGTTCTGCAGAGGGTGGAGAACGGGGACCTGAACTGGATCATTCCTGGTAAAATCCTGGCCTTCAGCAGTCCGCACCATCGCAGGAGGATGGACAACGGTCAGTGACAGGGACCATCGTCTCTGCTCTGGTCCGGATCAGTGTAAAACCATCAACACTGTTCTGTAGCATCATTTACAGACAGAAAATAAGAAAGAAAAATAATTATTATATAACACAAAACAACAACTATTCCAGAGCGACTCAGGACTCGCTGCTGTAGTGCATTCTAAAGTAAACAGACCTCAGGAGTCAAACGCTGCCCCCTGGAGTACGCTGTAGGAACTGTCTTTAAGTGAATATTGATGTTACAGGTTACACTGCCCCCTAGAGTACGGTTGGCACTAGATCATATACGGAATCGGGACGAAACCAGAAGTAACTATCCTACTTTCGAATTAGTTTAAGACTAAAAAGTCCTTAAGTGGTGACTGGTTAAGTTTTAGGTGTCTGAGTAAGATGTTAGGGTTAGGGTTAAGGCTGGGTTGGGGTTATTTTATGGGAATGGCTGGTTAAGTTTAGGTATGAATAGGTAGTTTGTTATATTTACTTCCGCTTCCGTCCATATTCCGGGTATGATCTAGTGCTAACCCTAGAGTACGCTGTAGGAACTGTCTCCAAGTGTATATTGTTGCAGGCAACACTGCCCCCTAGAGTACGCTGTAGGAACCGTCTCTAAGTGTATATTGTTGCAGGTAACACTGCCCCCTAGAGTACGCTGTAGGAACTGTCTCTAAGTGTATATTGTTGCAGGTAACACTGCCCCCTAGAGTACGCTGTAGGAACTGTCTCTAAGTGTATATTGTTGCAGGTAACACTGCCCCCTAGAGTACGCTGTAGGAACTGTCTCTAAGTGTATATTGTTGCAGGTAACACTGCCCCCTAGAGTACGCTGTAGGAACTGTCTCTAAGTGTATATTGTTGCAGGTAACACTGCCCCCTAGAGTACGCTGTAGGAACTGTCTCTAAGTGTATATTGTTGCAGGTAACACTGCCCCCTAGAGTACGCTGTAGGAACTGTCTCTAAGTGTATGTTGTTGCAGGTTACCCGCTGCACTCGCCCGAGGACTACATCCCGTTCTTCCGTCATCACGGCGTCTCAGACGTGGTGCGGCTCAACACGAAGCTTTACGCCGCGCAGCGGTTTGAGAGCGCCGGCTTCTCACACCACGAGCTCTTCTTCTCTGACGGCTCCGCCCCCTCGGACCTCATCCTGCGCAGGTTTCTGCACGTGTGCGAGAGCGCCCCCGGAGCCGTGGCCGTGCACTGCAAAGGTCTGAAGAGAACTGTGACATCTGTTCATCTCATCGTTTAGAATCAGTCTCAGTCTCAGTCCCGGGTTTGACCCAAGCTCTTCCTGTGCTCTCTGGTCAGTGAGAGATCATCTCACTGCCAGGTCTCCCATCACAGTACTAACCAGGCCCTGCCCTGCTTAGCTTTAGCGGTCTGACAGGATCTGACTTTCACCTGTAGGTGGCGCCATATCACAGATATTGGGTCCGAGTAGTGACAGCTCAAAAGAGTTTTGTTCCATAGTTTGTGTTTTCCTTGTGATAGATAGAATAGATATGAACTTCTTCTTCTTCTGTGGTCCGCAGCGGGGCTGGGCAGGACGGGCACTCTGATTGGATGTTACCTGATGAAACACTTTAGCTTCAGTGCGGCGGAGGCCATCGCCTGGTTGAGGGTGTGTCGGCCCGGATCAGTGATCGGACCTCAGCAGAACTTCCTCCTGGAGTGAGTCCTGAACCAAAGACTGCAATAGTATTATTTATATTATTTATTTTAAGTAAAGACATATTTTGCTTTGGTTTCTGTCCTGGACTTGTGTGTTTTAACATTTGTTGTTTGTATTTTTAAAGTAAAAGAAAAGGATTTTAGAAAATACAGTACATGGATTTTAATTGTTTAATCAGAATATTGTGTGTGTGTGTGTGTGTGTGTGTGTGTGTGTGTGTGTGTGTGTGTGTGTGTGTGTGTGTGTGTGTGTGTGTGTGTGTGTGTGTGTGTGTGTGTGTGTGTGTGTGTGTGTGTGTTTGTGCTTGTTTTGTATGTGTGTGTGTGTCTGTGTATTTTGTGTGTGTGTGTGTGTGTCTGTAGGAAGCAGCGGTCCTTGTGGGTTCAGGGAGAAGTGTTTCGCTCCAAACAGAGGCAGCAGGAGAAGAGACAGATCAGGAAGCAGCAGCTGAGACAAGACAGCGGCGCGGCCAATCACAGCGCAGCCACAGAGCACATGTCCCGCCTCCTCCCCGCAGTGGACCACCTGTCAATCAGCGACGGCCTGCACAAGTCCAACAGCTACCACGAGGTCTGTGAGGCTCATAGATCCATGCTACAGCCTCACACATGGGTCAGATCAGGAGGAGAACAGCCCCATCTGGTGGCAGCAGTGGGACATTACAGTCTGCTGTTATGATAAACATCTAACACAGAGGAACCTGAATCTGGAAGTGATTGAAGTCATAACTGACAAATGACACTTCATTATGTATGTAGTCTCTTTAGTCTCCACATCTGTTCTGAAAAAAATTGCTGAGAACCAAAAGTTTCATTAACAAAACAAAAAAATAACTAGAAAACAAAAGATATAAGAAAATGTAGGGATTGTTTATGTGATGCAGGTCGCTGTATAGAAAGTGTCCTGGATTCTCAAACTCATGGGATTGTGATACTTTGACGCATGTTCAAGGTTGAGCGTTTTAATGTGTTTTGCAAATTGACATTGGTAATTTTCTAAGTGGATTTGAGAATAGTTTTGATATAGTCTGACTGTGGTTGCTCTGGTGCAGACGTGTGAAGACAGCGGCGTCTCTCAGGGCGACAGACTCTGTGCTCTGAAGGGAGAGCGCCCACGACATCACAGCAGCAGGTGAGGGCTATGACACCACAGGTACAGGTTAGATCCATGACATCACAGCTCCAGATTAGATCCATGACATCACAGCAGCAGGTGAGAGCTATGACATCACAGCAGCAGGTGAAGGCTATGACATCACAGCTCCAGGTGAGGGCTATGACATCACAGCTCCAGGTTAGATCCATGACATCACAGCTCCAGGTTAGATCCATGACATCACAGCAGCAGGTGAGAGCTATGACATCACAGCAGCAGGTGAGGGCTATGACATCACAGGTCCAGGTTGGATCCATGACATCACAGCAGCAGGTGAGGGCTATGACATCACAGGTCCAGGTTAGATCCATGACATCACAGCTCCAGGTTAGATCCATGACATCACAGCTCCAGGTTAGCTCCATGACATCACAGGTCCAGGTTAGCTCCATGACATCACAGGTCCAGGTTAGCTCCATGACATCACAGCTCCAGGTTAGCTCCATGACATCACAGGTCCAGGTTAGCTCCATGACATCACAGCTCCAGGTTAGCTCCATGACATCACAGGTCCAGGTTAGATCCATGACATCACAGCTTCAGGTTAGATTCATGACATCACGGGTCCAGGTTAGATTCATGACATCACAGCTCCAGGTTAGATCCATGACATCACAGCTCCAGGTTCGATCCATGACATCACAGGTCCAGGTTAGCTCCATGACATCACAGCTCCAGGTTCGATCCATGACATCACAGGTCCAGGTTAGCTCCATGACATCACAGCTCCAGGTTAGATCCATGACATCACAGCTCCAGGTTAGATCCATGACATCACAGCTCCAGGTTAGATCCATGACATCACAGCTCCAGGTTAGATCCATGACATCACAGCTCCAGGTTCGATCCATGACATCACAGCTCCAGGTTAGATCCATGACATCACAGCTCCAGGTTCGATCCATGACATCACAGCTCCAGGTTAGATCCATGACATCACAGCTCCAGGTTCGATCCATGACATCACAGCTCCAGGTTCGATCCATGACATCACAGCTCCAGGTTAGATCCATGACATCACAGGTCCAGGTTAGATCCATGACATCACAGCTCCAGGTTAGATCCATGACATCACAGCTCCAGGTTCGATCCATGACATCACAGGTCCAGGTTAGATCCATGACATCACAGCTCCAGGTTAGATCCATGACATCACAGCTCCAGGTTCGATCCATGACATCACAGCTCCAAGTTAGCTCCATGACATCACAGGTCCAGGTTAGATTTGTTGTGGTCACCTTTAAGGAGGTCTCACTGATGTTAAACTTCATGGATATCGTTCCAAACACGACATAAACTCAAAGTGACACAAGTGACTGATGCTGAGACTAACACTGGACTCACTGTAGTCACTTTACAGAATTAATAAAAATAAAAATAAAAATAAAAATAAAAATAATCTTCTGGTCCAGCAGCAGAGACGCTGGTCTGAGGCTGAACGGATCCACAGAGTCCAGCTCCATCCTCCCTCTGGTCAAGTCCAAAACCCTTCTGCCCTTCTCCTCCTCCAGGACGGTCCGACACCTGTCCCCCGCTCACATCAGGAGGTGGGCAACTATGATTATTGTGATTATTGTGATTATTACTATGTGCAAAACCAGAAACTCAACTCAAAAACATGATACAGACATTAGTTTGGGCCTGTTTTCAAAGGTTACAAAAATCAACATTACTTTTCTTAGACCTAAAGTGTTGTCCTTGTGTCCACAGCCCCTTCAGCCTCTTCAGCGGCCGCCCCACACTGACCTGCTAATGCTAACCTGCTAATGCTAACAGGCTAATGCTAACCTGCTAATGCTAACAGGCTAATGCTAACCTGCAAAAACACAGTGTGGAACAGATGCCCCTGGATCCCAGCCTGGGTGAAGCCCAACTTTAGCCCCGACTACATCAGTTTGGTCTGGCACTGCTTCGTTGGGGTGGAATTATGTCCGGACCAATCAGATTGTCAGGGCGGGGTTTATGCGAGGATGGACACACACACACACACACACACACACACACACAGACACACACACACACACACTTTCTCCAATAGAGTTTTAACACGTTCTTCTGTTCTGATGTTTCACTTGTGTGTGAGATCTGGTGTGAGGCAGATGGAAGGCCCCCTGGTCTCGGTTGATGGTCCGTGCACCTCCTGATTTCAGTATCATTCTTTCCACTTTGTCTAGACAATCTCAGGTGTGACATAAAACATAACTAAGTCTCTGAATGATTAAATGCACACATACTTTGTTATGAAATCAAGCTTCATGAATGTAAAGAAATGTGACAGTATCAAAGTTCTGCCTTTAGTCCAACGGTTGATGCTGTGACTGTTTTATAATAAAGAAATGGTTATGATTGTAATGTCTTCAAGCTGTTTTTTATTAGTTAGATATGGAAGTGTGAATTATCCTTCAGAAATACCCTCTGAAACAGTCAAACACATGTTTACATCAAAGGCAAGTTAGAGGAGAACTAGAAATGATGGAGTAAAAACAATAATATATTTGGTTCTGTTTGTGTGACACTGGGTCCAGCCTCCAGCGCCTCGAGGACCAACCCCCGGAGCCGGTGTCATCAGGGCTAAGGTCCTGGAAGATCCGTTTTTCTACCATTGATCAAAACAAACACATTTTAGTTTGATTCCACAGTCGTTATTATTATTATTATTATTATAGAAGGATCTGAGTCATAAATCATCTCGACAATGGAACTACATTTGTCACTGTCAAAAAACATTTTACAACAGTTTTTACTTGCTTCTTTATCATGGTAAAGTTAGAGGTTTTATCTTAATGTAGGAATAATAGAGTTATTGTTCAGTGTCTCTTGAGTGCTCCTCGTTCCTGCTGCTCTGTCCTTTCCTCATTGTGGGACAAATCTGTTTTTAATTAAACTATAGCAACTTATTTAGTGTGTACCTGTGACTGTGTGAATCAGAGCAGTCTGCACCACTGTTATTTTCTTCAGGATCAATAAAGTTCTTATCTTATCGTAACTATTTCTATAATCTTTTAGCTGTAATCCAACAATTCACTTTCTGATGGAACCTTTCATTTGATTTGTGTAAAATGTGAATCCATTCAGAAGATATAGAATTACTTTTGAAGAAGCTTAGAGTAAACCACCTACACAGACTGAGTGATGTGAAGTCCGATTCTCGCAGTGTCCTGTAGGGGGCAGCGTGAGCCCGTGACGTCAGGATCTACGTCACTTCCGTTGTGCAGCAGCATGGAGGAGGTTTGGCGGATTCTCTGCACTTTTCTCTTTTAAACTGATGTTTGTTTGAGTCATGAGCGTCACACTTCAGGTTTGTGCCTTTGTCTCTGAACCAAGAGTCATAAATATTTAGTTACCCTAAATAACTTCGCTGTCCGTTCAGAACCCATCACTGCCTGATGTATGAGCAGCTGTCATGGCTCTCTCTGTCCTCCAGACGTCAGCTACATTGGCTACTGTTTATTTTCAAATGCATTAATCTCAGTTTTCCAGAATATTTAAAACAATATCTGATTCCTTTCCAATCCTCGTACAGTTTGCGTCATGCAAATCAGTCTTTTTTTGTAGTTCCAAGAGTGAATAAAGAAGCTGGAAAACATGCATTTAAATTTAAAGCTCCGTCTGACTGGAACAGTTTGCCGCTGTCTATTCGCTCTCTAACTTCTCTGCCTCTGTTAAAATCTACTTTGATACAATATCTCCGGTATTCATGTCAATGTTTTGATCTTAGTTTATGAGACCTAAACTTGTCTAGTCTCCCGATTATTGTTATTACCATCAATATTAATAGTATTATCCATATTTTGTGTAACATCAGTACAGTCACGATGTGTGCGTGTGTGTGTGTATTTGTTATGGTTGCTTTTTTATTTTTTTATTATTATTTTTTTTATTTTTTTAATGATTTTCTTTTGTCTTATTTGCATCTGTTTTGCTGTATCTGTCCTTGTGAAATCTTGAGGACCCCCTCGAAAACGAGATGATTCATCTCAAGGGGCTTATCCTCTAAATAAATAAATAAATAAAATAAATAAATAAATAAAGTTACAGGTTCGACACAGGTGTCAGAGACTGCAGCAGCGACACGGCTCCTGACGTCTGGTATTATTGTTGTTATTATGTATATCATGCGTGACTCTCATATCAAACGCTCAGTTCCATCTCCACCGCAGGAATATTTTGACTACATACAGTTAAAAGAATATATTTGTTTTTCAGCATAAACATTATCCTGACCAGAGAGAAGGCAGCGAGGCCATAGACCGTAAACAACTGGAACAATTCTGCAGTGGAGATTGTTGGAAATAGTGTGTACCTGATTTTTATATTTATTATCAACATCAAACACACACACACTTTACTGTGGGAAGTTATAATACATCAAAATCAATCTTCACTTTGAAAGAGACACTAAGTAATTGTTAAAGAAAGTACATTTCTATTGTGAGAATTTTGTAAGAATTTTTTTTAAGTACTTGCATGTGAAAGCTAGATCCGGTCAGGCTTGTGAAGCCAGTGTTTCCCACACATAGACTAATCTGTGGCGCACCGCCACAGATTAGAGACCGCCCGCCACAAATTGCGTTTCGTATTATTATATATATATTTTTTTTGTTACGCTATTTAAAACATGCATCGTCTAGTGCCGCCGCAGCGGTCAATTTGACAGCGGGGAGGGGGGTTTAAAATGTGGCGGCCCTTCGTAACTCTCACTCAAGCTACGCGTCTCTCCCACATACAGAGACCTACACACACACAGCCCCTCCCCTTCGTGCACACCGCGTGTCTCCGTCTCCATCAGCGATCATCGCTGTAAGCAGCTGTGTCTATTCATTTACCGCGGTAAAGTGGCCCGCATCTTTCAGCTCTATGAACATGCGGCCCGCATCGGGGAAAAGACGGTGCGCGTTTTGTTGAGAACTTACGGTAACAGCGGAACGTCCTTTCGGAGTCACCCATTTTTATCGAACAGAAAGCGCGCTGGGGTCAGGGAGACACGTTTTTGTGATTAAAACCTTATAGAGATGCCACCCGGCACACATAGCACCAGCCCCCTACGATTCCTCCGGCAGATTGTGAGTCCTCAGGAGGATAGCCACTCTATTGTTTACATGTATAAAGTACACAATTTGGTCCGCTAGTGCAATTTTCAAGTATTGTAACTATTTACTGGAATAAGGTGTGCGACTAATTTCACTTGACTCATGACCTTATTATTGCCCTCTGCCACTGTACCAAAGACCAGAAACTTTTACTGTAGAAATATTGAGAAATATTGAGGTAAAGTAGCCATTTTGGTCCAAAATACCTCCAAAATAGTCAAAACATGTCACTTTTGATCTACTGTAACTTTTTACTGTAAAAAGGTGTGCGACTAATTTCACTGGATTCATGACCTCAAGATTGTCCTCTACCACTGTACCAAAGACCAGACACTTTTACTGTAGAAATATTGATTTAAAGTAGCCATTTTGGTCCAAAATAGCCTAAAAATGGTCAAAACATGTCACATTTGATCTACTGTAACTTTTTACTGTAAAAAGGTGTGCGACTAATTTCACTGGATTCACGACCTCATGATTGCCCTCTACCACTGTACCAAAGACCAGAAACTTTTACTGTAGAAATATTGATTTAAAGTAGCCATTTTGGTCCAAAATAGCCTAAAAATTGTCAAAACATGTCACTTTTGATCTGCTGTAACTTATTACTGTAAAAAGGTGTGCGACTAATTTCACTGGATTCATGACCTCAAGATTGTCCTCTACCACTGTACCACTGTACCCCCCCCCCCCGCCGACCACCACACATTGCCTTCAAACCTGTGGGAAACACTGGAAGCTATGCAGGGCAGGGCCTGGTTAGTATTATGATGGGAGACCTGTGGGAACACCAGTGGGGCAGCTGCGGCTTGACTAAGCACTTCCCCCACATTAGAATGAGTCTGGGAGGGGCTTCGCTTCTGTCAGTGTGCCCCAGGGCAGCTGTGGCTACAGTAGTAGTTTATAATCACTGTCTGGTGAGTATGAATAATGCTGTGAAGCGTCTTTGAGTGTCCAAAAAAGTGCTGTATGAAAAACCAATGCATTTTTATTGTATTATAATTGTTACACTCTTTCTGTTGTTTTTGTTGACAGAATCCGTCTCCAGCTCCGACCCTGACCCCCCACAGAGACATGCAGAGTTATTCTCTTCAACACTTGGACGCTCAGACCAGAGACAGACTGTTCCGCTGCCAACTCCGACTCCACAGACTCCCCCACACTGAGGAGAAGTGCTCTGGGCTGAAGCAGGAGAGCACAGGAGGTCCCCACGAGTCTGACCACCTAAAACAAACTAAACCCAAGCTTCACAAGTGTCAGTTCTGTAACAAAACCTTCTGTTCTGCGTCTAATGTCCAGAGGCACTTGAATTTGCACACGGAGGAATCCCCTTTTAGATGCGAACATTGTGACAAATACTTTTTGCGGATGTCAGACCTTAAACGACATCTGGAAACCTGCCCCAAACTCATGAACCCTCGGGACGACCGCAAAACCCACAGTTGTCACTTCTGCGGGGAGATGGTCAAGTCCTCAGATCTCAAACAGCACTTTCTCTCTCACACTGGACAAGGGCCGTATAAATGTGACCACTGTGACCTGGCCTTTATGGAGTCGGCCACGCTCAAACACCATCGTCAAGTTCGTCACGGTCTGTCCAGTCACGTCAAGACGGCTCTCAGCTGCACCGTCTGCGGAAAGAAGTTTATGCAAAGAGAAAGTCTCAAAAGGCACGTTCGCACCCACACAGGAGAGAGGCCGTACAGATGTGACCACTGCGGACGAACCTTCACGCAGTCGGGACACTTCAGGATACATCTGTGTGGTTCCCAGGAATCAGGCCTGGACCCTAAAGCTAAAGTCAAGCGTCACAGTTGTCCGTACTGTGGCAAGTCCTTCCACAGATCCACTGATGTGAGGAGGCACATTCGCATCCACACAGGAGAGAAACCGTACCAGTGCGTGGCGTGTGGGAAGAGATTCGTCGATTCTGGAACTCTCAATCGACACAGGAGGCAAATTTGCAACAATGAAAAGGCAAAAAGTAGTAAGACGTTTAAACAATCGCCTGAAATCCCCCGCATTTGTCAGTTCTGCGGAAAAACCTTTGCAAGACAAGACAACGAGACAGAGCCAGACCAGAGAGACGGTTGTGACGAGTGCGGGCGGAGATTTACTTTGTCAGTGACGCTACAGAGACACGACAGCGTCCACTCAGAGGTACAGTTTAAATGTGAGCAATATGACCGAGCATTTTTAACATCACAGCATCCAAAATGGAAACAGAGTGACTTTCATGAAGAACACACACCGCTCATTCATTCGTCCCGTCACAAAACATTCACAAAATCATCTGAATTTGACTCCCAGACGTGCTCTCCCAAGATAAAAGGACAAAACAGCTGTGACAAGTGCGAGAAGTCCTTCACGAAACCACATCTGCTCAGAAAGCACGAGCTCAGCCACACAGGAGAGAGTCTGTACAGATGCAGTAGCCGTAGCTTAGCCTTCACCACAGCACACGGTCTTAAAGTGCACAAACGCAGCTGTGGGAAAAGCATTTCTAAAGATGAAGTTATCCAGGATCAGCGTCTGCAGGTTTCTCACCAACGTCTGTGCTCTCGCTCCGGGACTAAGCCGGTTCAGTGTGAGAAGTGTGGCGTGATCTTTGCCAAACTCCATCACCTTCAAAGACACATGTGGAGCCACCAGGGACGTACGTCGTACCCATGTGACCAGTGTGGGAAGGTGTTCAATAACCGGTCCACTCTGCGGACTCACCACCTGGTCCACTCTGGCTCACACGCCTGCAATCAGTGCGAGAGGAGTTTCACCACAGCAGAAAAGCTACAAGAACATAAGAATATACATGTTGGGCTCGTTACATCTACACCTGTGCAGTCTGGAGACGTGTCGGACGGAGAATCTGACGTAGAAGAATTGTCCAATGTCTGTGCTGCAGAAATGGAAATCTGGTGTGAAGTGTGTTCGGAAACCTTTAACACCAAAGACCAGTATTATGAGCATCTAAAAAGTCATGAGATTGATCTTGTTGTGATTTAAGGTGGAATTTACTACTATGGAAGACATGTGGGAAAATAAACAAGTGCAATGTGAAGATATAGTTCTGCCAAAGACATGTTTTCCTCTAGCTACAAGTTTAACATAATAATAATAATAATAATAATAATACATCAGTTTTATATAGCACTTCTCAAAAACTCAGACGCTTCACAATTCAGGACAAGGCAAGGAAAATGTATTTATAAAGCATTTATACAGAAGCAACCCAGGGTGCTTTACAGGCACAGAGAGAACTTTGGCAAACAATAAAACATTATAGGAATAAAAAAACATAAAAACACACACACATGTTTAGACAGGCACAAAACTAAAAATCTAAAAGCAGGAAAGAATTAAAGGTAATTTGTAAATAGCAGTTATGTGTAATGCATGTGAGAGTTATACTAATTAATACTATAATAATAGTAATGCTAATTTAAAAATATGAACCAATTGATTTTGAGTCTGAAATAAAGATTAATAATAATAATGTTGTTTATTATTGTGTTTATGACAAGGTGATACCAAAGTTAACCGTTAGAGGGCGAGCTGCCGTTGTTTTGATAAGTTTCTCGTGTTGAACGGTTTTAAGTTTATTTCCCGCATAAATAATGTCAAAGTAAAAGATTCAGACTACACTGGACTTTCTCTTCATTTATTAAAGCTACGGTGCAACACAAATTTACTTTTCTCTTGATGAATTGTGTTTAGGTCAGATTCTCGCAGTGTCCTGTAGGGGGCAGCGTGAGCCCGTGACGTCAGGATCTACGTCACTTCCGTTGTGCAGCAGCATGGAGGAGGTTTGGTGGATTCTCTGCACTTTTCTCTTTTAAACTGATGTTTGTTTGAGTCATGAGCGTCACACTTCAGGTTTGTGCCTTTGTCTCTGAACCAAGAGTCATAAATATTTAGTTACAGGAGACAGAGACTGCAGACATGCGCAGTAGCGACACGTGTTTCTGTCACTATTATTATTATTATTATTATGGTGGTGTCTCCCCGCGGACGTGTACGTGTCGGACGGACTCTTTGGAGGATTTTTCCGAGGGCTGTGTGTGTTTTTGGAGCCGCTTGGAGGCTTCCGAATAATAAACAGCAGCGAGACTCAGAAAACACTCAGGCTGGTTCTACTGCACTTGTGCTTTTGCAGACTGCAGTTTGGTAGTATGACCACACGTTTCAAAGGCCACTTTGTCATTCATAATTTAGATTTGAATATAATTGTTACAAGTTATTGGATATAGGAATGTAGTCACGCCATAGACAGTAAATAGATACTCACATATGTTCAACTATAACCTAAATGACATTGCTTTTATATTGGTTACTCCAGGCTACAGAACATAGCTTTTTTTTAATTTTTTTTTACTTATGTCAAAAAAAGATAATAATATGAATGAGAGATCCTTATTGGTTTGCAGAAGGGAAATGTCAGTGTTGCATCAGTTGTTACAGAACAGAAGGAACGAGGAGCACACAGCGCACGATCAGTGAATATTTAGTGAAGCAGAATTCTATACTTTAAAGGACAACTCACCCTCAAATCCACTTTTTTTTGCTGATAAACTGTATAAATGAGTGTCCTATAGTGTTGTGTACATATCCTGGTCATAATATTGTCACTTTTGTGCAATATTGGCACAGAAGTTGGACCTGACGTCAGCAAGTTGGACCTGACGTCAGCAGCCCCCCGCCCTGAGGTTTATAAACGGCCCAGTCTCGGTCACGGCCCCGTAGCGAGTTGGAGAAGGAATAGCAGAGTATTTTCATCGATTGTCAGGTTTGCGATTAGTTATAGCATTTAGATAGATTTTCATTAGCATAGCTGTTTGTATTATAGATAATTGTGTCGTGTAAATTGCGTTGTTGTTTAATATTGTAGTTTTAGTCATTAGTTAGTTGCTTTTATTGTTGGATTAGTTTGCTGAATTTAGCTTAGGACTTTTTTTAGTATAAATTTTTATACTTCTGTATCTTGTGAAATTCTATTGTATATTGTTTATTGTACTTGTGTGTTACGATGGGGAGGAAGTGTAGTGTAGTGGGGTGCTGTAATTCTGTAGGTTTGCATGTGTTTCCTTCGGACTTAGAAATTAGGGGCCAGTGGCTGCGCACAATTGGTTTGGAAGAAGACTGCAAACTCCCTCCTCACGCCGGAGTTTGCAAACTACATTTTGCGCGTGATTCCTTCGCCAACTCAATGGAGGTGGAAATGGGCTATGCCAGGTTGCTCCGTTTGAAGAGCGAGTCCGTCCCCACCCTTGCTCTTCCACGACTGCGCCTTAGCCCACCGACACTGATGCCCCGCCAACAGGACGATTTCGGGCGCCAATCTAAGGTGAGTGGGAAATTATTATTCACCCATCTTGGATTTGATCACTTTTGCAATGATTGTGACTGCTGTAAAAAGTTGGTTCAGCCTATCCCGCTCATTTCTGTCAATAATTTCTGCTAAAGCAGACACACTGCTGAGAGCAATGAACCCGCAAATACAATGTTATTATTATTTGGTTCTTTACTGAATTTACTTGCTAGTTGCAGTGGCTTATGCATCAGTCAGCACATATTGGTCAGCTTTTATATTGGACAACAGCTGCGTGAAACGTGACTGCATCTACAAACTAACCTATAAAGCTAACCCAAAGCTATCACTGCTGTGAGGCTAAACTGATCGTTGCCTATGGCTCCGTGTGCGCTCTGCACTAGTGTGAGCGTGCTGACCACTGCAGGTGGACTGTGGTTCTTTTGTGCTGCTATTAAATGCACTAAGGAAATGTAAAACATTGTTACTTATTTCTTTGTGTTCAGCCAATGACCAGAGAAATTGGTTGCCAGACTGATCCAGTCATTGCACGGCACGCAAGTGTCCAGGCCAACGTGAAGCCGAGCAGACGAAGCAAAGGTGATATCTCTATACATTTTTGTTCGAACAGTACAGTCACTTTATGTCTATTTTTTGTTGTTGCTAGACTCAAGATATGTAAATGATTGTTTATTGTGTCTTTTTTCTTTTATAAAGCTATTCAAGCCCGAAGCGCTTACACAAGTGTCAGTTGTGGCACTGAGGACCTGATGGATATCACTCTTCCTGACTGTCCCAGAGCAGCCTCTACACCTTTAAAAAGGAAAAGGTGTGAGGTGCCAGCGTCTGATCCCAGCTTCCATACAGATGACAGTGTTAGCACTGTGAACTGCTCCAGGTATAAAAGAAATCTAGCTTTGTAATAAATATATATGTGTATGTGTGTTCTATATATAATATATATATATATATATATATATATATATATATATATATATATATATATATATATATATATAATATATAATATATACACACACACAAATACACAAATACATACAGTGCCTTGCGAAAGTATTCCGCCCCCTTGAACGTTTCAACATTTTGCCACATTTCAGGCTTCAAACAAAGATATACAATTTTAATTTTTTGTCATGAATCAACAAGTGGGACACAATCTTGAAGTGGAACAAAATTTATTGGATAATTTAAACTTTTTTAACAAATAAAAAACTGAAAAGTGGGGCGTGCAATATTATTCGGCCCCTTTACTTTCAGTGCAGCAAACTCAGTCCAGAAGTTCAGTGAGGATCTTTGAATGATCCAATGTTGTCCTAAATGACTGATGATGATAAATAGAATGCACCTGTGTGTAATCAAGTCTCCGTATAAATGCACCTGCTCTTTGATAGTCTCAGGGTTCTGTTTAAAGCACAGAGAGAACCATGAAGACAAAGGAACACACCAGGCAGGTCCGAGATACTGTTGTGGAGAAGTTTAAAGCCGGATTTGGATACAAAAAGATTTCCCAAGCTTTAAACATCTCAAGGAGCACTGTGCAAGCAATTATATTGAAATGGAAGGAGTATCAGACCACTGCAAATCTACCAAGACCCGGCCGTCCCTCCAAACTTTCATCTCAAACAAGGAGAAGACTGATCAGAGATGCAGCCAAGAGGCCCATGATCACTCTGGATGAACTGCAGATAACTACAGCTGAGGTGGGAGAGTCTGTCCATAGGACAACAATCAGTCGTGCACTGCACAAATCTGGCCTTTATGGATATCTCAAATCTGGCCTTTATGGATATCTCAAAGATATCCATAAAAAGTCTTGTTTAAAGTTTGCCACAAGCCACCTGGGAGACACACCAAACATGTGGAAGAAGGTGCTCTGGTCAGATGAAACCAAAATTGAACTTTTTGGCCACAATGCAAAACGATATGTTTGGCGTAAAAGCAACACAGCTCATCACCCTGAACACACCATCCCCACTGTCAAACATGGTGGTGGCAGCATCATGCTTTGGGCCTGCTTTTCTTCAGCAGGGACAGGGAAGATGGCTAAAATTGATGGGAAGATGGATGGAGCCAAATACAGGACCATTCTGGAAGAAAACCTGTCGGAGTCTGCAAAAGACCTGAGACTGGGACGGAGATTTATCTTCCAACAGGACAATGATCCAAAACATAAAGCCAAATCTACAATGGAATGGTTCACAAATAGACGTATCCAGGTGTTAGAATGGCCAAGTCAAAGTCCAGACCTGAATCCAATCAAGAATCTGTGGAAAGAGCTGAAGACTGCTGTTCACAAACGCTCTCCATCCAACCTCACTGAGCTCCAGCTGTTTTGCAAGGAAGAATGGGCAAGAATTCCAGTCTCTCGATGTGCAAAACTGATAGAGACATACCCCAAGCGACTTGCAGCTGTAATTGCAGCAAAAGGTGGCGCTACAAAGTATTAGCGCAAGGGGGCCGAATAATATTGCACGCCCCACTTTTCAGTTTTTTATTTGTTAAAAAAGTTTAAATTATCCAATAAATTTTGTTCCACTTCACGATTGTGTCCCACTTGTTGTTGATTCTTGACAAAAAATTCAATTTTTATATCTTTATGTTTGAAGCCTGAAATGTGGCAAAATGTTGAAAGGTTCAAGGGGGCCGAATACTTTCGCAAGGCACTGTACATACTGCGTCAATAGTTGAGGGATTAAATATGCCTCTTTCTTGTATATAGCCTTCCCGATGAAGTCCCTCCACACAAGGACAAAAAATATATTGTCCATGAGGACCACCTGCTGGAGCTGTTCAGGCGATGCCCTGTCTGCACTGGTCGTTGTACTGTGGACACGATGACAATCGGTACAATGCTTCGGGTCACTCAGCAATGTCCACGCTGTGAGTACTCCTATCACTGGTCCAGTCAACCGATGGTGAACAACATCCCGGCTGGGAACCTACAGCTCTGTGCTGCTGTGCTGTTCACCGGCTCATCATTTAGCCAGATTTCAAAGGTACTACTAAAACAAAGGAATGGTGTTATTTTTATACATATAATATCAGGTGATTTAATCTGTCTTTAGATTTAAGAAATACTGGAGGATTTTCTAGTTCCGAGTGGATCATCAAGACAAGTGGTCCTCCTAACTGTCAATCATTCTGCTGATGCGTGCTGAAGCAATATAGAATAATAATAAAGTCATAAGCTCTGAGGCTGAAGGTGTCTGCCTGCATCTGTCAGATCTGTCATGACCAAATAACACTATTATTTAGTTTTGTTGATCAAAGGTCTGTAAAATGCGCTATATAAATAAACATGACTTACTTACCAACTTACATTCTTTGAGTTTTAGGAGGTGTTGTTTATCTGTTCCCTTTGTTGTAGCATGTGCTTTGATTAACACTGCAAAAAGGGTCCCGGGTTTGATTCCACCTCCAGGTCTTTTTAAGTGGAGTTTGGATGTTCTCCCTGTGTCTGCGTCGGTTTCCTCCAGGTGCTCCGATTGGCTCTACCTCAAAAAACATGCACAATAGATCTGGTATGTGTGACCAGCTCCATCTCTGTGTGGAGCGAGGGACAAAAACCTGCAACAATTGTAAAGCTCTTTGTGGCTCTGGTCTGTGAAAGGTGCTAAATAGATGAAAAGGGGACTTACTCAAGGACTTTACAAAGCTGCCAATTCGCCAACACAGATCAGAGAATCAAACAGTTCAATCACATAGAGGCATTGGTCCTTAATGAGCAGAGACCAATGTCCATAAATGTCGATAACTGTGAAAGTTGCTGATACTATATATGTAAAAATAAGAATAAGAGAAGATTAAGAGATCCTTTATTTGTCCCTCAGTGGGGAAATGTCAGTGTTGCATCACAAGTAATAGAGCAGTAGGAAAGAGGAGCACACGGCACACGTTACCTGAACAGTAGCTGGGTTACTTACTTACTTACTTTTTAGATCTGACCTATTTATCTTCTTTCGCAGAAGCCATCAACAGCTCCGACGGCGCAGGAGAGCACAGACGACTATCTTTACAAATGTCACTTCTGTGGGAAGAAATCCAAGGCTGCGTCGGACCTGAAGAGACACATCCGCACGCACACGGGAGAGCGACCGTACCGATGTGAGGCCTGCGACGAGGGCTTCGCTCAGCTGGGGAACCTCAAACGCCACCTCCAGGCCTGCCACAACCCGGTCAGACCCCCAGCTAAAAACAAGACCTACAACTGTCAGTACTGTTCGAAAGTCTGCCCGTCCACGTTCAACCTGAAGAGGCACATCCGCTCTCACACCGGGGAGAGGCTCTTCAAATGTGACCGCTGTGGGAAAGCGTTCATGCAGCTGGTGACTCTGCAGCAGCATCTACAAGCCTGCCCCAAACTGCTGCGGCCTCGTGACCACTGCCAGGACTGCGGGAAAGAACTCGAAACAGAATCTGAGCTCGCCCAGCACATCTGCAGGACACGGCCCAGAGCCAAACGCAAATCTCGCACTTGTCCGGTGTGTGGTAAAACCTTCGTGTCTCCGTACAAACTGCAGCTGCACAGTCGCATCCACAGCAGAAAGCAGCTGTACCGGTGCGAGCCCTGCGACAAAGCCTTCATTCAGGCCGGGACGCTGAAACGACATCTGAAGGTCTGTCCCAAAGCGTTCACGTCTGCGGACAGAGACTCGGGCGATGTTTTTGCCGTGGAGGTTGACGCGGAGATCTCGTGTGAAGTGTGTTCGGAGACGTTTAACACCAAAGATCAGTATTATGAACATCTAAAAAGCCATGAGATTGATCGGATTGTGATCTAGTAATTATATTTGATAATGGATCGGATTTATAAAGCACTTTATATAATGGGCACCTGATGTTCCCAGAGGTCTCCCATCACAGTGCTAACCAGGTAATTTCCTGCTTCGTTAAGAGGTCTGAAAAGCTTTCACATGAAGGTATGGCCACATGATCAAACAAAAGAAGTGAAGTGATTGATCGGTCATCCATTGTTTTTGCCTTATCGTGGAAGAAGCAGATAAGAGGAATCTGAGACCCAGACAGACTGAGGATCTAGACCCAAATGTAGGTAGCAACAGCATAGCAACCAACGAGCCAATCAGTAGCAGCGCTTGTCCTTCCCAGTGAGCTTAAGTGGAATGTGAGAACAGAAGGCCCTGGATTGGTCAGTTTTTAACCAAAAAACTGGACTCAAAAGAAGACTTTATCAAACTAAATGGTGAGTGTTCCAGAGTCAGAGGAGATACTTTTTTAATGTATGTGTTTGGAGCCAGAGCGAGTTGAAGCTAAAGTCCGCAGCAGCCGGACTCTATCGGCCTCCATCATCAACAGTCATTTCAATAACTGCATCTGTACTTTTACTGTGCGTCTGTGTTATTTTAAGGCTGTTATTATGAGCTCTTCCTGTTCGGCTTCATTGACCAAGAGCATTGTCCATCCGTCTATCAATCTACCTTTGTTATTATTGTCCTTCACAAACAGAATGGTGGAGCCCCCTAGAGGCTGGAGCACCTAACATGTCCCTCACATTAATCATGCATGTTGGTTGTGCCCAAAAGTGAAATGTTGTAAACAAACCCCTTCAGATCGTCTTCATTGTAATATTTTTCTTTAAAACGTTTGCAAACCATGATTTCCTGAGCTCCACAAACTCTCCTACACGGAGCCTCACTGACGGAGTAATAACAGTTTTCCAGCTTCTGCCGCCGCCCTCTGAGCTCCATGTGGTATGATCTGTGTGTGTCGCCAAAACTCTCCATTCATGAAATAAATATTTAGATTTCACTCGTTCCAACTGTGATTCTCTGCTGTTCTTTCTGCTGCTGTAATAAACACACTTTGCTGAATCTTTGTGTTTGACAAACTTCCACAGTCTCAAACTTATGGTTGTTTGAGCACATTTATTATAAAAAGGACATATTTGTCAGTGGATTTCTCACATCAACACATTGAAGGTGTCTATGTCGTTCTCATCCACATTAGAATGAGTCTGGTGTGTGTGTGAATGGTTGGTGGTGGTGGGAGGGGCTGATGGCACAGACTGGTTGCCTCGCTTCTGTCAGTGTGCCCCAGGGCAGCTGTGGCCAAAAAGCGCTGTATAAAGCTGATGTATTATTATTATTATCATTATTATTATTATCATTATCAAATATACATTTCTGAACTGCTCGTGTGGGCTGCTCCTCATGGACGCTCTGAGTTTGGAAAGTCTGAAGTTTACGTAAATACGCAAAAAGATCATTTTACAGTTTTTCTCAGTTGCTTTGGTGCATTTCTCACATCAGACTTAAACTTCTCAAAACTATTAGTTCAACCTCCACAACATTGGGTCATTGGTGCACATCATCACGGCAGTTTCTCATTCCTCTGAACACATTTCAAATGCTTTCGTTCATGTATCAATAACTTTCAAACAATTCTCTGAGTTTTTTTAACATTATCATTTGCTTCTGTCCTGTCAGTCAGAATGAAACATACTTATGACTTCTGAATAGTCATTCACTATAAAACTAACTGTTCTCATTTCATCGCTTTGGTCATCACATACACAATTGTTGAACTAGTTCTCAAAATCATAACTGTCAAGCTAATTTCATACATTCCTTTATCTTTTTTTTCCTGTAAATATTTCCTAAATTGAACAATTTATCTCGGGTGAATTTCAGCTTCACTCTGAGGTGTGCTTTATTGTTTATTTTTGTCACAGTTCTACCATAATGATATTTCTGTATGTTTGTTCTATGTATATACATGTATGTGTCTGCACTTCTACAGCATTGTGCAACACAAATACAAAGAGCATATGCAGTACACATACATACATATATACATACAGTACATACATACATAGATACACACATACATACATACATACATACATAGATATACACATACATACATACACACACACACACACACACACACACACATACACGTTTTTGTTACCTGGTGGGTCCCTTTGACAGGGCCGTTCAGAATGGGACCCATAGACATAATCTTTTTTTACTGGGACTACTTTAAGTAATACAAAACAGTCAATAGAAACCAAACAACTATTTTAAAGGAATTTTATTTTAGATTTTGTTTTCGAATTGCAGTGATTCTATTTTTGACATAGAATTTAATGCCACTCCATGTCCGATGTCTAAGGTCATCTGGTGAGGCATTAATGCAGGCCAGGCAGTGAGACTTCCCAGGGACCTTTCCAGTCTGTATGAAAGGTGTCATGGTCTTCTCCACAGCCTTCACCTCAGATGCAGACCATGGCTTTCTCTAACGTTCTAGGGAGAGAAATAAAAATATATTAGCAATATACACTCCCAGGGTTAGGACCAAGCAGCCTGGCTGTAATCCCCCACCTGGTACACTTACCAGAAGGGGCACTGCCACTACCATGGGGTGCATCTGGATGAATGGTTGAAGGTTCTCCGCTTGAAGTTTCTTTTAGCCCGTCCGTTTGTGAGAGGATCTCTACTGCTCTCCCTGTCGCACAGAAAATAAAATTACAAGTGGCCTTTAGGGGAAAAAAATCATACATATTTTAATAATATCAAGAATTACCTTCAGGCTCAATTTGTATCTGGTCGAGGCTCTTTCCTTCGAATTCCGTCACTCTTCCCTGCTCCATGGCCATCAACACTTTGCTGATTTTGGCCAGCTCCAGTGTCCCCTCTGGTAGTCTGTAATATTGCCTGTGGATGCGAATGTCATGGCCGAGGAAGTTGGCAAGTATGTCCATCTCATTCTCTTTCATATTGAGAACTGTAGACATAGTAGCTATGTGCTTTCTAAGTTTGGTTGAGGCTAGCATCTCTGGATGCACCGCACCACATTCTTTGGCTACCTGGCGTAGGGAGTCTGATCCCCTGATGTGGGTGTCTGCGCCCGGGCGGGAAAAGAAGTATGGGTTATGGTCAGAGATGGAACAGGCCCTTCTGTTCTCCACCAGCACCTCCATCGAAGCAATCATTTCAGGAGTCAAAAGAACCGGCACTTTCCGACTTCTTTTCCCTTTAATTTCAATGCGTTGAAAATGCTGACACAGCTTTTTCTCAAGTTGGGACAGTCCCAGAGCAATGTCAGAATGGATCCCAGTCTTACTTCTTAAGGTAAAGGCTGTCAGTGGCATCTTTGAAACCTCACCTTCCCTTCTTCGATTGAAAATGATGACCTCACAAAGAGTCAAAACTGCCAGTTTAGACCAATGCTTAGACGTTGGCTCACTTATTAGGGTTTGCACATATTCAGGTCGACATACCTCAATATGTGCATGCATGGCTCTAACGTCCTCAGTCAGAGGGAGCAGGTCCGGAGTGTTCCACTTGGCTTGCCGGAGGGTCTGTAGGGCAGCAGAAGAAACACAGACGTCCCACCTCTTCTCAAAAAGCAGCCGGCTTCGTTGGAGGTTTTTAATAAATAGTTCATCAACACAATGCTCCATTTTTGAGTCACATTCAAGAATATCTGATAGCTTTCTGAGGCTATGGCCGAGTTTGAGGGCCAAGGATGGAGTCTTGTATTGATTTGTTTCCTCATCATATCCAGCCACAGACCTGACTGCATCAATCACATGGTTAAAGTTGGAAGGAATAAAGAAATCCTTAATTGTTTTCAGTTTCCCTGCGGTTTTTGCTTCGTTAATTAACCTACCGACTTCTCTCATTTTCTGCCTAATGTAATCATGCTTAGTCTTATCATGCCCGTGTTTTAAGTACAGGTGCTCTCCGAGTCTCAGAATCCCCTTTTTTGCTTTGACAACACCCGTGACCTCATCCTGATGCATTGCCGAAATTAAAGACCACAGCTTTTTGCTGATGCCCTCCGGTACAGGCTGGGCTAGGGAGCAGAGGGACTGGACCCTACTTCTACCTGGTTTAGCCTGGTTTAGCCTGGGCATCTTTCTGTGAAAGCCGGCACCTGGCCACATGCCTCCACAGCGACTTTCGCTTAAGCAATGCCCCACAGTCTATACAGTGCAAAAACTCACTGGATTTAACTGGGGAATTTGGCTGTTTAGCTGGGACTAAAGTTCCAATGCCGGCCTTTAAAACCTCAAAATTGTGCTCACGGTTTCCACTATTCCTGATCAAATCAAACTGAAGTTTACGTGCTTTAGATTTCACAGGTAGAGCCAATGCTCTGGCTACGTCACTTTCATTTCCATGTTTTCTAGTCAAATGACGGGACATTTTGTGGCAGGACATTGAACAGTAGAGGCAGAAGTGTCTCTTGCTGTAAACTCGCCCCCCATTTTTCTTCTTTTGCAGCTGCATGATAACAATCTTATTTGCCTTTGGTTCGTCACTTTCCGAGTCTTGAAGAAAAGTGTTTTTGATTTTTCTTTTTCCATACTTTTTTACAGGTTTCTTCTTGACAGTTAAATCGTCAGAATCTGAGTCGACTTCATCAATTAGGGACTCTTGACTAAGCTGCACAAACAACAAATAATTTGTAATCATTCTATATAACAATTTGAATTCATGACTTGTAGTCAGCACTTACCAGTGGTTTGTAAGCGTGCGCTTCAGTGTGCTCCTCCATGATTTCTTGCAGCCTAATGAACCACACACTTGCACCTTTTTCTAGCCTGACACCTGATTTCCTCTGTTGTGCTGCTCCATGATTGGCTCCAGCCTCTGTTGTGCTGCTCCATGATTGGCTCCAGCCTGCTGGACTGAAATTGCCCCAGTGTGCCCCTCCTTGATATCCCGCAACCCACCACCAGGGTTCCGACACATAACACACTTTTTTCAGGAAAGTAAACCTCCAGGGGTCCTTTCCATATTTTTACAGAGACTGCATAAGGACCGTTAGAAAAGCATTACCCATTGATTATTAAGCTTGGACCAGTGGGGTCCGGTGTTCGGGCCCCACCACGTAAAACCAGTCCCCATGACGTGAGTGGAATCTCAGGTTATGGAACCCACCAGGAGTTGAAAACAAGTGCACACACACACACACACACACACACACACACACACACACACACACACACACACACACACACACACACACACACACACACACACACACACACACACACACACATACACACATACATACATACATACATACATACATACATACATACATACATACATACATATACATACAGTACATACATACATATACATACAGTACATACATACATATACATACAGTACATACATACATATACATACAGTACACACATACATATACATACAGTACACACATACATATACATACATACATACATAGATACACACATACATACATACAGTACATACACACATACATAGATACACACATACATACATTCAGTACATACATACATACATACAGTACATACATACATACACACATACATACATACAGTAGATACACACATACATACATACATAGATACACACATACAGTACATACATACATACACACATACATACATACAGTAGATACACACATACATACATACAGTACATACATAGATACACACACACATACATACATACAGTACATACATACATACATACATAGATACACACAAACATACATACAGTACATACACACATACATACATTCAGTACATACATACATACATAGATACACACATACATACAGTACATACATACATACATACATAGATACACACATACATACACTACATATATACAGTACATACATACATAGATAAACACACACACACATACATACAGTACATACATACAGTAGATACACACATACAGTACATACATACATAGATACACACACACATACATACACACAGTACATACATACATACAGTACACACATACACACCTGCATACAGTAGATACACACATACATACATACATACAGTACATGCATACAGTAGATACACACATACAGTACATACAGTACATACATACATACATACATACATACATACACACACATACATACATACATACATATATGTCAGTTACGTCTCTAAATACAGTCTTTGTGTAACTTTACTGTAGTGTTTACTGTAAATGGCTGCACAGGTCGTGTATAGTGTGTCGTGCTCAAGTGTCACCGAGATCTGACTTTTTTACACTGAAAACACAGAGAGTAAACTTTCACAATGAAAACATGACTAAGTCATTTGACTGTGATGTTCATACTCAATGTTGTTAGGACATATTATTTTGACGACATAGACAGTTTCATTAACGTTTGGACTTGCTTTTGAGGAAAAAACTTTTCATTTTGAGAAAGTGACGCACTTTTGCAGGTTATCCACGAGGTTCTGCAGTTTACACTAATTGTTCTGAGAAATGCACCAACAGTTGTGCAAATGTGAAGAATGATGTGAGAAATGCACCAAAGCGACTGAGAAAAACTGTAATATTTACAATCTATGGTTTGAAAACAGGCATCAGCTCTGGAGTTGATCATAGTGTTTTGTATTGTAAAGGACTTTTAGTGTGAGACTCTGTGGCGCAACGGTAGCGCGTCTGACTCCAGATCAGAAGGTTGCGTGTTCAAATCACGTCAGGGTCAATACTTTATATTTTTCATCAGTCACACAGAGAAATGCGTTAGAGTTTGTATGCCTGATCCCTCAAGTATTTGCTGTTGTCTATAAATGTAACGAGCATCAATAAATGAGAGAATGTAAATCTTTTCAGAATCCCTGAGATGCAGTATGAACCGGTTTGGATGTAGTCAGTGATGGATTTATGTCGTTTTTAGACAAAAATAAAAGATTATCGACACCAAAGTCAGAATTATTAAGAGAAAAACGTACACAAATAGAAATGAATTGTGTTTAGGTCAGATTCTCGCAGTGTCCTGTAGGGGGCAGCGTGAGCTCGTGACGTCAGGATCTACGTCACTTCCGTTGTGCAGCAGCATGGAGGAGGTTTGGTGGATTCTCTGCACTTTTCTCTTCTAAACTGATGTTTGTTTGAGTCATGAGCGTCACACTTCAGGTTTGTACCTTTGTCTCTGAACCAAGAGTCATAAATATTTATCACAGCAGCGTCTCAGGGAACGATAATGAGCCTTCTCTGCGGGGGTCTCCCGGGTTTACAGTTTGTGGTCCGACCTGAGGCTCCATGCATCACTTCATTCTAAATCACTTTGTTTTGATCTAGAAACGTTTACAGTTTTATTACGATAATGTATTTTTATGACCAAAATTCAAGTCAATATATTAAAGTACAGCCTAAATCACAACATTATCTCGGAGGACTTTACAAAGCTGTCAATTTGCGAACACAGATCAGAGAATCAAACGGTTCAAACTCAGGAAATGAGCCATAAATGTTGTTAAACGTGTCAAACTGTCAACGTTGTCAGAAAAAGTGTGATTTCCTGCTATTGTTACTCAATATAATACATGTAGATGAACCAGTGATGGCCCTGAATAAGAAAACCTGAATGTAATGAGGAGGAAATTATTTATTCTGTCTATTCAGCTTTGCACTGTTTCAAATCCAAGTGATTCTGAGCCTCAGGACATTCTAGATCTGAGTTTGATGGATTCTAACGTGGCTCAGGTCAGGTCCAAGTCAATCACAATAAAAATACACATATTAGCCAAATTGCTATATAAGCCGCAGGGATCAAAGAAGCAGAAAAAAGTAGCAGCTTATAGTTCAGAAATGAACCTGCCCAGGTGTAAATCAGCTCTCCTGCTACAACCTGCATGTCTCCTTTTGGCTCATGATTATTGTGCACTGTCGCTTTAAAAATCAAACAATGTCTTCTCTTGTTGTTTTCGTTGACAGAATCTGTCTCCAGCTCCGACCCTGACCCCCCACAGAGACATGCAGAGTTATTCTCTTCAACACTTGGACGCTCAGACCAGAGACAGACTGTTCCGCTGCCAACTCCGACTCCACAGACTCCCCCACACTGAGGAGAAGTGCTCTGGGCTGAAGCAGGAGAGCACAGGAGGTCCCCACGAGTCTGATAGAGACTTCAAACACTCAGACCAAATCAAACAAGAGATACTTCTGCACATAAGCTGCCAGTACTGTCGCAAAAGATTCTACTCCACGTCTGCTCTGAAGCGCCACCTGCTGGACCACACCGAGGATCGACCGTACAAATGTGACCAGTGCGAGCTCGCCTACACGCGGATGGGAAACCTCAGACGCCATTGCCTTTACGCCCACGTAGAATCCAAACCTCGTGACGACAGCGACGGCCACAGCTGCCAGTACTGTTCCAGGAGCTTCCCGTCAGAGGCCTTTCTGAAAATGCACGTCCGCATCCACACGGGGACGCGGCCTTTCGTCTGCGAGCACTGCCACAAAGCCTTCACACAGATGGGATACCTGCAGAAGCACCGACTCTGCCACGACCCGGAACGCGAGGCTTTCCACTGTCACTTCTGTAAAAACACTTATTCGTCTTCGTTTAATCTGAAGCGGCACCTGGGCAGCCACACCGGAGAGAGGCCGTTTAAGTGTGAGCTCTGTGGGAAAGCGTTTAAACGTTTAGGGCATTTACAGAAACACACGCACGGCCACCATCGCGTTCAGGCCTCGGCTCATTCCTGTCAGAACTGTCCTAAAGTCTTTTCGTCGCCTCATGAGCTGCAGCGACACGTCTGCCTCCGCACGGAAGAGGAGCCGTGTAAATGCGAACGCTGCGTCTCGGACTGTAAACAGACAGAAATTGTCAAAACAGAATCTTCAAGTCAGTCCCAGAGTGTTCCAGGCTCATGCTAAAGACTCAATGTTCTTGTCATTAAAGGTGGAAGTTTAGTTTATTTCAAGCACACAATGAAAAACTGCATTATGTACAACAATAACAACTCTGATGGAAAGAAAGGAAGTTACTGGTACTTAAAGCCTCTCTGCGTAATTTTTACAGTTGCTCCAAATGAAAAAACATGTTAACCAAAAACAAATGTGACCCTTTTAAGAATATTTACCTCCACCGTGTTTTTGAATCAATGTCATAGACTTAGAATGTGACTTATAAATGTCCACGAGGTTGAGGACTCTCTGTGTCAATGCTCCATCTGTAAATACAGAGGCTGATGAGGGACAAAAAAGGAGTTTGAGCGGGAGTTGGGGACCACTGTCGAAGCCACTGTAGACTACAATATATGATCTTAAAGCTCGCTGGGAGTAAAAACGACACAGTGTATCTTTAAGAAGGAGTGGGTGAACTTTAACGTCTTCATAGTTTTTCAGTTACTTCCTTTGGTTTTACACTTTCTTGCAAAAACACATTTATATTGTCCAACATAAGTCCAATATATTAGCCTGGCCTTGAAATCTGTAAACTCTGGTCAATAATGTAATTTGTACTATGGTGTGGTACGACCAGGCTAACAGTATGAAAGTAGCACAAACAAGAAAACTGAATTTTCCGTAAGTTCAAATATATTTACTTTGAAAATTGTCCTGACGTGTTTTCTAATTGGAAATGTATTTATTAAATTATTTCACAACAACACTGATATCAAAGACATAAGTTTTTTGTGCATATCTTGGTTACACTTGTAAATGGGGTCCAACAAGTTCAGTGAAGATGAAAAAGTGCCAAAAATCCATCTCCTGAACATCTGAGAACATCTGAGGAGCCATGATGGATCTGACTGTGATCAAACCAGACCTTAGCAGTCGAGTGAAGAAGCCGATCAGAGCAAACCCACTGATGTATTGTATCTGGATCTGTTACTGCTGTCTAAAGGTAAATATAAGGATTTTCTCAAATGTTAGGAAAGACCCGCCCTCGTCACTTTTTGAACAATTTCTCTTATTGGACGAGCACAAATCCCCAGAATGATTGACAGTTGGGAGGACCAATAGTCTTGATCCACCCGGAAGTAGAAAATCCTCCTATATACCTTTAAATAGAAGAAGAATGTTTTGTATGTCTGTTTTGTCACAATGCTAACAGCTATAAGCTAGCAGAAGTGACCGGAAATAAAATGTAAAAATCCTTCAAAATGGTAGTGACCTAATCTTTACTGAACATCATCAAACATATTCAACATCAAAAAAATACTACATAGTTCCGTTTCCTCTAGCGCCTTCAAGTGTGTAACTACGTTGATCTCCAAAAAAAGAACTTAACGCCTCGACCTAAGTAGACCAATCGTAGAATAATACTCTTTCCAAGCTGCAAAAACGTCTCTTTATAACAGCTTCTTTAAAATACTTCTCCATTTCTTCTTAGAGGAGCAAACTTAAACGGGAGCAAAAATGATCTGAGTTGCCGTGGCAACCAAAGCGTCAGTTACACTCAGTTATGACTTGAGTTGTCATGGTAACCGCAGCGCCAGTGACAAATACAAGTGTATTTTGTATCAAGTAGAAAATCACAACAAAACTGTCGTTGATTTGAAATATGTCACAATCTGCATGTTATAAAAGAGAGGATTATTAAACAATAGAGCTACATGTTTACCAGGAAGGGCCATGGTTTGGATCTGAACCTCTGAGCCTCTGAACCTATGAACCTATGAACCTATGAACCTATGAACCTATGAACCTCTGAACCTCTGAGCCTCTGAACCTATGAACCTCTGAACCTATGAACCTATGAACCTCTGAACCTATGAACCTATGAACCTCTGAACCTATGAACCTATGAACCTCTGAACCTCTGAGCCTCTGAACCTATGAACCTCTGAACCTATGAACCTATGAACCTATGAACCTCTGAACCTATGAACCTCTGAACCTATGAACCTATGAACCTCTGAGCCTCTGAGCCTCTGAACCTATGAACCTCTGAACCTCTGAACCTATGAACCTATGAACCTCTGAACCTATGAACCTCTGAACCTCTGAACCTATGAACCTATGAACCTATGAACCTATGAACCTCTGAACCTCTGAGCCTCTGAACCTATGAACCTATGAACCTATGAACCTCTGAACCTATGAACCTATGAACCTCTGAACCTATGAACCTATGAACCTCTGAACCTCTGAGCCTCTGAACCTATGAACCTCTGAACCTATGAACCTATGAACCTATGAACCTCTGAACCTATGAACCTATGAACCTATGAACCTCTGAGCCTCTGAGCCTCTGAACCTATGAACCTCTGAACCTATGAACCTCTGAACCTATGAACCTCTGAACCTCTGAACCTATGAACCTCTGAACCTCTGAAACTCTGAGCCTCTGAACCTCTGAACCTATGCACCTATGAACCGCTGAACCTATGAACCTCTGAACCTATGAACCTCTGAACCTCTGAACCTCTGAACCTATGAACCGCTGAACCTATGAACCTCTGAGCCTCTGAACCTCTGAACCTCTGAGCCTCTGAACCTCTGAGCCTCTGAACCTCTGAACCTCTGAACCTCTGAGCCTCTGAACCTCTGAGCCTCTGAACCTCTGAACCTCTGAACCTCTGAACCTATGAACCTCTGAACCTCTGAACCTATGAACCTCTGAACCTCTGAGCCTATGAACCTCTGAACCTATGAACCTATGAACCCCCCCAGCATCATCAGCAGCTGCCACATCTTCATCAGCGCCATCAGCATATACAGCACCACCAGCAGCAGTGGATACAGCCGCAGCAGTGGCTGCTCCATCATCTTCAGCAGCAGCAGTGGATACAGCAGCAGCAGTGGCTGCTCCATCATCTTCAGCAGCAGCAGTGGATACAGCCGCAGCAGTGGCTGCTCCATCATCTTCAGCAGCAGCAGTGGCTGCTCCATCATCTTCACCAGCAGCAGTGGATACAGCAGCAGCAGTGGCTGCTCCATCATCTTCAGCAGCAGCAGTGGCTGCTCCGTCATCTTCAGCAGCACCTTCCCCACCTACAGCTCCCGTGAAGCTTCCCCCATTACTCCAGGCTACAGTCAGGCCTGTACTGGGGGTCCCTCAACCACCTCTGTCTCCACCAAAGACTCCCTCATCACCTACCATGGACCCGGCTTGGGTCCCCCCCGCTACATCCACTCCATCTAGGGAAAATGAGGACGACCTTTCCCTTTGTTTTCTATCCCCGCCTTCACTACTGGATTTACCGGAACACTCTGCAGGCATGATAAGATCGGCGATGAAGACTATTCCTCTCACACCCACTGTAGCCAGATCAAGAGTCCTATCTAACATTCAAAACTACTCCCCATACGTACCTCCAAAGCCACCTAGGGCGTCCAACTCAAATTCTCCCACAAAATCCACCCGTCCCTCCTCTAACCCCATAAGTATTCCACCCCCCCCTCCTGCTCATTTAGCCCACCTCCCCCCCCCTAACTCAGCACCAAGAAACCCTCCACCTCCACTCCCCCCTCGTCCACCACCTCGTTCAACACCCCTCGTTCAACACCCAAAAGCCACCCACCTCTCCATCCTCCTCCCCCGCCTTCCCCTACCCCTCTTTTCTCTAAACACTAGGATGCACAGGGTCTCTGCTTCGCAGCCACTGGCAGTCTAGTTAGAGGAGAGACCCGGCTGGGGCCCTGTCATGAAGCCACCTGTGCCATTCCCTTAGTGATAACACAAAGAATACATTACAGAAAAACATCTGGAGTTAATCAGTCTAATCTGGAAAATCTAATTCTTGTTCCGCGTAAGAATCAGCCGACCGCAACCGCTGATACTGAAACTTTGAAACTTGCTACGCTTAATGTCAGATCTCTTTGTAACAAGTCTTTTTTAATCAATAATTTTATTTCTTCTCATAATCTTGATCTTATGTTCATGGCTGAAACTTGGCTTGACCAAAATTCAGAAAATGCTGTTTTAATAGAAGCATCACCACCAAATTTCAAGTTTGAATCTGAAATACGGGAAAACAAAAAAGGAGGAGGCTTAGCTGCCATTTTTAGAGACCACTTTGTCTCCCATAGAATGTCTCTTGGGAAGTTTTCGTCTTTTGAATATGTGTCTTTTAAAATACAACAAAAACAATCTCCTCCAATACTCTTCGTTGTCCTATACAAGCCACCGCAGTCATGTCACAGTTTTATTGATCATTTTACCGAGTTGCTTTCAGTTGTATGCACAGATTTTGATAGTTTGGTTATTACAGGTGATTTTAATATTCATGTGGATAATGTTGATGACAGAAATGCAAATGAGCTGAGTTCTGTACTTGAATCCTTTGATCTCACTCAGCACGTAAGTGGCCCCACCCACAGCAGAGGGCACACTCTAGATCTGTTAGTTACAAAGGGGGTGATTATTTCAAATGTAAACGTGGTCGATGTTGCTCTTTCGGATCATTTCTGTGTTTTTTTTGACATGTGTTTCACTAACAAACCACCAGTGGACTCTGCAACTGTTCGAAGAAGGCGCATAAATGAAAATACGAGTGAACTATTTATGGAAATGATAAACTTTGAGAATGCATCGTATTCTACTGTAGATGAACTGTTTAACTCTGTCACCTCTAGTGTTTTGAATGTTCTGGATACCGTTGCCCCTGTGAAGGTTAAAATAGTGAAAAATAAGCAGAAGGCGCCGTGGGCTAAAGCAGACTCGGTCAGGGCACAAAAGAGAAAGTGCCGGAGGGCCGAGCGGAAGTGGCGCAAGTCCAACCTCCAGGTAGATTACGAGATCTTCAAAGATAAGTTGTGCGAGTTTAACCGGGTGCTACGTAGTACGAGAGAAAGGTATTTTTCTGAAATGATTGAAGGCTGCAGCAACAATCTGCGTGTTCTGTTCTCAACAGTTAATAGATTAACAAACCCCCCTGTTCAAATGCCATTAGAGCTTACTTCCAAACGTAAATGCAATGAGTTTGCTAATTTTTTCAATGACAAGGTTCAAGGCATCAAAAGCGCCATTGTCTCCAATCCACAGATAACCATCCAACAGCCAGAAAGGCTCTCTGAGCTAACTCACTTTGCACCTGTAAATGATAAAACTGTCCAAGAGATAATCTCCAGTTTGAGCTCCTCCACATGCAGCCTGGATGTACTACCCACTAGATTTCTGAAGTCTGTTCTGAGCAGTCTGTTACCTTCACTCACACAGATAGTAAACATGTCCCTTCATTCTGGAATATTCCCAAAGGCCCTGAAAACTGCAGTCATCAGGCCCCTGCTAAAAAAGAGCAGTCTGGATGCCACTGTACTTAACAACTATCGTCCCATCTCAAATCTGCCATTTATGGGGAAAGTCCTTGAGAAAGTTGTCTACCTACAGCTTACTAGATTTCTTATAATCAACAACTCATTTGATATGTTTCAGTCCGGCTTTAGACCCCACCACAGCACTGAGACTGCTCTCGTTAAGGTTACAAACGATATCCGGCTGAACACTGACGCAGGCAAAGTCTCAATCTTAATCTTGTTAGATCTAAGTGCTGCCTTTGACACCGTCGACCATGAGATCCTCTTACAGAGACTAGAGGACTGGGTTGGCGTCACCGGCACCGCCCTAAGTTGGTTTAGGTCTTACCTTGAAGACAGGAAGTACTTTGTGGAGATTGGAAACTGTGTCTCAGATCATATGGCCCTGACCTGTGGAGTCCCACAGGGGTCGATCCTGGGACCTCTTCTGTTCAATCTCTACATGCTGCCGTTAGGTCAGTTAATACGCAGAAACAAAGTTTCCTATCATAACTATGCAGACGACACTCAGATCTATGTCTCACTGACTGCAGGAGAACATGGACCAGTGGACTCACTCCTTCACTGTATCCAACAGATCAGTGAGTGGATGCAAAACAACTTCCTTCAGCTAAACGCAGACAAAACTGAAATGATTGTCTTTGGTCCCCAGAAACAAAGAGAGAGCGTCATCTGTCACCTACAGTCTCTCTCCCTAAAACCTTCAAACAAGGTCAGAAATCTAGGGGTAATACTGGACTCAGACTTAAATTTTAATAGCCACATCAAATCAGTAACATCAGCAGCTTTTTACCATCTAAAAAACATTGCCAGGATCAAAAACATAGTGTCTAAAGCAGACTTGGAGATTCTTATCCATGCATTTGTCTCCAGTAGGTTAGACTACTGCAATGGCCTGCTCACAGGTCTGTCCAAACAGGCTGTAAAACAGCTGCAGTACATTCAAAATGCAGCAGCTCGAGTCCTGACTAGAACCAGGAAGTACGACCACATTAGTCCTGACTAGAACCAGGAAGTACGACCACATTAGTCCAGTCCTCAGGTCTCTGCACTGGCTTCCTGTGGCTCAGAGAATAGACTTTAAAACAGCTCTGCTTGTGTACAAGTCTCTCCATAGCCTCGCACCAAAATATATTAGTGACATGTTAGTCCCATATGAACCAGCCCGGACTCTGAGGAGCACAGGGACTGGACTCCTGTTAGTGCCCAGAGTCAGAACTAAGCATGGGGAGGCTGCTTTTCAGATTAATGCTGCTAAAATCTGGAACAGTCTTCCTGAAGATGTGAGACAGGCCTCCTCTCTGACAATGTTTAAAACCAGGTTAAAGACGGTTCTGTTTAACTGTGCATACAACTGAGGGATTTTATATTTTTATCTTTCTTTTTAATGTTCTGTGATAATTTATGATTTTAATGCTTTCTTGTTTTGTTCAGCACTTTGAATTGCCTTGTGTATGAATTGTGCTATATAAATAAACTTGCCTTGCCTTGCCTTGAACCTATGAACCTATGAACCTCTGAACCTATGAACCTCTGAACCTATGAACCTCTGAACCTCTGAACCTCTGAACCTCTGAACCAGGGGGATTTGATGCTTGTTCTTGTTTTGTACAGTCTGAATCGTGCTATACAGATAATCTTGCCTCGATGGTCCATGCACCTCGCTCCATCACAGGTTTACTCACTTCTATCCATCTCTTTTATCTGTCAGAAGTTCTTCCTGGAGCTCGATAGATCCATAGAATAATACAAATTAATCTGACCGTTTGTAAAAATACACTTTGCGTCTGATGTTTGGTCCCGTGGTCGATGATGTCACTTCCTCTGCTTTATTTTGAAACTGAAGCGAGAATGATGTCATCCAGAGCCTGCACCCGAGAGAGAAAAAACAAGTCACATTTCATGAGTTCAGAATCATTTTGTTTTATTTTCCTTGCCTCAAATGAAATGTGGAAGTCTGAGAGATGGTAAGATAGACATTTATAGATAGATTAGGAACGCTTATATAACAGGACTGTACTTGGGTTTATACAGCGCTCTTTTGGACTCTCATGATAATAATACTCATTCACTCCATACACAGGAATTGCTACTGTAGCCACAGCTGCCCTGGGGCACACTGACCGGTCCGTGCCATCGGCCCCTCCCCCCACCACCAACCACTAACACACACACCAGACTCACTCTGATGTGGGGGAAGTGTCTTGGGGCACATGAATTAGCAGTTGATGAGTGAAGGTTACTGTATTTTGTTTTCCAGTCTTCTTCCCAACAGTGTCAGCCATTATCATCCAAAAAATAAGATTAAAAACGTGACATATTTGATTTAAATATTTTGAATTAGTATTTTCTGGTTTCCGCACATACAGATTTTGAAGACAGTAAATTTTAAGTATAAATGACACTAACATTGATCTCCTATCCTGACTTCTAATCCCTTTTCTAGACCCATTATTTCTAAAGAAGAAGAAGAAAATCACCCCCTCCCGCCCCTCCCTCTGATTCCCCCACTCTCACAAAGCAAAAAAGAAAGAAGTAATAATACAAAATAATAAAAAGTTACAGTGAGAACAAAAACATCCATCCATGTCCACTCAGCACCAGCCCCTCCTGCAGGTGCTGAGTCCAGGCAAAGTGGGGTTAAGTGTTTTGCCCAAGGACACAATGACAGTAGACATCAGTGGAAGCCATGAAGAAGGTCTCATGGTGGCCCAATGCTCTACCAACTGAGCCACTGTCACCCCACAAATATAAATATAAATAACAATAAAAATAATTAAATATAAACAAAATAAAATAATAATGATAAAAGAGAGATGACCTGTGTGCCTGGTCCTCCGCTGTGGACGCTGTGGAGCAGATGGACCCACACCTGGCCCCCGCTGTCCCCCACCACTGCACAGTCTGAGTGGGGGCTGAAGACCAGAGACGTGAAGCTCACTGAGGGAGGGGCCGGCAGCACCAGGAGGGGGTCCAGGCTGAGGAGAGAGCACACAGAGACTGAGGAGAGAGCACATACTACAGAGACGAAAGAGAGAGACCAGAGAGAGACCAGAAAGAGACCAGAGAGACACCAGAGAGAGACCAGAGAGAGACCAGAGAGAGACCAGAAAGAGACCAGAGAGACACCAGAGAGACACCAGAGAGAGACCAGCGAGAGAGACCAGAGAAGAGATTAGAGACCAGAGAGAGAGACCAGAAAATAACTGAATCTAATCTCTCACATGCTGTGCTGGAGGTCCCAGATCTCCAGCTGGGCCTCGCTGACGGCTCCGATCACGGTGGCGGACTGAGGGGACCAGCACGAGTCCAGCACGGCCCTGTAAGGCGAGCTGAGGACCAGCACGGGCCCGGAGCGCTCCTCTCTCCACAGCTTCAGGCTCCAGTCCGAGGAGCAGCTCAGGAACAGGCCCGGGCTCAGGGGGCTCCAGGACACGCCCAGCACCGGACCCTGACAAGAGCCATTTAAAAACACAGATAAAAAGCGTAAATAAAAAATAAAATAAAAAAGACCATCCATCCATCCATCCATTTTCTTCCGCTTTATCCGTTGCCGGGTCGCGGGGGCAGCAGTCTAAGCAGAGACGCCCAGACTTCCCTATCCACACACACCTCCTCCAGCTCGTCCGGGGGGACCCCAAGGCGTTCCCAGGCCAGCTGAGAGACATAGTCTCTCCAGCGTGTCCTGGGTCTTCCCCGGGGCCTCCTCCCGGTGGGACGTGCCCGGAACACCTCCCCAGGAAGGCGTCCAGGAGGCATCTTGAACAGATGCCCGAGCCACCTCAACTGGTTCCTCTCGACGTGGAGAAGCAGCGGCTCTACTCCGAGCTCCTCCCGTGTGACTGAGCTCCTCACCCTATCTCTAAGGGAGCGCCCAGCCACTCTGCGGAGGAAGCTCATTTCGACCGCTTGTATCCGCGATCTCGTTCTTTCGGTCATTACCCAAAGCTCATGACCATAGGTGAGGGAGGGAACAAAGATTGACCGGTAAATCGAGAGCTTCGCCTTTCGGCTCAGCTCCCTCTTTACCACAACGGTCCAATACAGAGACCGCATCACTGCGCACGCTGCACCGATCCGCCTGTCAATCTCACGCTCCATTCTTCCCTCACTCGTGAACAAGACCCCGAGATACTTGAACTCCTCCACTTGAGGAAGGACCTCTCCACCCACCTGGAGAGGGCAAGGCACCTTTTTTCCGGTCGAGCACCATGGCCTCGGATTTGGAGGTGCTGATTCTCATCCCAGCCGCTTCGCACTCGGCTGCAAACCGTCCCAGTGCATGCTGCAGGTCCTGGTTCGTTGGAGCCAACAGGACGACATCATCCGCAAAAAGTAGAGATGAAATCCTGTGGTTCCCGAACCGGACCCCCTCCGGCCCCTGGCTGCGCCTAGAAATTCTGTCCATAAATACAGTGAACAGAACCGGTGACAAAGGGCAGCCTTGGCGGAGGCCAACATGCACCGGGAACAGGTCTGACTTACTGCCGGCAATGCGAACACAGCTCTGGCTCCGGTCATACAGGGACCAGACGGCCCTCAGCAGAGGACCCCGGACCCCGTACTCCCGGAGGACCCCCCAAAGGACACCCCGGGGAACACGGTCGAACGCCTTCTCCAAATCCACAAAGCACATGTGGACAGGTTGGGCGAACTCCCATGAACCCTCGAGTATCCGATGGAGAGTATAGAGCTGGTCCAGTGTTCCGCGACCGGGACGAAAACCACACTGCTCCTCCTGAATCCGAGATTCGACCATCGGACGTAGCCTCCTCTCCAGTACCTTGGAGTAGACCTTACCGGGGAGGCTGAGGAGTGTGATCCCACGATAATTGGAACACACCCTCCGGTCCCCCTTCTTGTAGAGAGGGACCACCACCCCGGTCTGCCACTCCATTGGCACCGCCCCCGATCGCCACGCGATGTTGCAGAGACGTGTCAGCCAAGACAGTCCTACAACATCCAGAGACTTTAGATAGTCAGGACGGATCTCATCCACTCCCGGCGCCTTGCCACCATGGAGGCTGCCAACCACCTTGGTGACCTCGGCCAGGGAGATGGAAGTGTCCGCCCCAACATCCTCAGCCTCTGCCTCCTGAACGGAGGACGTGACGGGGGGATTGAGGAGAACCTCGAAGTATTCCTTCCACCGCCCGACAATATCCTCAGTCGAGGTCAGCAGCCCTCCACCCGCACCATACACGGTGTTGGCAAAGAACTGCTTCCCCCTCCTGAGGCGCCGGACGGTTTGCCAGAACCTCTTCGAGGCCGACCGATAGTCATGCTCCATGGACTCTCCGAACTCCTCCCAGTCCCGGGTTTTTGCCTCTGCAACAGCCCGGGCCGCCGCGGACGTTTGGCCTGCCGGTACTGGACAGCTGCCTCAGGAGTCCCCCGAACCATCATGGCTCGATAGGACTCCTTCTTCAGCCTGACGGCATCCCTTACTGCCGGTGTCCACCACCGGGTTCGGGGATTGCCGCCGGGACCAGCACCAGAGACCTTGCGACCACAGCTACGAGCCGCCGCATTGGCGATAGAGGAAGAGAACATGGTCCACTCGGACTCGATGTCCCCCTCCTCCGCCGGGACCTGGGAGAAGCTCTCCCGGAGGTGTGAGTTGAAAGTCCGTCTGACAGGGGGCTCCGCGAGACGTTCCCAGCAAACCCTCACTATACGCTTGGGTCTGCCAGGTCTGACCGGCTTCTTCCCCTGCCAGCGGATCCAACTCACGACCAGGTGATGATCGGTTGACAGCTCCGCCCCTCTCTTTACCCGAGTGTCCGAGACACGCGGTCGAAGGTCAAATGATACGACAACAAAGTCGATCATCGACCTCCGGCCTAGGGTGTCCTGGTGCCACGTGCACTGGTGGACACCCTTGTGCTCGAACATGGTGTTCGTGATGGACAGGCCGTGACTGGCACAGAAGTCCAACAACTGAACACCGCTCGGGTTCAGATCAGGGGGTCCGCTCTTCCCGATCACCCCTCTCCAAGTGTCACTGGCATTTCCCACATGGGCGTTGAAGTCCCCCAGGAGAATAACGGAGTCCCCGGGCGGTGCACTGTCCAGTACCCCTCCCAAGGACTCCAAGAAGGCCGGGTACTCTGCACTGTTGTTAGGCCCGTAGGCCGTCACAACAGTGAGAGACTTGTCCCCCACCCGGAGGCGGAGGGACGCGACCCTCTCATTCACCGGGGAGAACTCCAACACGTGGCGGCTGAGATGGGGGGCAATGAGTATGGCCACCCCAGCTCGCCGCCTCTCCCCGCGGAAAACACCAGAAAAGTGGAGCGTCCAACCCCTCTCAAGGAGTTGGATTCCAGAGCCCAAGCTGTGTGTGGAGGTGAGGCCGACTATCTCTAGTCGGAATCGCTCAACCTCCCCCACAAGCTCGGGCTCCTTCCCCCCCAGTGAGGTGACGTTCCACGTCCCAACAGCCAGATGTTGGGTGTGTGGACTGGGTCGTCGAGGTCTCCGCCTTCGACCGCTGCCCAGTCCTCGCTGCACCACGCCACCACGGACCCCTCTGCAGGTGGTGGGCCCACAGGAGGGACTGCCCACGTCATCCCTTCGGGCTGAGCCCGTCCGGGCCCCGTGGGCTAAGGCCCGGCCACCAGGCGCTCGCTTGCGAGCCCCGACCCCAGGCCTGGCTCCAGGGTGGGGCCCCGGCTGCGCCATGCCGGGCGACGTCACGGTTTTCGTTGTCGTGCTGTCCATGGTTGGCTTCGGACTGCGCTTCGTCTGACTCGTCACTTGAGACCTGTCTGCCATGGGAGGCCCTACCAGGGGCATGAAGCCCCAGACAGCATAGCTCCCAGGATCATCCGAGTGCTCAAACTCCCCCACCACGTTAAGGTGGCAGTCCAAGGGGGAAAATAAAAAAGACATTCATTAATATACAATCATCACATTATTGGGCTTAAAACTTTTATTAAATGTGGGTTTAAAAAGATCAAATTAATAGAATCAGTTGTACGCCCATGCTAAAGAATATGTTTTCATCTAGTTTTGAACATGGTCAGGGTAGAGGCCTGTCTCACAGCCTCAGGAAGACTGTTCCAGACTTTAGCTTCATAGATGTGAACTGCTGCCTCGCCATGTTTAGTCCTGACTCTGGGACCAGCAGGAGACCAATCCCTGTGCTCCTCAGAGTCCCAGCAGGAGACCAGTCCCTGTGCTCCTCAGAGTCCCAGCAGGAGGCCAGTCCCTGTGCTCCTCAGAGTCCCAGCAGGAGGCCAGTCCCTGTGCTCCTTAGAGTCCCAGCAGGAGGCCAGTCCCTGTGCTCCTCAGAGTCCCAGCAGGAGGCCAGTCCCTGTGCTCCTCAGAGTCCCAGCAGGAGGCCAGTCCCTGTGCTCCTCAGAGTTGGTCAATAATTCAACATGTCGCAATGTCCTACAATAATAAAGTAATGCGTCTGACCTTTTCCTCTTCGTTTTTTAGTCCAGTCATCGGGTTTTTCTTATTATTTTGTGGTTTAAAAGTGAGGTACCTCAGCTTTAATTTGTTTCTTTTTTACTCTAGAATTGTGTTTTCTTTTATCAACCAAGGCTTCTGTTACATTGTTGCTCTTAATACTTCAATCTTGATGATGAAGACACAAAAGCTGTGGATAAAGTACTCACAGAGTGTTTCTTGTACGTGTCCGTGAACTGCTGCGAGTTGGAGGAGGAGCACTTGTGGATAAGCCCCTCCCACGTCCCCACAAGGTACACGCCTGACTCCTACACACACAAACACGTACATACGGCGATGTGAGGACGCTGTGACCGCTCTTACTGAAGTGTTGTGGGTTGGTACCTTTGGGTTGGGATGGAAGTCAAAACACGTCCCTGGAGTCAGAGCGGACAGTATGGACTCCAGTTTGGTCTCCTCTCTGTTGTCTCCGGCAATTCTTTTAGGGCTTTTAACTCTTTTCAGTTTCATCATGTCTAGAAGAACAATGAGCTAGTGACTTTGAAGTAAAAATAACTCATTTTTCGAATGTTGTTCTAAGGTCGTAGTAGAAGTTGCATTTGCAGCAGAGTTAGCAGAAGCAGAAGTAGCAGTGGTAACAAAAGTAGTGGCAGTAGCAGCAGCAGTAGTAGCAGCAGTAGCAGCAGTAGTAGCAGTAGCAGTAGCAGTAGCAGCAGCAGTAGTAGCAGCAGTAGCAGCAATAGCAGCAGTAGTAGCAGTAGCAGTAGCAGTAGCAGTAGTGGCAGTAGCAGTAGCAGTAGTAGCAGCAGTAGCAGTAGTGGCAGTAGCAGTAGCAGTAGCAGTAGCAGTAGTGGCAGTAGTAGTAGCAGTAGTAGTAGCAGTAGCAGTAGTGGCAGTAGCAGTAGTGGCAGTAGCAGTAGCCGTAGCAGTAGCAGTAGTAGCAGTAGCAGTAGTGGCAGTAGCAGTAGCAGTAGTAGCAGTAGCAGTAGTAGCAGTAGCAGTAGCAGTAGTAGCAGTAGCAGTAGCAGTAGCAGTAGCAATAGCAGTAGTAGCAGCAGTAGTGGCAGTAGTAGTATCAGTAGTAGCAGCAGCACCTGTACAGTCCAGTCCGCTGTTGGACACAAACCACTTGCAGACCCGTCCGTCTGTGGCCACAGAGACCAGCGCCTCCTGCTGGTCGTCCCTCAGACTGACGTCCTGCAGAATCCACCTCAGCTGCAGAACTGGCTCCGTGTGTTTGTGTTTAGAGCATCTAAAACCACACAGCAGGGACTAGTTCAGAGGACTACCAAGGTCTCTGTCTCTCTGGTCTCTCTCTGGTCGCTCTGGTCTCTCTCTCTGGTCTCTCTCTGGTCTCTCTCTCTGGTCTCTCTCTCTCTGGTCGCTCTCGTCTCTCTCTCTCTGGTCGCTCTCGTCTCTCTCTCTGGTCTCTCTCTGGTCTCTCTCTCTGGTCTCTTTCTGGTCTCTCTCTGGTCTCTCTCTCTGGTCTCTCTCTGGTCTCTCTCTCTGGTCTCTCTCTGGTGTCTCTCTCTGGTGTCTCTCTTGTCTCTCTCTGGTGTCTCTCTCTGGTGTCTCTCTGGTCTCTATCTGGTCTCTCTCTCTGGTCTCTCTCTCTGGTCTCTCTCTGGTGTCTCTCTCTGGTGTCTCTCTTGTCTCTCTCTGGTGTCTCTCTCTGGTGTCTCTCTGGTCTCTATCTGGTCTCTCTCTCTGGTGTCTCTCTTGTCTCTCTCTGGTGTCTCTCTCTGGTCTCTCTCTCTCTCTCTGGTCTCTCTCTTGTCTCTCTCTGGTGTCTCTCTGGTCTCTCTCTCTGGTCTCTCTCTGGTCTCTCTCTCTGGTCTCTCTCTGGTGTCTCTCTCTGGTGTCTCTCTTGTCTCTCTCTGGTCTCTCTCTCTGGTCTCTCTCTCTGGTCTCTCTCTTGTCTCTCTCTGGTGTCTCTCTCTGGTCTCTCTCTCTGGTCTCTCTCTTGTCTCTCTCTGGTGTCTCTCTCTGGTGTCTCTCTCTGGTCTCTCTCTGGTCTCTCTCTCTGGTCTCTCTCTTGTCTCTCTCTGGTGTCTCTCTCTGGTGTCTCTCTGGTGTCTCTCTGGTCTCTCTCTCTTGTCTCGCTCTGGTCTCTTTTTGGTCTCTTTCTCTGATCTCTCTCTATGCAGCTGTTTCTACACTGTATGCACGGCTTTTGACAGCTGCAGCAGCTGCTCTGACCTGCTGTTCAGGACACTGCTGCTGCTGCTGCTGCTGCGGTGCACGCCACAGATCATAACCGTCCCGTCCTCCAGCCCCACCCCGAGCTGACCCGGGCTCTTCAGGGAGAAGTCCAGAGCGGTCACTGCACGGTCACAGGGGATCACGCTGTCCGGCCACTGCAGAGGACACGCCACACGTAAACACAGCTGTTTCTGTAACATATGACACGTGTCGAATGTCTCACTGTGGGGTTTCTGAGGGACCAGCAGCAGACCAGACCAGGTGTGGGGCTGCTCACAGACGATCCATAACCGACAGCCAGCACGTCCTGCACATTTTACAACACCAAGAGTCGTATTTAAAATTCTCTAAGTCTAGACCATAGGGAGAGAGACAGAGCCCTCAAACCCAACTATGTGAGCCCCTTTCCCTCAAAATGGCCACATCAACACATGCATGTGTCTCTAAATAACATTATGTCTGGAATGCAATAATCAAACGATATATTGAGACGACCATCACTTATAATGAGAAAATACTTCATACATCAGATCCAAAAAACCTGTATTCTTTATCTCCAAATGTGCACGTGACCATTTTCTGTCTGCCACACATTTGCCTTGGACCTTCACTGGTACATACTGGATTCTTCTTGTTCCAGACCATGCAGTTGACGCGTCTGCCCTGGGTCAGGTCACAGGAGAAGGACCAGAGGTGGACCAGGGCCGGAGCAGACCCCTCAGACTCTGGAGGTTCCTGAGATCCTTCTTGCTCGGACGGTAAAGCTGAGAACGGGTCTGAAGATCAGAGATTCAAAGTCAACAGAGTCAGTTAGTCCTGGGCTGTTTATAATGCTCTATTCCCACATTTCATGCAGTTTGTTTGTATCAAGACAATTTACATTTCAGTCAAAGTCCACACAGAAAGGATCTCAGGTATCTCGGTACAGCACAGGCAAATGGCAACCTCGAACTGGCAACAAGGAAACTGGTAAATGCCAAATACCTCCAGAAAGTAAAGCAAGTCCTAAGAAGGACTCAATGGCTGCAGAGGTACCTGTGAGCGCAGGCAGCAGAGGTACCTGTGAGCGCGGGCAGCAGAGGTACCTGTGAGCACAGGCAGCAGAGGTACCTGTGAGCGCGGGCAGCAGAGGTACCTGTGAGCACGGGCAGCAGAGGTACCTGTGAGCGCGGGCAGCAGAGGTACCTGTGAGCACGGGCAGCAGAGGTACCTGTGAGCGCGGGCAGCAGAGGTACCTGTGAGCGCGGCAGCAGCGTGAGGGGAGCAGAGTACCTGTGAGCGCGGGCAGCAGAGGTACCTGTGAGCGCGGGCAGCAGAGGTACCTGTGAGCGCGGGCAGCAGAGGTACCTGTGAGCGCGGGCAGCAGAGGTACCTGTGAGCGCGGGCAGCAGAGGTACCTGTGAGCGCGGGCAGCAGAGGTACCTGTGCAGCAGAGGTACCTTGGCGCGGGCAGCAGAGGTACCTGTGAGCGCGGGCAGCAGAGGTACCTGTGAGCGCGGGCAGCAGAGGTACCTGTGAGCACGGGCAGATGTCTGAAAGTCGCCAGTCTCTGTTGGAAGCTGTTCCCCGCGAGGCTCCGCTCCATCACCCTCAGACTGTAGTGAAAGGACGGGGAGCTCAGGAGCAGCGTCAGCTCAGACTCTCTCACACTGAGCTCCAAGGCCTCCAGGTCCTTCATGGAGCTGCTCTCACTCACTGTGTACACAAAGGGACGCATATACACATACATACATGTACATGCATATACACACACACACACGCACACACACGCACAGTGTTGTTTAAGTGTTTTAAGGGTAGTTCTAAAAATGTTTCAAATTATTATTTTAAGACATTTTAAATTTTACTTTTTTATGTTTTACTTTTTAGCCAAGTAGGTATGAAATCAAAACCTTTTTTTTTTAAACTTATATTGTTGTTACCATGGACACAGGGTGTTACCATGGGTACAGTTTGTAACCATGGATACAGGGTGTTACCATGGATACAGTTTGTAGCCATGGATACAGAATGTTACCATGGATATAGGGTGTTACCATGGATACAGTTTGTAGCCATGGATACAGGATGTTACCATGGATATAGGGTGTTATCTTAGGTACAGGGTGTTACCAAGGGTACAGGTTCTTACCATGGATACAGGATGTTAACATGGATACAGGGTGTTACCATGGATACAGTTTGTAGCCATGGATACAGGATGTTACCATGGATATAGGGTGTTATCTTAGGTACAGGGTGTTACCAAGGGTACAGGTTCTTACCATGGATACAGGATGTTAACATGGATACAGGGTGTTACCATGGATTCAGTTTGTAGCCATGGATACAGGATGTTACCATGGATATAGGGTGTTATCTTAGGTACAGGGTGTTACCAAGGGTACAGGTTCTTACCATGGATACAGGATGTTAACATGGATACAGGTTGTTACCATGGGTACAGGATGTTATCATGGATACAGGATGTTATCTTGGATACAGGGTGTTACCATGGATACAGGTTGTTACCTGTCCCACTGGAGCTCTCCACAGAGGTGCTGTGTTCAGCCCTGGAGCTCAGCAGCCGCTCTGCCCCCTGCAGGTCAGACTGAGTCACTGCAGGCTGTAGACCCTCAGAGGCCTCTGCCTCCTCTGGCACTCTCAGACTGTCAAACATCTCCCACGTGCTCACGTATGTCCCTGAGGAGGAAGGAGAGAAGTTAACCAGCTGCATCGTGGTCATTGTGGTCATGAGGAGTGAGTTTTGAGCAGACGCAGCAGACGCAGCAGACACAGCAGACACAGCAGACGCAGCAGACACAGCAGACGCAGCAGACGCAGCAGACGCAGCAGACGCAGCAGACGCAGCAGACGCAGCAGACGCAGGTCTCACCGGTGTCTCTGGTGCTGATGTTGTCGCTCTGGATCAGTTTGTTTTTAAACGGAGAAATTAAAGTCTGCGCCGCTCGATCACTGTTCATCTCAGTACCAGCTCTGGTCCTGCAGACCTCTGTGTAACGATTATTCCTCTCCCTGAATCACATACACACATACACACAGGTACACCCAAACACACACATACACACACACACATACACAAACATATGGTGACATGTTTAGGCAGGTTTTGTTCAGTTCATAAAAAAGTAGTCACCCTAAAGTTAGAATGAATAAAAGTGATAAGGATGATTTGCCAGTAGCAGATTTGTATTTGTTTATTTGGATGGGACAGTGAGTATTATGTAACAGGGGTCAGTGTTAGGGTCAGGGTCAGTGTTAGGGTCAGAGTCAGGGTCAGAGTTAGGGTCAGGGTCAGGGTCAGGGTCAGTGTTAGGGTCAGGGTCAGAGTTAGGGTCAGGGTCAGAGTTAGGGTCAGGGTCAGTGTTAGGGTCAGGGTCAGAGTTAGGGTCAGGGTCAGAGTTAGGGTCAGGGTCAGAGTTAGGGTCAGGGTCAGAGTTAGGGTCAGGGTCAGGGTCAGTGTTAGGGTCAGGGTCAGAGTTAGGGTCAGGGTCAGTGTTAGGGTCAGGGTCAGAGTTAGGGTCAGGGTCAGAGTTAGGGTCAGGGTCAGAGTTAGGGTCAGGGTCAGAGTTAGGGTCAGGGTCAGAGTTAGGGTCAGAGTTAGGGTCAGGGTCAGGGTCAGAGTTAGGGTCAGGGTCAGGGTCAGGGTCAGAGTTAGGGTCAGGGTCAGGGTCAGAGTTAGGGTCAGGGTCAGGGTCAGGGTCAGAGTTAGGGTCAGGGTCAGAGTTAGGGTCAGGGTCAGGGTCAGTGTTAGGGTCAGGGTCAGGGTCAGGGTCAGTGTTAGGGTCAGAGTCAGGGTCAGTGTTAGGGTCAGGGTCAGAGTCAGGGTCAGAGTTAGGGTCAGGGTCAGGGTCAGGGTCAGTGTTAGGGTCAGAGTCAGAGTCAGGGTCAGAGTTAGGGTCAGGGTCAGAGTCAGGGTCAGTGTTAGGGTCAGGGTCAGAGTTAGGGTCAGGGTCAGGGTCAGTGTTAGGGTCAGGGTCAGAGTTAGGGTCAGGGTCAGAGTCAGGGTCAGTGTTAGGGTCAGGGTCAGAGTTAGGGTCAGGGTCAGAGTCAGGGTCAGTGTTAGGGTCAGGGTCAGAGTCAGGGTCAGGGTCAGAGTTAGGGTCAGGGTCAGAGTTAGGGTCAGGGTCAGAGTCAGGGTCAGTGTTAGGGTCAGGGTCAGAGTTAGGGTCAGGGTCAGAGTTAGGGTCAGGGTCAGAGTCAGGGTCAGTGTTAGGGTCAGGGTCAGAGTCAGGGTCAGTGTTAGGGTCAGGGTCAGAGTTAGGGTCAGGGTCAGAGTCAGGGTCAGTGTTAGGGTCAGGGTCAGAGTTAGGGTCAGGGTCAGAGTCAGGGTCAGGGTCAGGGTCAGGGTCAGTGTTAGGGTCAGGGTCAGAGTTAGGGTCAGGGTCAGAGTTAGGGTCAGGGTCAGGGTCAGTGTTAGGTTTGCTCACTTGATGCGGTCTGCGTCCTCGGTGGACACACATCTGGAAGGCAGGTCCAGCAGAGACACAGTGTCCGTCTCTGAGAGGAACACATCTGTCTGTTCACACAGAGCTGCTTCTGTCACCTCCTCCTTCACCTCCTCCTTCACCACCACCTTCTTACCCTGATCTGAAATCATCCAGATGAGATCCATCAATCATTGTCTAAAATTGTTTCATTAAAAGAAACCCTTTGGGATGGTGAATAAAAAGAATGTATTCATAGTTTCACTGGGTTAATAAACTTTTATCTAAAGTATGATTGATGGATTATTGATTGACATTTGTAGCAGACCTGGGAGGTGCAGGGGCGGGTCTCGTCTGGAGAAGCCCTCCTCTGTCTCCAGACCCACAGAGTCTATGGACGACTGACTGGAGAACTTACTGCTGCTCAGGATGGACCTGTGGAGAGGACAAGCAGAGGCAGAGAGTGACGTTACTGCAGGCCTCTTCAGGCCACAGACCCGGGGTTTAAGTCTGGACCATGGGGTGTCGACCTGGGCCTCAACTGATGGTTAGAGCTTCACTCCAGTTGCACGGCTTGTTAACCTGTCAAGTATTGTCCTGTATATTGTCCATTAAAAAATACAATACTTAAACTGTATAAGTGAAGATATGGGAATGTGTGTATTGCACGTTTGAAATAAAGAATCTAACTAACAATCTAACTATTTACTATTTGGATGATCTTAGATGATTTCAGGTCCCAGTCACTTTGAGACTGTGGGAGCGGCGCTGGTCTCACCTGGAGAAGGGGAGGCTGAAGCTGCTTCCTGTGGTGGTCATCTGGTCCAGACTGAGTCCAGCTACGATTTCATCCAGGAAGAAGCGGCTGCCTTTGGGGGGGCCTACTCCACACTCCCCCTGGTGGAGAGGCTGAGGAGTGACATCATTCTGCCTGTCGTCAAACACCTGCAAACACAGATCAGTGAATCAAATCTAACAACACAGTCACAACAATGCAATTAAAGTCTTATTTGTTTGTCTCCTGTAAATAGTATTAGTGCTGAATGAGGACCATGAAGTGCAGTACAATCTGGAGAGACTTGAACAATTAATCTGACACCATATGAATTAGCACATACGACTCTGAAGACAATATTTGCAATATCAATTGAATGCCACTCTCTACTCCACAGTCAATACAACTGAGCACATGGTGAGTGTGAGGTTTTATGTATTATTATGTATTTATTTATTTCAGTTAAACATAGGAGCAATAAAGTTGTTATGAACATTAAAAAAGTACCTATAACAAAATCAAAAAGCAACTTTGCCAGAAAGGGAAGAAGACTCTTCCATTAGTGTGTGTGGATCTTTACCCGGACGGGCTTCCTGGGCGTGGAGCTCTTGTCCAGGACTTTGCTGCCCGCTCCAAGACTGCGCCTGCTCCCTGTCAGCCGGCTGTGGGACAGGGACACATTCCGGGACGAGCTGATCCACGGGAGGGACACAGGAGATCGTCACCGTGAAATAATAAACCAGGAGCTGCTCCTGTGCTACATGTTAATAACTTTCCAATTTTCCCATTTTCACCATAGTATCTAATACACAAAAATATCCATGTTTTTCATAATCCCAAAAAACAATCATGTGGCAATTGTTCAACGTGTATGTTTAAAGTATTAACATACTTTTGTGCTCAATGTTTTGTATATAAAGCTGAGATGAATAAGTACAATGTCAATGTCCATGTCGCTTTATTCGTATAGCACAATTTCAACAACAACAAAAAAGAAAACAGCATGTAAATAAAAATCATGTTTTAATGTCAAAGAAACAAGCTAACCCAGCCTTATGTTTTACGTGACATCTCGGACACAAATACAGTATAACAACTTGTGCCTTCTTGGAACGTGGCTCTTTATACATACACAAGATGGCCGCCAAAACAGGCAGGACAACAACAACTAACGCTCCCTCTAGCTCTATAACACTACACTGGATATGACACAAAGAACACTACAGGTAAGTTTTCACACGCAGAGGTAGATTTAATAATATATCCATGGTTTTCTCATTCATTAGAAATATAAATGTTTATGTTTGTGAGTGTTTTAACTTACGGCCTGAGCACGAGCCTCCTCCGCCGATCGTCTCTCATCCCGGAGGTGGACATGTCTCTTCTCTTGTGTTGTGGTCACCGGTTACTTAGCAACCACAAACTTTAGTATTTTTCCCTTCACACTATTCCCGATTTTCAGAAACTTTGCTTTCAAGGCTAAAACAAACGTATATGTCTTTATTATATCAATCTCACTAATCCCTCCCTCTCAAAATAGTTCATTATTTTCCATGCAAGCATTTTTGGCCTTTGTCGCGTATTTATATAATTTTTTTCCCAGAAAGTGTCAAAAACTCACGCAGCCAATCAACTCTCATCCCAAAGTGTCAAACAGTGACCAACAGGGTTCTTTTGTAGAATATTGTCAAAAATATATGACGGACGTGTTCGAATTGATACAGAAATAATACCAAGCATACAAGAGTTAAAAATAGAACATTTATATATCTTTACAATTAATTATTTAATACAAAACTCTTGGAGCTATTAATTCCCTATAACTAACCCTGAGCTGAGCCATTTTAACTGTCCCTTCCAGGCCTGAAAATGTACAGAGAACATCCAGGCGTTCTGCGATGCTCTCTGTCTATCTATCCCTGCTCAGACTACCAACAAAATGTCCCACCAACACTTTTATCAAAACGTCCCATGACGTCATACGGTGAGACCAACAGAGGCCCTCGTCTGGGTCTGGTCTAGTCCAGTCCCTTGTTCCGATAAGAGACACGCTGTTCCTGAAAATGATACTTATATCACAGAAGCCTTGTCCTTGAGTCTTCTCTGAATTCCACTAAATCTAGGCTAAATATTACACAAATACATTATAACATACTGTATCTTCCATCAAGATGAAGGTGTGGTTTGATTTGCTGAAGCTGGGATACCAAACTTTTTATTTCATAATCAATCAATCAACGTGGAAACTAACCCAGAACCTTCTCGCTGTGAAGCACAAGTGCCAACCACTGCACCACCGTGGCGTCCTTTGGAAACAAGGCAATATACCGACCAAATGTCTGAAATGTATCTATTCAAAGAAACTGTTTTTGTTCACTGAAACAATTGAACTTGTACTTTTTAGCTTGTTTTATTTTATATTTTTGTCTGGTGCACACTGGAGTATCTTTGCACATGTATTTCAATGTGGTTTTACTGAAAATGGCAACAACAAAGAAAACATAAAAGAACAGATAGATAGATATAGGCCACTGCAGATGTATCTTCTCAGCTTGGCAGTGCGTGTAGCCGCTGGGGCAGCTGTGGTGAGACCTTTGAGGCTGGTCCACAGTCCAGTCCCGGTGAGTCTTATCAGAGGGTTTTATGGGCTCCGTACCTCTGCTCTGTTTGTCTCAATATAACGTGTATTTACTGTGCTCTGTGGACAGAGTCAGAGCAGATCATCTGGAAACTGCAGGAGAATGGAGATGGAGGACGGACACAGGTGAGCGGCTTTACTTTTTCTGACAACACTGGAGATTTCATTTAGATAATTTATGAAAACACTAAAGCAGCTGTTCTCGATAAGCTTTCCTTTTATAGACTTACGTTTATCACTTGGTCACTCTTAAGAAGCTACATGACAAAGAATGCTTCAAATACTAATTGGTGCCGACTTGTGGATGAGGGTTGAATCTATGGAAAAAGGTGATGCTTTTCCCTCTGCGCAGAATCACCGAGCCGACGACAGGCCATACACAAGTCTCCAGGGACACTTCACTCTTCATAACAATAACAAATGAATGCATAATAACAGAGGAACAAGCCGTGGAACAAGAGAGAAGCTGCTACCGTTAGAGCTTTGGCTTTTTACAAGTGGTCCCTGTAAGAAATGTTTAGAAATATTGATATTATATTGAGAGTAGAGCAGGGGGCAGAGAGGGGCAGAGAGGGACAGAGAGGGGCAGAGAGGGGCAGAGAGGGGCAGAGAGGGGCAGAGAGGGACAGAGAGAGACAGAGAGGGGCAGAGAGGGGCAGAGAGAGGGGCAGAGAGGGGCAGAGAGGGCCAGAGAGGGTCAGAGAGAGGGGCAGAGAGGGACAGAGAGGGGCAGAGAGAGGGGCAGAGAGAGACAGAGAGGGGCAGAGAGAGGGGCAGAGAGGGACAGAGAGGGACAGAGAGGGGACAGAGAGGGGCAGAGAGGGGCAGAGAGGGACAGAGAGGGACAGAGAGGGACAGAGAGGGGCAGAGAGGGACAGAGAGGGACAGAGAGGGGCAGAGAGGGACAGAGAGGGGCAGAGAGGGGCAGAGAGGGGCAGAGAGGGGCAGAGAGGGGCAGAGAGAGGGGCAGAGAGGGGCAGAGAGGGGCAGAGAGAGGGGCAGAGATGGACAGAGAGGGACAGAGAGGGGCAAAGAGGGGCAGAGAGGGGCAGAGAGGGACAGAGAGGGGCAGAGAGGGGCAGAGAGAGGGGCAGAGAGGGGCAGAGAGGGGCAGAGAGGGGCAGAGAGAGGGGCAGAGATGGACAGAGAGGGGCAGAGAGGGGCAGAGAGGGGCAGAGAGGGGCAGAGAGGGACAGAGAGAGACAGAGAGGGGCAGAGAGGGGCAGAGAGAGGGGAGAGAGGGGCAGAGAGGGGCAGAGAGAGGGGCAGAGAGGGACAGAGAGGGGCAGAGAGAGGGGCAGAGAGAGACAGAGAGGGGCAGAGAGAGGGGCAGAGAGGGACAGAGAGGGACAGAGAGGGGCAGAGAGGGGCAGAGAGGGGCAGAGAGGGACAGAGAGGGACAGAGAGGGACAGAGAGGGGCAGAGAGGGACAGAGAGGGACAGAGAGGGGCAGAGAGGGACAGAGAGGGGCAGAGAGGGGCAGAGAGGGGCAGAGAGGGGCAGAGAGAGGGGCAGAGAGGGGCAGAGAGGGGCAGAGAGAGGGGCAGAGATGGACAGAGAGGGACAGAGAGGGGCAAAGAGGGGCAGAGAGGGGCAGAGAGGGACAGAGAGGGGCAGAGAGGGGCAGAGAGAGGGGCAGAGAGGGGCAGAGAGGGGCAGAGAGGGGCAGAGAGAGGGGCAGAGATGGACAGAGAGGGACAGAGAGGGGCAAAGAGGGGCAGAGAGGGGCAGAGAGGGACAGAGAGGGACAGAGAGGGACAGAGAGGGGCAGAGAGGGGCAGAGAGGGGCAGAGAGGGGCAGAGAGGGGCAGAGAGGGGCAGAGAGGGGCAGAGAGAGGGGCAGAGAGGGGCAGAGAGGGGCAGAGAGAGGGGCAGAGAGGGGCAGAGAGGGACAGAGAGGGACAGAGAGGAGCAGAGAGGGGCAGAGAGGGGCGAGAGAGAGGGACAGAGAGGGACAGAGAGGGACAGAGAGGGGCAGAGAGGGACAGAGAGGGACAGAGAGGGGCAGAGAGGGGCAGAGAGGGGCAGAGAGGGACAGAGAGGGGCAGAGAGGGGCAGAGAGGGGCAGAGAGGGACAGAGAGAGACAGAGAGGGGCAGAGAGGGGCAGAGAGGGGCAGAGAGGGGCAGAGAGGGGCAGAGAGAGACAGAGAGGGGCAGAGAGGGGCAGAGAGGGGCAGAGAGGGGCAGAGAGGGACAGAGAGAGACAGAGAGGGGCAGAGAGGGGCAGAGAGGGGCAGAGAGGGGCAGAGAGAGACAGAGAGGGGCAGAGAGGGACAGAGAGGGGCAGAGAGGGACAGAGAGGGACAGAGAGAGACAGAGAGGGGCAGAGGGACGGACGGACAGAGATAGATAGATAGATAGATAGATAGATAGATAGATAGATAGATAGATAGATAGATACTTTATTGATCCCCGTCGCAGAAATCCAGTAGCAGCCAAAATAGAAAATAAAATTGATCATTCTAAAAAGCTAACAATAGTAATAATCAGCAACAGCCTCAGGTCACAGCAGCAGAGGTGGAGTAGCCTCTGGGTGGAGCAGGACAGGTCACAGCAGCAGAGGTGGAGTAGCCTCTGGGTGGAGCAGGACAGGTCACAGCAGCAGAGGTGGAGTAGCCTCTGGGTGGAGCAGGACACAGCAGCAGAGGTGGAGTAGCCTCTGGGTGGAGCAGGACGGGTCACAGCAGCAGAGGTGGAGTAGCCTCTGGGTGGAGCAGGACAGGTCACAGCAGCAGAGGTGGAGTAGCCTCTGGGTGGAGCAGGACGGGTCACAGCAGCAGAGGTGGAGTAGCCTCTGGGTGGAGCAGGACGGGTCACAGCAGCAGAGGTGGAGTAGCCTCTGGGTGGAGCAGGACAGGTCACAGCAGCAGAGGTGGAGTAGCCTCTGGGTGGAGCAGGACGGGTCACAGCAGCAGAGGTGGAGTAGCCTCTGGGTGGAGCAGGACAGGTCACAGCAGCAGAGGTGGAGTAGCCTCTGGGTGGAGCAGGTCACAGCAGCAGAGGTGGAGTAGCCTCTGGGTGGAGCAGGTCACAGCAGCAGAGGTGGAGTAGCCTATGGGTGGAGCAGGACAGGTCACAGCAGCAGAGGTGGAGTAGCCTCTGGGTGGAGCAGGTCACAGCAGCAGAGGTGGAGTAGCCTCTGGGTGGAGCAGGACGGGTCAAAAGGTGGAGCAGCCGCTTGGTTCGGATCATTTTCTCTGCTCTGGTCCAAAGTAAAAAGCTAAATGCTTCATTAGCATATTTCAAAAAGTTAGCATTCCTCCAGTGGATTTTCAACTGATCCACTTGGTTTGGACCATGAATCCTCTCTGGTCTGGTCTGGACCAGTGTAAAACCATGAATCCTCTCTGCTCTGGTCTGGACCAGTGTAAAACCATGAATCCTCTCTGCTCTGGTCTGGACCAGTGTAAAACCATGAATCCTCTCTGCTCTGGTCTGGACCAGTGTAAAACCATGAACGCTGCTGCAGCAACATCTCAGGCAGAAAAAAGCAATAAAAATAAAAATGGTAAAGCAGAAAACAACTCTTTCAGAGACACTTTGGACTCGCTGCAGTTTTCCAGAACATTCAAAAGTGAACATGGACAGGTCGTCACACGCAGTAGAACTCAAGACAGAGAGGTCGACCAAACAAAACCAAGACAACATCAAAAATGGCAGAAGTTCATTTTTTGCCAAGAGCCAAAATGGCCTCCCTAGTGTCCCGAATGTCAGCATTTTACTCTACATACATAAATAAAACTTGATTAATGACATTTAATAGTCAAAGAATATAAGATTTGGTTGTAAGTGCACATTTCCAACAGGAAGAGGAGGTATCTGGGCTGTCTGTCCAAGAAGCAGCTCCTGGTCCTGAGTGGCGTTGCTGGTCTGGGGGTTCTGCTGGTCGCCATCATCGTCCCGACCGTCCTGCTCTCCAGGGAAACAGGTCCCAGCATGCTTTGCACCAATGACTATGGCTTCCATTTCATTCAGCTCTGAGGCAGGAAGTAATAATCAAAGTAAACATAATTCCTTATGTTTACCCCAGTCTACAACACCAGAGAGAGAGACCAGAGAGAGACCAGAGAGAGACCAGAGAGAGACCAGAGAGAGACCAGACCAGAGAGAGACCAGAGAGAGACCAGGAGAGAGACCAGAGAGAGACCAGAGAGAGACCAGAGAGAGACCAGACCAGAGAGAGACCAGAGAGAGACCAGAGAGAGACCAGAGAGAGACCAGAGAGAGACCAGAGAGAGACCAGACCAGAGAGAGACCAGAGAGAGACCAGAGAGAGACCAGAGAGAGACCAGAGAGAGACCAGAGAGAGACCAGAGAGAGACCAGAGAGAGACCAGACCAGAGAGAGACCAGAGAGAGACCAGAGAGAGACCAGACCAGAGAGAGACCAGAGAGAGACCAGAGAGAGACCAGAGAGAGACCAGAGAGAGACCAGAGTGAGACCAGAGAGAGACCAAGAGAGAGACCAGACCAGAGAGAGACCAGAGAGAGACCAGAGAGAGACCAGAGAGAGACCAGACCAGAGAGAGACCAGAGAGAGAGACCAGAGAGAGACCAGAGAGAGACCAGAGAGAGACCAGAGTGAGACCAGAGAGAGACCAGAGAGAGACCAGACCAGAGAGAGACCAGAGAGAGACCAGAGAGAGACCAGAGAGAGACCAGAGAGAGACCAGAGAGAGACCAGAGAGAGACCAGAGAGAGACCAGAGAGAGACCAGAGAGAGACCAGAGAGAGACCAGAGAGAGAGACCAGAGAGAGACCAGAGAGAGACCAGAGAGAGACCAGAGAGAGACACCAGAGAGAGACCAGAGAGAGACCAGAGAGAGACCAGAGAGAGACCAGAGAGAGAGACCAGAGAGAGACCAGAGAGAGACCAGAGAGAGACCAGAGAGAGAGAGACCAGAGAGAGACCAGAGAGAGACCAGAGAGAGACCAGAGAGAGACCAGAGAGAGACCAGAGAGAGACCAGAGAGAGAGACCAGAGAGAGACCAGAGTGAGACCAGAGAGAGACCAGAGAGAGACCAGAGAGAGACCAGAGAGAGAGAGACCAGAGAGAGACCAGAGAGAGACCAGAGAGAGACCAGAGAGAGACCAGAGAGAGGCCAGAGAGAGACCAGAGAGAGACCAGAGAAAGACCAGAGAGAGAGAGACCAGAGGGAGACCAGAGAGAGACCAGAGAGGGACCAGAGAGAGACCAGAGAGAGAGAGACCAGAGGGAGACCAGAGAGAGACCAGAGAGAGACCAGAGAGAGACCAGAGAGAGAGAGACCAGAGGGAGACCAGAGAGAGACCAGAGAGGGACCAGAGAGAGACCAGAGAGAGACCAGAGAGAGGCCAGAGAGAGACCAGAGAGAGAGAGACCAGAGGGAGACCAGAGAGAGACCAGAGAGAGGCCAGAGAGAGACCAGAGAGAGAGAGACCAGAGGGAGACCAGAGAGAGACCAGAGAGGGACCAGAGAGAGACCAGAGAGAGACCAGAGAGAGAGACCAGAGGGAGACCAGAGAGAGACCAGAGAGAGACCAGAGTGAGACCAGAGAGAGACCAGAAAGAGGCCAGAGAGAGACCAGAGAGAGACAGACCAGAGGGAGACAAGAGAGACCAGAGAGAGACCAATGGTTTACTTTCTCCAATGTTGATGTTAAAGAATGAGACGATGTGTTTGTGTTTGTGCAGATCCCAGTGTTCCAGATCTATCCTTTGCCACTGACGGAGACATGCTGGACTTCCTGGTTCAGTCTGGGACCATCAAGGACCGGGACGGGCTCCAGGCCACATGGTTCCACCGAGCCAACTCCAAGGACGAGATGAACAGGGCCCTCGCGAGTAACTACATCTGCATCTCACTCTAACTCTAACTGTAACTCTAACTAAGTAACTGTAACTCTAACTCTATCTAACTCTAACTTTAACTCTAGCTCTAACTCTAACTCGAGCTCTATCTCTAACTAACTCTAACTCTAGCTCTAACTCTAACTCTATCTCTAACTAACTCTAGCTGTAACTGTAACTCTAACTCTATCTCTAACTAACTCTAACTTTAACTCTAACTCGAGCTCTATCTCTAACTAACTCTAACTCTATCTCTAACTAACTGTAACTCTAACTGTAACTCTAACTCTAGCTCTATCTCTAACTAACTCTAACTTTAACTCTAACTCGAGCTCTATCTCTAACTAACTCTATCTCTAACTAACTCTAACTCTAACTGTAACTCTAACTCTATCTCTAACTAACTCTAACTTTAACTCTAACTCGAGCTCTATCTCTAACTAACTCTAACTCTATCTCTAACTAAATCTAACTCTAACTGTAACTCTAACTCTAACTCTAACTAACTCTATCTCTAACTCTGTCCATAACTAAAAGTATTAAAGTATTTTCTTTTGATGGTAAAGTGAATGAAAGTAAAATGTAAAATGCAGTTTTGTTGAATAATTGATGAATAATATGTTTAGAACAAAACAGGTAGAACTTAAAACAAATGGTTTCCTGAACTTAGAAGCATGGCTAACCACCTCACACCTGCTCATCCAGACAGACAGACAGATGTATGTGTGTGTGTGTATCTGTGTGGACAGGTGTGTAGCTGAGCCTGTGTTGTGTACCAGGTGAGGCGATGGTCCTGGAGGCAGACGTGACTCTTCAGGGATACGGGACCCCGGCTCAGAAGCCCATCCCCATCATGGCCCACCCCCCCAACGTAACCAGCGACAACACCCTGGACCAGTGGCTGGACGCCGTGCTGAACACCAGGAAGGGTACGAGCCCCGTCACTCTATAAACTGACTGTGTATGAAGTTGTGTGTCCTCAGGTTTAAAGTTGTGTGTCCTCAGGTTTAAAGTTGCGTGTCCTCAGTTTAAAGTTGTGTGTCCTCAGTTTAAAGTTGTGTGTTCTCAGGTTAAAGTTGTGTGTCCTTAGTTTAAAGTTGTGTGTCCTCAGGTTTAAAGTTGCGTGTCCTCAGTTTAAAGTTGTGTGTCCTCAGGTTAAAGTTGTGTGTCCTCAGGTTTAAAGTTGTGTGTCCTCAGGTTTAAAGTTGCGTGTCCTCAGTTTAAAGTTGTGTGTCCTCAGTTTAAAGTTGTGTGTCCTCAGGTTAAAGTTGTGTGTCCTTAGTTTAAAGTTGTGTGTCCTCAGTTTAAAGTTGTGTGTCCTCAGGTTAAAGTTGTGTGTCCTCAGGTTAAAGTTGTGTGTCCTCAGTTTAAAGTTGTGTGTCCTCAGGTTTAAAGTTACGTGTCCTCAGTTTAAAGTTGTGTGTCCTCAGGTTTAAAGTTGCGTGTCCTCAGTTTAAAGTTGTGTGTCCTCAGGTTAAAGTTGTGTGTCCTCAGGTTTAAAGTTGTGTGTCCTCAGGTTTAAAGTTGCGTGTCCTCAGTTTAAAGTTGTGTGTCCTCAGTTTAAAGTTGTGTGTCCTCAGGTTAAAGTTGTGTGTCCTTAGTTTAAAGTTGTGTGTCCTCAGTTTAAAGTTGTGTGTCCTCAGGTTAAAGTTGTGTGTCCTCAGGTTAAAGTTGTGTGTCCTCAGTTTAAAGTTGTGTGTCCTCAGGTTTAAAGTTGTGTGTCCTCAGGTTTAAAGTTGCGTGTCCTCAGTTTAAAGTTGTGTGTCCTCAGTTTAAAGTTGTGTGTCCTCAGGTTAAAGTTGTGTGTCCTTAGTTTAAAGTTGTGTGTCCTCAGTTTAAAGTTGTGTGTCCTCAGGTTAAAGTTGTGTGTCCTTAGTTTAAAGTTGTGTGTCCTCAGTTTAAAGTTGTGTGTCCTCAGGTTAAAGTTGTGTGTCCTTAGTTTAAAGTTGTGTGTCCTCAGTTTAAAGTTGTGTGTCCTCAGGTTTAAAGTTGCGTGTCCTCAGTTTAAAGTTGTGTGTTCTCAGGTTAAAGTTGTGTGTCCTTAGTTTAAAGTTGTGTGTCCTCAGGTTTAAAGTTGTGTGTCCTCAGGTTTAAAGTTGCGTGTCCTCAGGTTTAAAGTTGTGTGTCCTCAGTTTAAAGTTGTGTGTCCTCAGGTTAAAGTTGTGTGTCCTTAGTTTAAAGTTACGTGTCCTCAGTTTTAAGTTGTGTGTCCTCAGGTTTAAAGTTGCGTGTCCTCAGTTTAAAGTTGTGTGTCCTCAGGTTAAAGTTGTGTGTCCTCAGGTTTAAAGTTGTGTGTCCTCAGGTTTAAAGTTGCGTGTCCTCAGTTTAAAGTTGTGTGTCCTCAGTTTAAAGTTGTGTGTCCTCAGGTTAAAGTTGTGTGTCCTTAGTTTAAAGTTGTGTGTCCTCAGTTTAAAGTTGTGTGTCCTCAGGTTAAAGTTGTGTGTCCTCAGGTTAAAGTTGTGTGTCCTCAGTTTAAAGTTGTGTGTCCTCAGGTTTAAAGTTGTGTGTCCTCAGGTTTAAAGTTGCGTGTCCTCAGTTTAAAGTTGTGTGTCCTCAGTTTAAAGTTGTGTGTCCTCAGGTTAAAGTTGTGTGTCCTTAGTTTAAAGTTGTGTGTCCTCAGTTTAAAGTTGTGTGTCCTCAGGTTAAAGTTGTGTGTCCTTAGTTTAAAGTTGTGTGTCCTCAGTTTAAAGTTGTGTGTCCTCAGGTTAAAGTTGTGTGTCCTTAGTTTAAAGTTGTGTGTCCTCAGTTTAAAGTTGTGTGTCCTCAGGTTTAAAGTTGTGTGTCCTCAGTTTAAAGTGGTGTGTCCTCAGTTTAAAGTTGTGTGTCCTCAGGTTTAAAGATTTGTGTCCTTAGTTTAAAGTTGTGTGTTCTCAGGTATTAAGCTGGACTTTAAGTCCCTGGCCTCGGTGGGTCTGTCACTGGATCTGCTCCTGCAGAAGAACAGCAGCCGTGGGATCCACAGACCGGTCTGGCTCAACGCAGACGTCCTCAAAGACCCTCTGGTCCCAGGCTTCATCCCATCAATCAACGGAACACAGTAAGACCACAGTGAGACCGAGCACAGTGAGACTGACCACAGTGAGACTGACTACAGTGAGACTGATCACAGTGAGACTGACCACAGTGAGACTGAACACAGTGAGACTGACCACAGTGAGACTGAACACAGTGAGACTGACCACAGTGAGACTGAACACAGTGAGACTGACCACAGTGAGACTGAACACAGTGAGACTGACCACAGTGAGACTGATCACAGTGAGACTGACCACAGTGAGACTGAACACAGTGAGACTGACCACAGTGAGACTGACCACAGTGAGACTGACCACAGTGAGACTGAACACAGTGAGACTGACCACAGTGAGACTGAACACAGTGAGACTGACCACAGTGAGACTGATCACAGTGAGACTGACCACAGTGAGACTGAACACAGTGAGACTGACCACAGTGAGACTGACCACAGTGAGACTGACCACAGTGAGACTGACCACAGTGAGACTGAACACAGTGAGACTGACCACAGTGAGACTGACCACAGTGAGACTGACCACAGTGAGACTGAACACAGTGAGACTGACCACAGTGAGACTGACCACAGTGAGACTGACCACAGTAAGTCTGACCACAGTGAGACTGACTACAGTGAGACTGATCACAGTGAGACTGACCACAGTGAGACTGACCACAGTGAGACTGAACACAGTGAGACTGACCACAGTGAGACTGACCACAGTGAGACTGACCACAGTAAGTCTGACCACAGTGAGACTGACTACAGTGAGACTGATCACAGTGAGACTGACCACAGTGAGACTGACCACAGTAAGTCTGACCACAGTGAGACTGACTACAGTGAGACTGATCACAGTGAGACTGACCACAGTGAGACCACTTTATAGACCACCTGAATGCAGCCTGTTGTCATGGTGATGATGGGTCCTGTTGAGTCGTCATGGTGATGATGTTTCTGATGCAGGTTTCTGGAGCTGGTGCAGGAGAAGTTTCCAAATGTGACGTTGTCTCTTGGCTGGATGGTGAGAGACTGAAACATGTAGTCGTTTTTACTTGTTACACACACGCACACACACCCACACACACGCACATACACACGCACGCACGCACATATACAGATGTTTAGTGTGCTCTGTATCAGTTTGTGTCACAGCTTCTTATCTGTGTGTTTTCATCAGCAGCAGTGAGAGATAAGTCTGAGGCTTACAACACACTCACACACTCACACACTCACACTCTCACACACTCACACACTCACACACTCACACTGGCCAAACACATTGTTATGATTACAGTGCTTTTACGGACACTCAAAGACACTCTCACATCATTATTCTTTCACTCTAAACACACAGCAGCGAAGCAACCAGTCTGTACCATCAGCCCCTCCCACCACCAACCAGTCACACACACACCAGACTCATTCTAATGTGGGGGAAGTGTCTTGCCTAAGGACACAACCAGTTTGGCAGGTGCCCCACTCTGGCACCTGCTGTTCCCAGAGGTCTCCCATCACAGCACTAACCAGGCCCTGTCCTGCTTAGTTATGGTATTAACAGATTATTTCCTGTTTTCTGCAGGTTCTTGGGATCTACAACAGGAAAATGGTGGAGGGAATGTACGCGCTGGTCAAAGATCTGCCACAGAGGGTAATGTTCAGTGTGCGTTTGGTCTGTTATACTCTGCACAGTAACAGTGTCGTAATAATGTGTTCCAGGTGACGTTTCCGATCCATTCTCTGTTCGTGAGGAAGGGCTGGCCTCACATCAGCTGGCTCCTCAGTCAGTCCTCCAGGTTAGCATTAGCCGTAACGTAAAGAAAAATCTATTTAATCACAAACATGCCAGATTTTCACCCAAAAAGTTTAGCTTTTCTGGACCAAAACGTTGTGTCAGGTGTTAATCTTTATCAGTATTAGAAAGTATGAAATCTGTACTCATAGTCATGGTGAAAAATGAAAGTTGTGAGTTGTGATAAACAATAAAAAACATTATACTATGTCTTTTGAATAAGAAGATGTTGCTCATAATGGTGACTGGCCTGGAATGACTCTATGTATACTCTATATATATACACCATACATACTCTATATACTCTATATACTCTCTCATGTCTTGATGCAATACAGAGATGACACTTGGCCCATAAACACATTTCATACAATTAATGTCCAAGGTTAGGGTTGATTGGTTTGGTGTGATCGCTCTTGATTGTGATCGGCAGGTTCAGTCTTTGTGGTGTGCTCTCTCTTCTATGATTGGCCCGTGGAGTGTATGTGTATGTGTGTATGTTCAGTCTGACCCTGTGTTCTCTCTGTGATCGGCAGGTTCAGTCTGACCCTGTGTGCTCTCTGATCGGCAGGTTCAGTCTGACCCTGTGTTCTCTCTGTGATTGGCAGGTTCAGTCTGACCCTGTGTTCTCTCTGTGATCGGCAGGTTCAGTCTGACCCTGTGTGCTCTCTGTGATTGGCAGGTTCAGTCTGACCCTGTGTGCTCTCTGTGATCGGCAGGTTCAGTCTGACCCTGTGTGCTCTCTGTGATTGGCAGGTTCAGTCTGACCCTGTGTGCTCTCTGTGATCGGCAGGTTCAGTCTGACCCTGTGTGCTCTCTGTGATTGGCAGGTTCAGTCTGACCCTGTGTGCTCTCTGTGATCGGCAGGTTCAGTCTGACCCTGTGTGCTCTCTGTGATCGGCAGGTTCAGTCTGACCCTGTGTGCTCTCTGTGATCGGCAGGTTCAGTCTGACCCTGTGTGCTCTCTGTGATCGGCAGGTTCAGTCTGACCCTGTGTGCTCTCTGTGATTGGCAGGTTCAGTCTGACCCTGTGTGCTCTCTGTGATCGGCAGGTTCAGTCTGACCCTGTGGCAGAGCTCGGTGCACCCCTCTGTCTCTGACCTGCTGTTTGTGAGAGACAACAGTCATCCAGGAAGAGTTTACTACGACATCTACGAACCCACGCTGACGGCCTTCAGGCGGGCTGTGGGTGAGACATGTCTGTGCACGTGAGGAGGGAGCGGGGTGAGACATGTCTGTGCACGTGAGGAGGGAGCGGGGTGAGACATGTCTGTGCACGTGAGGAGGGAGCGGGTAAGACATGCCTGTGCACGTGAGGAGGGAGCGGGGTGAGACATGTCTGTGCACGTGAGGAGGGAGCGGGGTGAGACACGTCTGTGCACGTGAGGAGGGAGCGGGGTGAGACACGTCTGTGCACGTGAGGAGGGAGCGGGGTGAGACACGTCTGTGCACGTGAGGAGGGAGCGGGGTGAGACATGTCTGTGCACGTGAGGAGGGAGCGGGGTGAGACACGTCTGTGCACGTGAGGAGGGAGCGGGTGAGACATGTCTGTGCACGTGAGGAGGGAGCGGGGTGAGACATGTCTGTGCACGTGAGGAGGGAGCGGGGTGAGACATGTCTGTGCACGTGAGGAGGGAGCGGGGTGAGACATGTCTGTGCACGTGAGGAGGGAGCGGGGTGAGACATGAGTGTGCACGTGAGGAGGGAGCGGGGTGAGAC